TAAAATTAGAGTAGCCGAACCGCAGGCATTGCTGACTAGTTTTTCTAGTTTGGCAAAGTTGACCTTACATTTTAAATTCACTTTGAATTCTAACGTTAGTGAATAACCCTGTATATGTGTTCTGTACATGTGAAGATGAAAAGTGATTTGAGATAAATAAGAAATAGTACTTTTTCACTAGAGGTGCTTTGCAGAGATGAAACATTTTCTTATTTTTTTTTTTTTTTTATTACAACGTTTTGGTACCAAAAACATTTTGTTTCGCCCTAGAGAAAATAAATAAAATAATAACATAAACATTTCATTTGCTGTTTATTGAGTTATTTCAATGAATGGAAGTGCTATTTTACAGCTATATTGCACGTGTGACAGGAAATGCCTTTTCAATATTGATATAATAACCACTATATTGCAGTAGGACCGAATGGGAGATCAGTCATTGCCTGAAAGATATCGGCTTCTCCCTGATATCTACAATGCAGAAGAGGTTCCGATCCCATAGGAGCATTTAGTGGAAACCTTTGGGTATCTTCTTTAAACCCTTAACAACAAAGACGTTTTCCATGTATTTGGAATCAATTAAATTTTGGCACTTTTTGTTAAATGTTTATTTCACCATAATTTTTCTTTACAGATATACTCTGAACACTAAGAAATCTTTAACTTAATAAAGTGGTTTTGGTGTATAGATAATGCTCCTACAATTTCCCTGTTCAATTAATTGCCATTTAGGATTCAAATCACTTTGTTTATGCAACTCTAACCACACCTCCTCTGGCTGAGACTCACACAGTCAACATAAAAATATGGTTTCATTTTCAATCAGATCTTACAGCACAGTGTGTTTATTTTTAGAAGTTTACATCTCCTGCTCTGTGAATTTCACTTTATTAAACATGCATGAGGCTCTGGTGGGCTATTAACAGAGCAGGAGATAAGAACTTATTACATTTAAAAGACTGTGCAATAAAGGAAGGTATATTAGATCTTTCTTTACATGAAGTGTTTAGGAAGGCTGTGTGAGTTATAAGCAGGGGAAGTGTGGATGTGGCTGTATAATCAAAGTGATCTAACTCCTAAATGACATAGAACTGAGCAGTCAGACTGCTGGGGCATAATCTATACACCACATCCACTTGATTAAGCTAAACTTGTTTTGGTACTTACAGTGTCTCCGAATGAAGTTGTTATAGTGCCAGGAGTTTCGGATACCATCTGTACATAAGGGGTTAAATGATTTACATACAGTTCAACTCCAAAATTGCAAAGACAGCACCCGTCCGCTCTACCCAGCTTTTTCCAGCTTGAGGCTTTAATCAAGAAGCATAGGTGCTGCAGATAGACTGAGAAAATCAGCTGATGGTTTTTAGTTTATCAATAGCCCCATATTCATAAAACTGTGTGAAAATAGAGGTAGATACCATGATTAAAGCCTCAGACTATCGCTGGAATGTGTGGGGTAGTGTGGACTGATGCCCTCTTCACAACTTTGGAGTTAAATTGTTCATAAACTGTTCAACCCCCTAAAGCAAGATGGAGCCTTGGACCTCCTGGCAACATAACAATTTAAGTGAGATGACGTTGTTATGGTGCCCAGAGTTTTCCTTTAAAACTGAAGAATACCAGGGGAAATTGAATAGTTTAAAGAAAACCCATGGTCTGAAATCACACCAGACAAGCTGCCCCCAGCTTGTAAGAACAACAAAGAAACAAAAACTGTCCATGAGTGAAGAAGATATGGTGGAATTGTAAAACCCAAACAAACTAAAAGAACAAGGTGGTATGCGTCCATGTGTTAAGATGAGAAGGAGACCGCAGCCTCGGGGAGAAACTGCCTGATTCCCCAAACGAAAGGAGACCAACAAAAACAAAGCGAAAAAAAGATAAACTAATATGTGCAAAGAAACTCAATTAGGGGACATTAAATTAACAAATAAATAATGTAATGAAAATGCGACTTAAAAGAGAGAAGCAAAGATGAGAAAAATAGAGAGATACTGAAATGAATAAACTGAAGAAAATGTAGTGGATTGAAATGAAATAATTAATGAGGTCATAAAAATAGAAAAGATACTTGAGAGGTATAACAAAGGCAATTAAAGAATCAATGAACTTTTATTGAAAAAGTGAGTAAACATTCTCCTGAGAGTAAGTGAATAATCACTCAGCGGAGCAGGAAAGTCAGAGAATGAAGATTCCGCAAGAAATCTTTTTATACACTGGGGCTGCAGCTGATGGGTCATTTTTGGGGTTCTCTGTTTCTTTATGTTAGTTTACATTTTGTTGTATCTTTCCTTTCTATTTATAATTTTATTTTTTAATATTTTCATCTAATGCTACTATTTGGAGTGATAAACACAGTAATATAAAAATCAGGATTCCACTTTTCTCCTTAGTCAGTTTAAAGGATCCATTTCCTGTGCGTGTGTTTTTATATTGTCTTATAAATGAAAACCCCAAGCACCATAACAACATACTTCTTGCAAGTGGGTACCCTGCCACCGATTTCCTCCACACCGGGTCTTATAAATAATTTCAACTAGAAGCCAGCCTCCTCACTTTGAGGCAACACAGAATGTGGCTTATGCTTTCAGGTAACCTGATTTATTGAAGGACAAGTCACAGTAGACCGCATGATGTGTATCAGTTTCCATACATTCTTTTTTTATTCATCCAGATCATTAGAATCATTAGTTCCACAATGTTTTACAAGATTTTTAAAGCTGTTGATTTACTTAGTAGGCAACAGAGTCCGTTTGATTATTTACCTGGCAGATTATCTGATTATGTCTCAGGAAATACAGACCATGACTCTTGCCATGGGGATTGAATCTTCTTGTTCTTGTCCGGGTTGGAAAGATATCTATTTTAATTCCATCACGTATATATTGGAATTTCTGGATTTCATGATAGAGTCATGACATAATTTTTTTAGTCAATAAGACCACCATATTACAATAATGGAGGCATTTTATCTACACGTGCCCTCACCTACCATGTTGTGGCATATTTCCCTTATGAGCCCACCCATGGGCGTCTGGTTGGGTTTACTCTAATATTAATGCAGTTGGACTTAGTGCCCCCTGGCCTCCACGCTTTGGCAAAAAGTGGGGGCCCTTTTATTAATAATTAAGGGGGGTGGACTGAGTGTCCCCCCCTGACCCTCAACCCTATTATTAATTAAATTGGGATGGGAACCCTAATATTAATATATATAATATTAATTATATAGGGGGGAGGACCTTGTGTCCTCCCCCACCCTGGCTCCCACTCATAGGCAATGAGTGGGGGCCCTAATATTTGGACAGCTCATGAATGGGAAGCCTCTGATTGGTCATTCCTGGCATAGCTTTAATAGATGTGATGGGAAATGACCAATCAGAGAGAGAATGGTTAATTTACATTAGATGCAGACATTAGATCTGCAGCTATTGCAAGCGAAGATTCAGTTTAAACATTCAAAAATAATTTGCATGTTTTCTTTAGAGTGTTCAATTGTATGTTTTAATTCAAATGCCACAGTTGTAATTTACGGTCAAGGTCAAACTCAAACATACTTACTGTATATATATATACACATATATATACCACCAACTTCAGAGCTCACACAATTTAAATGTATGTACATATTGTTTCTGAGGATAAATTCCAGATATGAAAAGTTAGAGAACTAGTTTCATATCCCATTCCATATTTGCTGTTGTACTCTGCCCATTCCCCATTGGAGTTTTGATGTCATAAATAATTATCCTTCATCAAACAGTAATTATTATCAACTGGCACAGGCTCTGCGAGTCTAGTCTAGTGATTTCCAAGGCTTTTCACTTTCCCCACTAGAACACAATTTGTAAATGTCTAAATCCTGTTTGTGTGCCTTGGGTTATGTTCAATTTATTAGGGTCAATTGAGAGTTTGATGAATTTCTATTCTGTATTTGGAATTTAGACACTTTTTAAGTTTGTAATTATAATTGCTAATTCAAATTGCACTTTAAACTAAACTCCAAATGTTACTCCAATTTACACTTGAATTTAAATTTTATTTGCAAATGTTTGGCCCAAATTTGGTCATACAGACCAAACAGAGATGCATGAACGAACATGTAGACAGTGGCGTCACTATTGTTGGTATCACCCGGTGCGGTAACTCACGGTGTCACCCCAACCCCCTTCATGTCCCTTAGCGCTCCTCCCTTCCCTGTCCCTTAGTATTCCTCCTCCCCCATCCTTAGCTGTTTCTTAGTGCCCCCATTCTCATTATGTTCCTCCCCCCTTACCTGTCTTTTAGTGCCCCCCTATTCTCATTATGTTCCTCCCTCCCCCTTTGTGTTCCTCTCCCTTCTCTTTTAGTGCCCCCCCCACCTGTGTTCCTTTTCCCTTTCCTCCCCTGTACCTTAGTGCCCCCCTTAATGTTCCTCTCTCTCCCCTAGTATCTCCCTCTCTGTCCCATTGTGTTCTTTCTCCCCCTCTCCCCTGTCTCATAGTGTTCTTTCACCCCCTCCCCTGTACCATAGTGTTCTTTCACCCCCTCCCCTGTCCCATAGTGTTCTTTCTGGTTGCACATAGCAACAAAGAGCAGCCACTGTTCATATGTGCTACAAGAAAGACAAATACGGGGCAATGCATGTTTTAAATGATTTTTTTTTCTTTTGTTTAAAATTATACCCGTCCCCGGTGTGCCTCCTACCTTTCTGGTAGCGTGGCCGGGCGGAGCAGACCAAGGTACAGGAGCTTCGGTTTCCTGTACCCGGCCGGACTGACAGCAAGTGCTAACTGAGAGAGCACTTCCTGTCAGTCCGGCCGGGTACAGGAAACTGAAGCTCCTGTTCCACGGTCTGCTCTGCTTTGGCGACGCTACACTGAGTGACTGGCAGGAGGGAGCGCTGTGCGCCCACCTCCTGCTGGTCACTCCAATCTAAGGCGGCCACTTGTATGCCGCCTTATGGACGTGCCGGCCCTGCTGGTGTCACCGACCCCCCTCCCCTCTCCTCCCCACCCACCCCGTGATGCCACTGCATGTAGAATAAAGTGCAGGAGATATTCAGAGATATGACTGAGTTGGTTTTAAGAATTCATGAGAATTAATCAGAGAACCACATTAATGTGATAATTGTACAGGTTTAATACCATTCATTTCCGTTTTACTTCTATAAAGCAAAAAACATGTTAGCACAATTTTTTATTCAACACTGACATCTAGTGTTTGAAATCTAGAAAACGTTTCCATTTATGTATTTTTGTTTAGCTAATGAATCTACCCATCCAGTTCTGATTATTAGGAATAATTGTACAGAAGTAAAATTAGTTTATTAGTTAAAATTAGTTATTAGGTTTCTTCCAGCATGAATAATGGGTGGCAATTAAGAAAACAAATGCATTAAGGTTATCTCTCATCTTAAATGTGTATAAACAATGTTATTAGTATTATTATTACCAAATCATTGATACCCCCTGACATGATTTAGCTTCAGAAAGTGCTAGATCGATCTGTCTGTCTGCCCGTCTGTCTATATAATCTGAGATTAATTCAAATTTACAAAGGTGATTTTTTTTTTTTTTTGAAGAGGTTACTACACAACGAATTATGTGAGATAAATCATCTGTAAACGGTGCAATTAATTGCTGTGCAAATTTTGATTCTAGATGCACTCATTTTTAAATGTTCCCAAAAATATTCAAAGACTATGTCACTGTTCAAAAGACTGTCAATATGACACCTATCTAATTGATAACATTATAAAAGGAGGGGGGAAAAAAACGAATAAAATCAAATCACTGTTTAGTAGATATAGTCCCAATACAAACATGCATGTATCTAATTATGCATATTTTCATTTGCGGTATATCTAAAAACTGCTTACAAAACAGCAGATCTCTTGTCTGCAACCTTTTCAAGCCCTCTCCTTCTTCCCCAGACCATACTTTCTGTGGCTGTCCAATCACAAACTTCCTAATGTTGCTCAATAAGAAGTCTTTGCAAATCAGGTGCACTGGGCAATTGCCTACCTTTTGCTTTGCTAAGCTAAAAATAACAGGAAGTAACAGGACCCGTTTTTAATGGAAACCAGGGGGTTGTAACAAGGTTAATTTATAAAAGTATCAATTTCTACTGAAATCTGCTCTTCTTATAAAATGAAAACGGACATAACCGTCTTAACACAAAGAGCAGTTCAGCAAACTAAAGTGCGTTAGGGATATAGAGTTTCCCTTTAGGATTTAACTAATGACTTTGACAGTTTATAGACAATAAACTATGGCCTCAATTTAATTATTTTGGATAAGCTTTTCAAATGATCACAATCAAATAGAATTTTTTTTTAAAGTTATCTACAGAAGTCCCCATTATATTCCATGATTATTTATATATTTATTTTTATAAATCATATAAAAAGTCATATAAAAACACACTGATAACATACAGATACACAGACACATACTAACAGACATGCTGACACACTGGCACATATACTGACACACACACAGACACATACACTGACAGACACCCTCACAGGCATACTGACACACACACTCATACAGACACTGACACTCACACAGACACACATACTGACACACACATATAAAAACATACACTGACAGACATACTGACACACTAACACATACATACAGACACTGACAGACATACTGACACACACTCAGGCACACAGACACACATACTAACAAATATTCTGACACGCACACAGGCAGTCACACATACACTGATAGGGATACTGACACACACACACTCAGACACACAGGCAAAATCTACACTTTGAAAGCCACCCTCCAGATTCTTACCTTTTGCTGGAGGGTGGCTTCACAGGGGTCCAGTGTGCTGGCTGCGGTGGCTAGGAGTTGGGGTCCAACTCTCCCGGCCTGGACCCCTCCGCACTGCTTCTTCAGGGTTCTCCCTCCCGTGCGGCTCTGCCCCAGCTGGGAGGAAGTGACCGTCACTTCCTCCCACATACTGCCGAAAATCAAGGGGCCCGGTCGGCTGTTAAAGGGCCACAGGGCCCCTGCTTACAAATGCCCACGGGATGGCCCTAACTGCATGGGCCACCCGATGGGCCCCCTTAGTGTGCAGGCCCGCTGCCCACAACAATTTATTTAAGGATCGGTGATCCTAAAATAAATTGTTGTGGGCAGAGGACAAATGTGGCGGCCCCTTTGGTCTCCCCAAGAGTAACTGGGCCCGGGGCACCTGCCCTGTTTGTCCCGCGTTAAAGACGGCCCTGAATGTAGGTAGTTTGGCTGAGCAAATGAAATGGAACTTTGGCGATTGTTTGCAACGGGCAGGGCTTAAACAAAGATCATGCATCCACCCCATTAGAAAAAGTAGTCTTTTTATCTGCATCTATAAAGTAGGGTGAATTTATTAAATAAATAAAATCAAAGACAGACAGAAACAGATACATTTAAAAGCAAAACCTGCAAAGTCATAGAGCTGCTTTAAGTAATCTATGCTTTCACTTTGGCTATTTTGGCCAAATTTTTAATTTACTATAATTCACTTTGGATTCCATAAAATCCACAGTTTACTGTCTATCACAGGTGGGAGTACGGACAGAAGATAGACGTAAGTCTAAGATCGTAAGGGCCTAGACGGGACATACTTGTGTATTAGGGAGGATAGGTAGGTGGGAGCAGCATTATGTAGAGATTTGAAAGCAAAAAACAGAATTTTAAATTGAGCCCTTTATCTTATAGGAGGCCAATGTAGAGACTGACAGAAGGGTGAGGCGTGGGAGGTGCGTGCGGACAGGAAGATGAGCCTCGCCCCCACATTCATTATGGACTGTAATGGCGCAAGTTGGACCACTGAGAAGCAGATTACAGTAGTCAAGGCGAGCAAAGACAGTGGAATGGACCAGCACCTTAGTCGCATCTGGTGTTAAGTAGGGGCGGGTGCGCGCAATGTTTTTGAGATGGAAACGACAGGCGATAGACTGAACATGAGGCTTGAAGGAGAGGTCGGAGTCAGAGAAAACACCTAGGCAGCGAGCCTGCGTGGTGAAGCTGATGGTAGCACAGTTGACTTGGAGGGAGACAGACACAGTAGTAACAACACTTGAGGGAGGAAAGACCAGAATTTCAGTTTTGGTCAAGTTTAGTTTAAGGATGTGGGCAGCCATCCAGTTAGAAATAGCAGAGAGGCAGTCAGAGACACTAGTCAAGAGGGACGGGGAGAGATCAGGAGAGGGCAGGTAGATTTGCGTGTCATCTGCCTAGAAATGATATTGGAAGCCAAAGGAGCTAATGAGTTTACCAAGGGAGGCAGTATAGATGGAGAAGAGTAGGGGACCAAGGACTGAACCTCAATCAATAAACATATCAATAAACATACAAACTATACAATTTAAAAATGTGAATTATATATGATGTGATTTAGGACCCGATAAATCAAAGAAAATGGATGATATTCCAATACTAATTATTATATATAAATATTCATATAAAGCTCACTGTACAAACAGGTACTGTGTCAAATTTGCACATTTTAATGACTGTCTTTCTTCTCACATTTTAAAAAAAAAACTAAAACAATGAGATGCGGACGTCTACTTCTATAATGTTGATATATTTTCGACTTCTCTCAGTTCAGGTAATTTTCCCTTCTTCAATAAGCAAATATCCTTTTTGATAGATTCCGTTTTCTCTTTTTGACATTTAAGGATGTTAAGAGAATCCTGAAAAAGAACAATATTTGGTTTACCATGTAAAATGTGCATATAACTAAACATACAATAAAATGGAATTCTAGGAACAGGTATTAGTACAGGTATTAAGCTAGAAGAGTAAATATGCATAATCTAATTTATAAGATTTCACATACCTGGTACAGCCCTTTTTAAATATCTTTCTTATTATAATTTGCCTTTTTTGTTCTCAAAACGTTTCATCACATGGTATACATTCAATAGATATGAACATTGTATTTAAAAAAAAAAAATCACTGACTCCTGATTCGCATGACGTTGGAGTTAGGAGCTATATGACTGCATATGCATGTATGTATCTTATTCTTAAATTATCATGACCATAATAATTTATAATTGATCATGTCTTATGATGAGTGAGACCATGCCTGACTCCCACAGCCTATATAATTTATTACAAATATAATGGACCAACTCCAGCCAAGAATGTCTCTTCAACCTGTTTGAATTGGCCTATTGTGTTTATTTTTTGGTACTATAGAGTGTCCTTTTAAGTTGGGATCTACTCACAATTAGAGATGTCGCGAACCGTCCGCGAACTTCTCGCGAACGGTTCGCCACAGTTCGCCACGAGCTGTTCGTGGCGAACTCCGGTCAGCTGACACGTCCCGGCCAATCTCCAGCAGACCCTCCCTCCCAGACCCTCCTACTTCCTGGACAGCATCCATGACGATTCACGACAACTCTACTCACAACGCACTGGCAAAATGAGTTCTGGAACACCGAAGATATTTTCACTTTAATACAGTGTTGTGCTATAAACTATACAGCATATTATAATTATTAAAAGTAAAGATGACATAAATGAACTGACCTGTAAAGCCTGCACCCTGCTTATCCACAAAATTGCGTTTCTGTCGTCAGTATTCTCAGAGTGATTAACAATACTACGGTATGCTTTTCTTAAATGTTTTAATTCAATCACAACAGATGTAATCTATTGGAGAAAACGAAAATATTTTACGAATACCATTCCATTTACCAATACCTTACAAGATTTCAAATGGACAAAGAGGGACACTTTAATTTTAGGGGTGTGTCCAAGGGCAGAGCTGTTCTGAGAACTTAAACAATTTATGTAACAAAAGTAATTTTGAGCAAGAACAATGTAGCTTCGTTACTTAGACACATTTCTAAACAGTTAGAACTACTAAATTTAATGTAGTTATCTTGTACTACTGTCCTCATTTAGTTCCTTGGTGTCCCGCATCTGGCCCGATCACGTCATTAGATGTGCTTATACTGTGCAGGGGCACTAGAGCCCTGCAGAGAGTGCTTCAGCAGCACTGTCTATAGCAGGTTGGAGTCCAGTCATGAAGGCCCGTTCGCTTGACAGGTCCATCCATTTTCCAGGTAAGCCCACCTCTTTTCTGGGCAGGTTCACCCATTATGAGCATTATAAGTGATGCGAATTGCGCCACTGGCAGCTACCACTCAAGCCTGGCCACCTGTCCCAATCTCATTCCTCCCAATGTTGGGCGATATGGATTAGTGGTCTCCAACAGAGTGCCCAAAGGCACATCAACAATCCAGGTTTTGTTAGTAAACACATAGGAACAAAATTCAGGACTGTTCAGCGTATTAGCTTTTATTCTTATATAAGTATAAAGGTAGACTTCTCCTGGTTTACTGGGTTGGAAGCCACTAGTCTAGCCAACTCTGCTGGGCCTGAGATGGATAGAAATTAATATTAGTAAAATGTCTATTTACAATATTACCAGTGTTCATTCGCTACTGAAAATGTCCACTAGAGCACCCCCTCCCATCGAATAAAGAATTTCATCTCACAAGAATGGCATCTCCATCCAGAGCTGCACCCAAGATGCTGATGACCTCACACCATGTAGGAAGTCCATCAAGATAAAACACTTAAACAAATACCAATTAAAATGTACATTTCATGTCCTCCCATATTTTGCATATGATGTATTTCTGCCTTTATAAGGGGCTTGCCGCCCCCTAAGTAAACATTCTTCGAAGCTTTCGTTTAACTGATACTGTTGTCAGTGTGATTTCTTCGGCGTGCGTGCACTTATACTTTGAAATCTGGACAGGGGTAGATATTCAAGCAAACACTTGGTTTGGTCTAAAACATTACCACTTCCTATGAAAACATAATTTATATATATACTGGCATATTTATACAATATCCATTTCCATGCAAATTATTTACACACAATATTGCATAATATCAACTATTCATACCATGCATACATTCAGAGACCTTTATTTTATTACAGTCTGTCACGTCATGGCCACTCTCATAGGGATAAGCCATTTGCCAGAAAACAGTGCCTTTCATTACAAAGGAGTCATTGTCTATGTTTTATTCCCATTATATATATCCCTCTCTGTTTTGTGCATCCATTAGACTGAGGTTTGTGAAGTACGATGTTCTATGCTGCTTGGTATTGGCTCTTACTTGGCTATCTCTTTTGTGACAGTTGTCTGTTAGGCTGACGTGCTCATTGAGAAGCTGTTCCACTTGTTTTCTGCTTTTTTCACTTAGGATATTAGATTTCTGAGAGGAAAAAAAGATGTTTTGCATCACATAATGATGTTTTCTATTAGCAGTGGTTTAGAACACTACCAGAAATTCATTACACTCATTTTAATATACATAGTTAGCAAGAAGTCTCAGCCTATTTATGAAGGGCAGTATAATATCTAACATTTTGAACCCAATAGACAATGGGTTCCCGACCCAGTCCTCAAGTACCCCCTACCAGTTCAGGATTTAGGGATTACCCTGTTGTGTTAACGTGTTTATTTTTTCCTACAAACACCTTAGACACAACTTGATAATCCCTAAATCCTGGACTGTAAGGGGGTACTTGAGGACTGGGATGGGAACCACTGCAATAGACTATGGAGTTGATTTACTACGCTTCAAGTTATGAAGATTTAAGAATAAACTGGCAAATCGAAGGGTTGAATATTATCTACAATTCATATACTTTAAAATGTTCTAAGACTTTAACATGTATTTGGTCGTATTATGCCTGATCCAAGTATTATGGCATTTACCGAAATGGAGGCTTCTGTCCAAACATCATATTGCACAGTTCTTCTACACTGTTACCCCCATCACTAAAACTATAGTATGAATTATAGTATTCAGATAAAATATAGTTGAATCTGCAAGGGGATCTATTCCAAAATCCATATCTTGGTAAACTTCCTGTATATTTGGCAAAAGTGACATTTTTTGTAGCCTTTCACTAGAGACTGACACATCTACCCCGAAATTGATAACTGTATATCAGTCCATTTGGGGACCTTACACCATTCTGCCTTTATTTTTAAAAGGGGATATGGTACAATGATAAAATTTGACATAAGGAGAGTTCGGTAAGAGACTGTAAAACCGGAGGTTGGGTGAGATTCAGAAAACATCAAGTTTGGGCAATTATCATAATTTTATATTGTAGACAGAATTGTGTTGTTATTTACCTTTACTTTCTTTAGAATGAAAAGCAGGTACTTCAAAGCTTCATCTTTTTCATGACCTAATCTTGCATTGCTTTTAAGAAGACCTTTACAACAGAGAAATGCATGGGTAATTGGTAACAAAAAGAAAACATCTTACCTCCAGTGTTATTTGGTTTACAGGGCTAATCGCTAAAGTCAGAATTCAAAGTGGACGTAACAAAACTAGAAGCATAGCTGAGGCCTAAAAGACATTCTATCTGCAAAACCCAGTCAAAAATGATCAGGTTTTGGACCACAAGTTTATTACATTTCGACTGGATTTATTACCAGCCGATAAACCAGTCAACTGCTCAAGAAAAATCAGACACACGTTTATAAACCTTTTTAATGACTTATCCTGTCAGTCATTAAAAAAAGAAGCTAGAGGTGCTTCCTGGGTCAGTGCTGCACAGTGAGCAGCACTGCCATTCAGTGTCTCCACCCTCTGCATGGAGACACTGAACTTTCCTCACAGAGATGCATTGATTCAATTAATCTCTATGAGGAGGTGCTGATTGGCCAGTGCTGTGTTTGTCTTGTGCTGGTTCTGCCCCTGATCTGCCTCCTTGACAGTCTCAGCCAATCTTATGGGGAAGCATTGTGATTGGCCCACCACTTCTGATGATGTCAGCAGACAGCAGGCAGTTTCAGAGGCAGACAGGGCAGAGCCAGCTGCTCAACTTGAATACAAGTAAGATTTTACTATATTTAGGGAGGCAAGAGGGGCAGAGGGGGGCTAGATGGTGGTTTTAACACTATAGAGTCAGGAATACATGTTTGTGACACAAAAGTGTAACATTTAGTGTTTTAGAGGTTTATAAATTTCTGATTTAGTTTTTTGTTTACAGATTTCAAAATTTTTATTATTTTTCAACATTTTGTCATATATGCTTACGTTGTAATTTTTGCAGTAAATTTGCCAGATGATGACAATATTCAATGAGGAGTTCGGACTGCCCATTATTTATTTCTGACTTCTTGCTACAAATAAAATAAGCTATTAACTAGTGTGTAGAAAAATGTCATATTGCTCATACAGAAACGTGTTGAACTCAGTATAGCATTGAACATTCTCACTACACAAGGTTGTTATCATATCTGTCCTCATCATGATACAAAACAGTACTTTCAATGAGTCTACAATTTGCAAACAGGTCTTGATAGTGTTCCTTGGTTGGTTTATTTTCTCATTATAGCACATTAAATTCGAGGTGATAAATTTAATTTAAACAATTTATTTATTTTCATTGAGTCATTTAATGTACAAGTTAAAATGTATATGCACAGTATAATCATGACTACTTGACGCATGTACAATAGAGATTTGACATGTGCACAGACAAATATTCTGTGATTTTGGTCATTCTGTCAAACCAAATTAGATTCTTTTTTTTTTTTTGACTGACTTTCCATCACTTGTATTAATTTCTGCTGAAATTCAGTGAAAATTTTAATTGATCACTGAATTTCGGGGGACTTTTAATCTCTAAGGCATGCCAGCAATCATATATAGCAAATATTTAATAATATAACACTTGGAGGTGGGGGGAGGCCAGTCACTCTAAAGACCCCATCCCGTGGGGGCCTGTAAAATAACAGGGGAGGAGGGGGGTAGTGCCATTAGGAGACCCCCATCCTGTTTTTATCTTCTTCATGGATGGGGACGGGGGGTGGACTTAGTAGTATTTTAACATAATCTCATTTGTCAACCTCCCAGTTCTCTAAGTTGGGGGCATTGTGGGGTGCGGAAGGTAGGTGCATATAAACTAGCAAGTGGGCAACAGTAGCTACCAAGTCGCTAGCATTTAATTTAAAAAAGTAGCTCGCTGTTTAGCTGCAATGGCCGAATGTCTTAATGGCGTCCAAATTAAATTCAGCCAGTAGACCATTCTTTCATTGGGAAATTTGGCCAGTGCTGCCTTCGCATTGGGGTTCTAAGTGACCGAAAAACAAAATTTTCTGTAATTTTTGTTATTTTTCCGACTACAAATGCACATGTCTAATAGACATTAGCTGTAAAGAATGAATTTAAATGTTATTAATTGGGTGATCATTGAAGTATGTATGATGCAAGCTCTAATTAATTATACCTTGATTTGCAGGGTATATCTGATTCCAGATAATTTGCTTTATTCGGTACACAAGACTCCTTGTCAACCTTTAAAATAAAGTTAGTTAGAAAGAGTTATTCTGTTTGGTCATAAAAAAACTAGACAGAAACAAATCCCCCAAAAACCATATATTTAAGAATACTCCAAGCTCCCTTTATTTGTAGTAGATTATCTCAGTTCAATGTGACATGACGATTGACAGATAGTAAAATAATTTGCCACGTTAGCTGATGGAAGCGTAATAAAAACCTTTACTGGTAGATATAATGGATGTTCTCAATAAAAATGTAAACAAGAAAATATACAATGTGCAACATAGAACACTACGAGCAAACGTTTAGCAGTATGGAGGGACATTCATTAAATGTAATTACTTTCGAGATAGAAAGATATCGAGTGAAGTGCTTGCAACTAGGAGAGCCGGGTTCTAGAATTTTGATCTTTACAAGAAAGCTCATGTTGGACACAATTGACTATAATAACACCACTGTAGAAATGTACAAAGATTGCTGTGTGTGAAAGAAGATAGATAGAGAGACCGATCGATCTAACACCTACCAAGGCATTATTTTATACTAGATTAGCAAAATTCGGTTTAAAGCGTTAGACCAGTTATTACTCTATTTTTACTCTTACATGGTTAAATATATATTTCTATTTTCCATTTTAATTAATAAAGTTAAAATAGTTACCGGTAAAGATTTTTTGCTGTTCGGTGGTTCAAGGTCTGTTTCTTCCATTGTACATTTCCTGTAACATGACGTAATGTAACCTTTAAACAGTATATATAAGCGGGATAAAAACTATAATCGATGAATAATGTACTATTAATGGTAAATTACAGAAAATACATTCCCAGTAAGTTTTGCATTATCATGAGAAATCTCGTAAAGGGTAGCCATTAGTCAATCAGAGGATTCTATTTGGACCATTAGCCATGAATATGAGGATGCAATGGATTGTTAAACCTTCCTGTGATCTACCATTTAATATGGATACAGACCAGTGGTGGAACTATAGGGATCACTGAGGTCACAAGTGTGACTGGACCCTCTGTTCCACCTGTAATGGAGCCTATGAACTCGCCAGCTGGCTGCCTTAGAGCTCTCGACTAAGGCAGAGTAGGCACCTGCAAGGCTGGATTTCTGTATCATCGGTGGTACAGCAGGAGTGCTAGTACAAAAAGAAGAATAGCATGGCATTCATGGTGGCAGGTTCTCTCTCCCCCGCAGGTAGCCAAAGAAACTGCAAGAGAGCACATGGAGATGACATTGGTGTCCTAACCCTATGTGACTGATGCACTGACGACAGTGAGCTAGCAATGTAGCCAGCATGTTAGCGTCAGCATGGGGGATTGCCATGCTTAGGTAAGTGACCCCAAGCAGGGCCAATCACTCTACACTCACACGCAGCCAAACCCCATGTACAGTCACACTCAGCGAGCCACACACACAATCACACTCTGTGTTGGTTGGCTGAGTTTGATATATATGTGTGGAGTTGACAATCACACTCAGTTAACACATGCACAATCACAATCAGCTAACACATACCCCACTCAAGTGTATTACTTAAGGGGAGCAAGGAGAGGCAATAAGACAGGCCCTTATTTGATTCTTTCACTGGGGCCCTGTATTTCCTATTTATACCCCTGGCATAGACTAATAACAAAGATAACTGTATTTGTCATGCTGGGGTTTAAAGTAATGCTCCACAAACCTAAAGCACGTAAGCTTGCTGAAGTGCATTGTGACTGAAGACTGTATCCTCTTTTTCTTCTATTTTAAAAAAAGTGTATAGATCAGTAGAAATTGGCACTTTTATAAATTAACCTTAGTACACCCCTCTGGCTATCAATCAGACAATCGACCCTCTTACTTCCTGGTTTGGTTAGCTCAGTGGAGCTAAACTCAAGAGGCAGGAAACTGCAAAGAGCACCTGCCTTGCAAAGACTTCTCATTGAACTGCATTGGGAAGTCTGTGATTGGACAACCACAGAAAGTCTGTGATTGGACAGCCACAGAACGTCTGGGTAGGGTGAGAGGGGACGGGCTTGCAAAGGCTGCAGACAAGGGATCTGCAGCTTTTACAAGCGGTTTTTAAATATGCAAAATTAAATGCATACATGTTTTCACTGGGGGAATATCTACAAATTGTGATTTAAAAAAATATTTGAACAGTGTTCTCTCCCTTTAATACAAGGACTGTAAATATAAAGAAATAGCATTAAAAATAAGTAATACATCTGAATAAGAAACAGAAATAAAAATGAACATACTTATCTGGCAATTTCAAATATTCATATTTTCTTGTATTTACTTTTTCTTCATTCTTTCTAACCTGGGAAAATGTATTTTAAATGATTCGCTTATTTTCTAATCGTGATATAAACTTTCAGTAAATTGTTATACAATTACATATAGTAAAACATCTCATTGTATTTGACAATGTATTTTACTTCTGTAAAGTACAAAGTCAATTTTGAAAAATACACAAATGTCCTTTTTTTAATATTACGGGATATTAGACGAGATCACATATTCCTTCACACTATACTACAGGTTCAGTTTTACCTTCAGCTGAAAGTAAATTAACCAAAATAAACTTACAAAGCTGTATCAAGATAAATCGATTCATTAGTACTTAATCATAGGCTGTTAAATTATACATCCTCGATCGTCTTTGCTCATCGAACGCTTCTTTTCACATTTTTTTATTGCGAAGTAGTATTTTGCGTACATGGGCATACAAATTAATTATTCCTCTTGATACGTGGAAAATCAAATATTGAGGTACAACTATTTGGTGTTGGGATTCTTTTTTTTTTATTGTGAAATGGAATTGTAATGAGAACCAACTTTGTGCCCATTTACACAAATTTATGTCAGTCTATAAAGGACAGATCAGTACAACTATTTTATGTATTTATATATTATAACACCAGAATGGTAGTTTGCAATCATACCTTATATCTCTTTCGTCTTGTGGAAGTCCTAGATTTAGAATCCATTGGTGAGTTTTCAGAAATGAAGTGTATATTTTCGGGAATTTGACGCTCCTTATTTTTATCATCATGCAATGATTCAGATTTCTTTTCCAAAGTCATATTCTCTTCATATGATCTAAAAATAATTGTGCTTTTTTGTTGTTGTTGTTGTTATGTATAATAACTGCAGGTTATTATGAACTACTATTGTATTAACTGTATTTTTTAAAGGAACACTATAGTGTTACGGATACAAAACTATATTCCTAACGTTATAGTGTCCCTTTCTCCATAGTGTCCCTTTCCCGAACCCTCGCCCCACCCCCACCTCCAGTGTATAAAGATTTAAAAACCCTTTAACACTTGTTTCTAACGCTGTGGTTCCTCAGCGTTGGAGCCCTTGAGAAGGTAAAGCATTTTCTATTGCCAGCTCCCTAAAAAATTATACCTTACCTATTATGTATTTTAAAAAAAATCTACCTTTCCTTTTATAGGTCGATATACTGCAGATAATGAAATGGCATCATATAAATGACTGCATGAAATTGGAAATGATCACCAACCTTATGTTCAATATACAGTATGTTGCAAACAAATTATTCTTTTATAAATGCAATACAGGTAACTTCTACAATTGCAGATGGTTAAAGATCATTAAAATGATGCTAACAAAAGGATAATGTAGCAGGGATACTGAATAATGTTTATAAGATGTGCTGTCCTGTGTTGACATCTAGTGGTTAGTGAAGGTACTGATCCAAGACACTATTATTTGACTAATAGGCAACATTGCTTATCAAATAGTGTCACATTTCAATCACATATTAATATTTGGTATTACTTTAAAAAGAAGATTGCCTAGATATGGTTAAGAACACCCCCCCACCCCTCCATCCCAACCAAAATATTGCATTTCTAAAGAAGGCATTATCAAACTGTAATGTAGATGCAGGAGTAAACAAATAGAGTAATCAATTCATTAACCTATAACCTATAAATTACTCGTCAGGTTAGCAACCCTGAGAACATGGTCAACTAAATAGCAGATAAACTGAATATAAATCAAGCTTTGCATAACAAATATAAACTCTATAGAAACCCTCTGAGATAGAGGAAAAATAGAAAATAACTAGGAAAGAGGCAATCTGGAAAACACAGGGGAAAAGGTGCGTTCCCAATAAAGGAAACAGGGTGGACCTCCGAGACTGGAAGAAAGATAAGAATTCTACATAAAGCGAATTACCAGCTAATTGGATAAAATAGAAAAAATAAATCAAAAAGAGGAATTCAAAAATATAAGGTCTATAATTTGCATGTAACATGACATAAGTGGCAGCATTAGTAAAGTGAACCTGTCATTGCAGATATAGGTTTATTGTTATACAATTACATGACCCAATTCTGCCTCTAGAGACCCTAGCCCTACACTACAGCTCTTATCCCTCCACTATAGCCACTATTCTCCCACTGCTATCCTCCCCACTATCCCTTGCTACCCCCCACTATAATAACTATTTTCCCAACTGTGGTCCCTATCCTCCACCATAGCCACTACTCCCTCACCATAGCCTCTGCCCCCCCACCTTCCCCACTGATGTGCCTACCACCCACTACACACCCTATTTCTCCACTACATCCTCTATAATTCCACTAGAGACCCTAATCCCCCATTACAGCCCCAAGCGCCACCCCTAGACATGCAACCCCACAAGCAATATTTCCACAGACATACACAGTAATCCCACAAACATACAACAACACAAGCAGCCTTCACAGAAATACACTGTAACGAATGCTGGTATTTCATATACCAGTTCATTTGTATGCTCCCAAACTGCTAGGGACTTATATTATAGCCCGCAGCCCAGAGTGCTGATTCGTACATTCCCCAAGAATCAAAGTGCAGCATAAAAGTAAATCCAGCGGTTCGTCAGTCACATACCCAAACATAAGCCTAGATTAGATACACTATACACGCCCACAAAAACTCCCACAACACGCCCACAAATTTCTGAGTCACAATCACTCTGCATAAAACACAAAATATCAAAAATACATTAAAATACACATAAAACATATAGGAATCCCCATAAATATCATATCCCCGGATAGCTTTGATCTGACCGCCCAAGTTGTCCAAATAGCACTCAGATCCCAAGAACACAGCCGAATCGCCATCAGGGTAAAGTTTTGATCGCCTCATGAGGCGCTTGCCCAGCACAGTTCCACAGTTTCAGAGGTAGCAGTGGGTAAATTTCAGGAGTTCCAAACTTAACTAAACAACAAACAGTTCCCCTAGCTCACAGGTAGCATTTGTTCACCTTGTTCGTGTAAACAAACCTAACGAAGAGGTCTTTCCTGGCTTGTCTGTGAAAGGAAGCAGGTGTTCGTGAAAGTGTCCAGGGTTTGCGGGGTCGAGTGTCCAACTTGGAGTTCCAGACACTCAATGACCAAGTTCTGCTGCCTTCTTTCGTGTAACAAGATGGCCGCCGTTTTCTCCAGCAAGTGGCTTTTGGTTATACAAACGGCGGCCACACAGAGAGAGCACTTAATCCTGTGGTTTCCTTGTATTTAATGAGCCGGGGGGGTAGTCGGTATTCAGTAGATTTATCTACCGAATGTAGGGAAAGTGTTTTTTGTTTGGGAAACCATAAAACAAACCAGGGTAATGTCTTGTGAGCAGAAGAACAAGATAGTGAGTATGGCACAAAGTATATGGCCCATAGTCGGTGGGCAGGAGGCTAGCTTCCACACTCCTCCAGGAGTTTGTGGCAAACGTCCAGGGTAAGGAGCGTTCGTCACATACACATAGAAACATAGAATGTGATGGCAGATAAGAAACATTCGGCCCATGTAGTCTGCCCAATTTTATAAATATTTTCATTAGTCCACGCATGCTTAAACTCCTTCACAGTGTTAACCTCTATCACTTCAGCTAGAAGGCTATTCCATGCATCCACTACCCTCTTAGTAAAGTAATACTCCTGAAATTAATTTTAAACCTTTGCCCTTCTAATTTAAGACTATGTCCTCTTGTTGTGGTAGTTTTCCTTCTTTTAAATATACACTCCACCTTTACGTCACACACCCTCTCCCAGCTCTGTCCCACTTATCATCCAACCACCCACCTTGTCACATTCACCAATCACACTCCAAACTAATCGTATAAATGCATGTAATCAAATATTCCAAACGTTGTACTTGTGTGATATATATATATAGCATGGGGCAACAAGGAGGGTACATCCAGCCCTGCCGGCATCCCAGTACTGCTCTATGAGATACATCATAAGGACAACCTCTGGGTAATAGGTAAGTTTCTACTGTTTATTTAAAGGAAAGGAGGAGCATTGGGTTCCAGGAGATTCTCCAACACTCCAATGTATTTATTTATAATGCTGGAGTGTTCCATAAGAGATTAATTTGAACGGTAGTAAGAGGTCACATACCTCGATTTGCAGGGTTCACTGGATCCCGAACAGATTTCATTACTCTGTAGAGAAGGCTCTTTTTCAAGCTTCAAGAAAATGTTGTTAGAAATTTATGTAGGAAATAACAAAGTTATGTCAAAGTCGGAAACAAAAATCTAAGTACAAAAAATCTCAGGTCAGTGGACTATTCTGATTTAGGACTAGACTCTATTGCATAAGACAACCAAATCACTGGTAATAGCATAGTACTTGTCCCATAACTGTCAATAGATTAAATGGTATTCTGTTACTGGCGGTAAAGTGATCTACTGAATCAAGCAAGTTGAATGACAGTGAAAGTGGGTATTTGGTATTAGCAATATGATTGAATGTTTTGATAAGTGCGGGGCACGTGGGGTGCTATAGTAGAACTTTTATGAAATTTCCATATTTGCAGTATAACGTTGGAAGGCAATGAGATATTGAAAATACTTGGGGGGGGTTATCTGGGAGCCTATTAGACCCGCGCTCTCAGTGTGTGTATCATTTTTGTTCGAAGTTGATAAGCTGACTTCCACATTAACCAAACACCAGCAGAGAGGACAGGCTACAGGCACCAAGGAAAGCATTGTAAAATTGTCAGATCTCAAAAATGGTTGATATTAACCAGAGAGGACAGAAATGCATTAATTAAGTTAGGAATTCTTTAGGCAATGAATAACTAAAGAGTTTGAATTAATCAATCTTGTTGGATTTGGACCCAGTCATAGATTGCCAAAAACACTACCATACCATGTAATATATGAATACTTGTAACTAGCAGTATGTAATATTCATATGCTTGGTTAAATTAGTTAAATATAAGGAATACCATAGGAACTGCCAGAAATAATTTACTGATTTTTATATGACAACATAGGAATTCTACACACTTCCAGCAAGCACCATTCATGAACCCAACAGCATGTGGAACTCAAAGATACTCTGGAAAAATATGGCTCAGATGTCAACTCTAATTTAACTACAGCTTTTTAGATAAGTTGGTGTGTGACCTCAGCTACATTCCCAAGACTAGCAAAGAACTGCAAGCCCTGATTGTTCAATTCTTGTTGGTTAAGAGCAGCAATTAGTCAAGAAACAATTGAGGCTATACCATATAAATAGAAATGGTAAACAAACTTACATCTGCATCCAAAGATACCGACCACACTTGCCAATTACAAGTTTGCATGCATACATCAAGAAAAGGCAGATATTGCAATTAATTGTTACTGATTTACTGCAAAATGCATAGGGGTCAAGCTCATTGTTTATATCCTTTGTATAGCTTATATTATAAACAGGACTGTGCTTTGACATTCTGGGCTAGGAAGGTCTTTCAGCTACGTGGAAACAAAGCAGGAACAATCAGCCCTTTTCACTGCCCTTCATTCATTATTGTTGATAAGAAAAATACGTGGTCTTCAAACTTCCACTGACCTTGTTTCTGGTCCCCCTTGCTGTACTATCGCCCATATTAGCATTAGTAACCACAATCTAAGTTTGTATATTTGAAGTGGATTCTTTTCCCCTTGATTACAAGTTACAGTTCCCTGGATTTTATTCACATTTGATGCTATATTTAACGTCACCGCTATTATCATTGCATGCAGTGTATCCAGCCCTCCATTCAAGTTATCCTGCTTCGGTACAGGTATGGTACACATATCCATACAGATAGATGCAGCTGTTTTCTAGTGTAAGCTAAAATAGGACATATTCTCCAATTCAACCATAGTCATAGATTGTCTATTAAAGGTTTATGTACTATGGGGCTACCATTTGCTATACTATGAGAATTATTTAATAAGGGTGTTACTTCAGTGATGTCATGTGTTTTTTTCTTGAGAGCTTTTCATACATCTCTGTCCTGTCCCCCCGTTATGTTTTCTTTGGGGAACTTTTAATTTCATGCTGTACCTTATACATCTTTAGTCTGCAGGATGTCCTGGAAGTTGCCTTTGAAGATGGTGAAATTTCAGAAATGTGATATAAATTTCTTGAAAGTTGTTGTATTTTACTAGTGTCTTCCTCTAATGATTTTGATTCATTTCCCAAAGTTAGGGTCTGTCCATCAGATCTTGAAAATAAAATAATTAAATAAGTTTATAATAAATCGCTATATTACCCAAAACATCTTTAGATTAATTAAGCAGTTTTGGTGCATAGATAATATGCCTACAAACTCACTGCTCAATTCTCTGCCATTTAGAAGTTAAATAACTTTGTCTATACAGTCATAGCCACATCTCACCTGGCTGAACCTAGCACACTTCCTGAAAAAGTCTAAATGGATTAGCTTTCCTTATTGCACAGTGTGTTTAATTTAGAATTAATTTTCTCCTAAGCAGTTAAAAGCTCGGCTGCCTGGGGGCGCAGCTTGACCGCCAAGCGGAGTGGATGCAGGATGCATGAGCTCCTGCCCGACGGGCAAATTCTGACGGTAAAGCGGCGGCTACGAAGCCCACAGACACCTCAGGGTGCACTACCCATGCTGGGGGTGCACCACAGAAGCGAAAGACGACCGGCAGAGACAGGGGCACTAAACGCCGAACGTGGCCTACAGGGTTTGGAACCGAGGCGAGACGCCCGCTCTCCTCGACTTTGGAACTCCGGAACAACCTGGCAAACACCCTACCCCCCCTTAGACCGGTGGGGGTCATCCTGGTCCGCCCCCGAGGATGGACCAATGGGCCACGCAGCCCACAGGGGTACGGCACAGTTGAGGCACAGCCAAGATGGCAGCCCTGCGCAGGCCCCAGTCAAAGGGCACAAACATCCAGCCACCACTCCAGCCCACAGCGATGATGGACCGGCTCTGCGAAGGCTTGTGGGCAATGCTCCGCAACCGAGGAGAGACACAATACCAAGCGATGAGAGCGGTGGCCACATGGGTTCGTCCAGGTACCGCCATTAAGGAGCTCTGCCGCGGGCCCTCAGAACAGCTACCTGACGGGGTAATGGCAATCGACCAGCAAAGCGGGAAGCGAATACCGGGTACGTGGGCACAAACACTCGTCCCCACACAAGCAGGAACTGGGGTTCTACACAAGTCACATATGCATGCACCTCGCCAGACCGGGGCCAGACCTGCACGGCACACAGCTACCCTCTACGGTGTTAGCCGCCTACCGGCACGCAGGTATGGCCTCCAGGACGGGCATCGGCTGAGGCAATCCGGACAGACACATGATGAGGCCCACAGCCTAAGACCCTGCACACAAAGCAAAGAGTCTCTCCCTCCACAGCCTACGCAAATACCAGATTCTTAATCCCTACCACACAGAGCGTCAAACTCGCTACACTTGTTTGCTTGTGCTTAGCTCTACTCTGCCTAATTTGAATAATTATTTTTATGTTGTTTAATGCGCAAGTTAGGCATGTACCCTAAATACTAGTTTGCACTGCATCGCATAATGCTACTTCTACTAGCTTCTCAACCTGTCAATCCCACCGCTATGCGTATGAGGCAAACATGTCACCTTAAATGCAAGCCACATATTTATAACCTTAAGCGCAACTAATATAACTATAAACGACTCTACCCTAGCAGGTTATACCATATAAGCGAACTGTTTAACATCAAACAGGTACATATGCACTAGCTAAATGTTGTCGCTAGCGTTTTACTACACTACCTGTACTATCTATGTTGCCACTAACCTAATTCACGCATGAACCAATCCTGTTTGCATGATATACTTACATTTAAACTGATGCATCAACATTACATTAATTAAGCCAGATAAAATATAAAAAAATTGTGCCAGTTAATCGTATACCCTGCATGTCAGGGAAACCCCTGAAGATTGCTTTTGGGGCACCTCAAGCTTGCATGTATCATTTACATGCACTACAAAAATAAAGAATTAAAAAAAAAAAAAAAAGCTTGGCTGCCTGCACAAGCCTCCTGTTTGTGATTACAATTAAACTAACAAAGCAAGAGACAAGAACTTCTAAAGTAAACACACTGTACTGTAAGATCTGATTGAAAATGAAACCTTTTTTCATCTGGGGAGGCTGGGGAGGCTGCATAAATAAAGCTATTTAACTCCTAAATAGAGCTGAGTAGTGAGACTGCGGAGGCATGATCTGTACACCAAAACATCTTCGTTAAGCTAAAGTTTTTTTGGTGACTATAGTGTTCCTTTAAGTTACATGATGCCTTATCAAAATAGAGGCTTGAACCTATTTTACCCTCTCAACTACAGCATATAGAACTGCCCATTGTAAAGTGCTTCGGTATATGTTGGTGCTCTATGCTTATCAACAACCATCTACATGTTTAATAGGGATATCAATACATGGTAGACTTATGCACAAATCCTTTTCAGCTGCGTCGAACGAATCAAATTCCTTTAAATCTACAGCTGAACTTTAGTCCAGGATTAACCTCTGGTGTCCGAAGAATCGATTAGTCTGGGCTTAAATGATCAGTAATTTGATTCATTCAACGCAGCTGAAAATGATTTGTGTTTGCTCCTTATTTAGTCTTTGACCCATTATAGCACCTATTTCTGTCCCACTATATCTCCAATTAGTACAGTGTTGTTCTTTTACTCCTATTGGAGTACATTGATGTATTTTATTAAAATTCATATACTGGTGTGATTTAAATGTCAAATACACAAATGTCTTTTCGCCTTCGGGAGCTCCTATATTATATATACTATGGTTCCCCTGTGGCTTTACTAATCTAATTCACATTACTCACAGTAGCAGGAAGTTTGGAGATATACCAAAAGTCACTTTTCTATTGTGAGCTTTCGGAGGATCCTGTTTCTTGCTGGTACAGAACTTTGTGTTCTGTGTTTCCAGTTGTCAAGTAAATTAATCTGAGATTCCTTTTAGGCAGCAAGTACGAACGATAAGCTAAGCCTGAAGAAGTCGCATCAAAGATACGGACACATTTGTTTTCAAGCCAAGGAAACAGAAAAAAACTAATCACTTTTGCACAGGTGTTGTATGTATATTGTTTGTACAGTGATATAATACAAAAGATAAATACGTTGACTGACTGTCACAAATGGGAAAGATAATGAAAGATCAACGTCAATTAGTCAATATAAACCACTTGATTTTTTTTGTATAAGGTAAATATTGCAGATATACTAGAAGGAGTGTTGCCACATCCCTAACAAACATTACTGCAATGAGAGCAAAGACTGCGCATATTAATATAGTATGGCTTGTATAAATTACAAGTTAAAGGGAAACTATAGGGTCAGGAACACAAACATGTATTTCTGAACCCTATAGTATTAAAACCACCATCTAGCCCACCTGGTCCCACCTTGCCTCCCTAAATATAATAAAATCTTACAACTTACCAGTTGAGTTGCTGGCTCTGCCCCTGAACCGCCTTTGGCCCACCTGCTGTCTGCTGACATAATCAGAAATGGTGGTTCGAGCCAATCACAATCCTTCCCTATAGGATTGGCTGAGACTGACAAGGAGGCAGATCAGGGGCAGAGCCAGCACAAGTCAAACACAGCCCTGGCCAATCAGCATCTCCGCATAGAGATGCATTGAATCAATCAGTTCAGTGTCTGCATGCAGATGGTGGAGACACTAAATAGCAGTGCTGCTCAGTGTGCAGCTCTACCCCAAGAAGCACCTCTAGCAGCCATCTGAGGAGTGGCCAGTGGAGTTATCACTAGACTGTAATGTAAACACTGCATTTTCTCTGAAAAGATAGTGGTTACTGCAAAAAGCCTGAAGTTAATGATTCTACTCACCAGAGCAAATACAATAAGCTGTGGTTGTACTGGTGACTATAGTGTCCCTTTAATTTCTTATATTTCACAAATCTGGGAAATTATAATAACAAGTGTAATGTGTTGTTAATACATACTCATATTGACTGATATTCTGAGCTAATTCATACATGTCAGTGCAATCCTGAGGCTTCAATAGGAAATTGCGCTACATGCGTGTACCTACAAACACACTGACAACTGCTGGCAACAATACAAACTCATACATAGGTATCTTGGAAATAATGCACTGAGAATAAAGAAACCGGTGAGACAAGTTGAATTTATATATAGATTGTCACTAGTGATGTCGCGAACCGTTCGCGAACTTCCCGCGAACGGCTCGCCGCGGTTCGCCACAAACCGTTCGTGGCGAACTCCGGTCAGCTGACACATCCCGGCCAATCTCCAGCAGACCCTCCCTCCCAGACCGTCCCACCTCCTGGACAGCATCCATATTGAAGCTGCCTTCAACATGGATGCTGTCCGGGAGGTGGGAGGGAGGGTCTGCTGGAGATTGGCCGGGATGTGTCAGCTGACCGGAGTTCGCCACGAACGGTTCGTGGCGAGCCGTTCGCGGGAAGTTCGCGAACGGTTTGCGACATCTCTAATTGTCACAGTAGTTGGTATAGATTACACATGTGATATAGATAACCTAAGTGGACTCTGAGTTCTCCGTCCTGTGTGATTGCCGTGTTACGTATTTGGCATTGAGGTTGAACGCAGCGGGAAACACTGCCACCTAGCATAGTATACAGTTTGCGTACTCTGGAATGACTTTGAAATAAATAGTACATAAAAAAACTATGGGCCTGTAGTTTCTGCGCTAAGGGCACTTATCTTAAAGGAACACTTTAAGCACCATAACCACTGTGGGGTGATGAAGAGGTTATGGTACCAGGAGTGTCCTAGATCCCCCACATGTAAGTAGTCAAGCCATTTGCTAACAGTTTAACAACTTACCTGGGATCCACCAGGCACCTGTCACCTGTCACCTCCTCCATGACAGCCAGGGGTGCACTCTGAGCACCATAACCAATGCAATGGAGTGTTTATAGTGTCTGGAGTATTCCTTTAATCTGACCCTGCCAATATGATTGTTGTAAGGTTTGCCACCTCAGTCTTCATACACATACTGTACTGGACCTTTCTGGAGTTATAGAAATAGTGGTATAATTATGTAAAATCAATGACGTAATAACTATACCTTTCATTCTTCTTCATAATAGATTTTTGGTGTTTTGTCCCTTTCTTCAGCGCACTCTGTAGAAATTCTTTTTGAGACAGCAGCTGTTGCCTTTCTCTCTCCATGTTTTCAAGTTGTAGATTAAGAAATTTCTTTTCGCTGTCTGATCCTTTCACGGTATTTTCAAGTTTTTGAGCACGCTGCTTTAATGATGATACCTCCAAATGTAGATTTTCATTTATCTAAATCAGAAAAAAAAAAAAAAAACATTTTGTCCCAAAACGCAGCCACTTGGGCATATAATGATCTTTTGGGCACTGAGAGACCTGTGTAATTAATCACCAACCTGTACAGGCACATATTCAGCGCTTGCAGGTTACTGAAAAATTCAGGAAGGCAGCTTAGTCACCGGGTTCGGAGTCTCTCTTATCCGGCAGAGAAGAGGAAAAATATGAGGATGGTGCAGTGCCTAATATGTCCTTGGAAATGTGAAGATAATAAAATGAAGAAGGATCTAGACGTGTATGAATCCAGCAGCAATCAAAATGGTCCAGTAAAAAAGTATTTTTATTAATAAAAACAAAAAATAACATTTAAATAAAATAGTATATTTCACTTTTTACTGTTTTAATTTATTTTATTTTTTAATAAAAGTACTTTTTTACTGGACCATTTTGATTGCTGCTGGATTCATACACATCTAGATCCTTGGTGGGGACACAAAACCACCTACGCCTACTGCATTGAGCACATCTTATTTTGCTTCATTACTAGTGAGTAGATTTTCAGTTCTCTACTTTTTATTTTGAGATTTTACAGTTACACACTATTGTGTTTTTCTCTTTTTATCCTACATACGGAGTAAGACACCAACCACCTGTGGACCACATTATATCCCTAGGCGGGGATCATTCCGTCCACGAGTGAAAGTTGGAGCTACACCTAAGCTTCTGAAAAGTGTGAGTGGATAATTTTTATTACCTTCTTTTATATTGTATGTTACACACTACACTATCAGCTTCTTCCTTTTATTATCTTCACATTTCCAAGGACATATTAGGTGCTGCACCATACTCATATTTTCCCACATATCCCTAGATACTGATAATACAAATATAAATGTTCATAACTTAAAATCAGAAACATTTATCTATAGTACAATGATGTGCTAGCACAAACAGGCTTGTGATTTTTTTGTGGGGGTTACTTTGTATTGTTGGGATCAGACCACTTTTACATCTCACCATACTTCTAATTGACAATCAACTTCAAAGTCAAACTCACTTATCATGTGGGATTTCAGATATTTTAGCCACCACTATAGTCTTTCCAGGCACCCAGGTGTTATATTAATTATTTATATTTCACGTGGTCAATGGTCTTGTGCAAATTGCTCTTTGTCCGAATTTTGGGCAATTCGTCTGAAATATTGTATGGAGAAATCACAAAACAAATGGAATGGACAATGGATAAAACTGTGTTCTTTGTATCATGATTCGGAAGTTCCGTCTACAGACAGAGACGGCCCATGTTTACAGGACAAGGCAAGAGTCTACCCCGGACATGACGAACTACTGGTGTTGCCCAGATGAAAACTTCTGTACGTATGCTTATTACACGTCTACGAAATATTTAGTTGCATGTTTTTCAATAATAAAACAATCATTAATAATAATTAAATAAGACCCAGCATTTGAATTATAACAAGGTAATTTTTTTTTCATTAGCAATGACTCATTTATAGAATTAGCTACTTACATTTCTGTTGGCTAACAACTGAGAATGAAGCTTCACACATTCTTTTTCCAGACCATTGGACGCAACTTTAGCTTGAAAGAGTCCAGCATGAAGTGACACCATCTCAAGGTCCATCGAATCCTTTTCTTGTTCTGCACTCCTGCACCTAGTCGCCATTTGTTGTGCATATAGGTGCAGTTCTTCTTGCATCTGCAGAGAAACAGATAAATAAAATGGATGATGACAAAAACATAGACAATGGATAAAGTCTTTTGCACGAAACACATAGACATAATTGTTTTTTCTAACCCAGCAGTTCCCAAACTGTGTGGCACGGTGCCACATATAGGAGCTGCAAGATATTTTCCCGGTGCTATAATTATAGCACCAGGAACTGTGCGTCCCTCTCCCCTGCCGGCTCTACAGGACCGAAGGTGAGATCAGAGATCTCCCTTTCCGGCCCACTAGCAGTGTAATGCTAGCAGCCAGCATGGGAGGGAGAGAGGACCCGGAGGAGCTCTGACCACTGGGTTCTCCTCAAGCGAGCTTGGAACGTTGCTGCGGTTACCACGGCAATGCTCCGAATCTAGTGAGAGTGTACTCTAGCCTGGGCTGCTAGAGTTCACTCTCACCACCAGGACCGCCAGGGTTCTCCACCAGATCACCAGGGATTGCAGGAAATGTCCCCCCTCCCAGGCAAAGGTAAGCAGGGAGGGGGGATATCGAGATTATTGGGACTTATAAATAAAAAAAATATATTTATTAATTTACTCTCCTCCTCTTACCCTTCCCCCCTATACACACACTGCCCCCTTTACACACACACTGTCCTCCATACACACTGCCCCTGTACACACTGCCCCTCCTACACACACTGATTGTATGTCTAGATTCTAGTATGTTCTTAAACAGTTTGACTAGTTTCCCTGGGAGGGCGCCACGGCACTCCTGGCACCATAACCACTACAGCGTGCTGTAGTGGTTAATGAGCCTGGATTGTTTCTTTAAATAATCTACAAGTGCCCCTCCCGAGATTAGGTTCTGGATCCGCCCCTGACAGGCAAACATTTGACTTAGGGTGCCTTGGAAAAATATTGAAACATTAAGGGCGCCTTTAACTTAAAAAGCTTGGGAACCACTGTTCCAACCAATACTGTACTTGCAATTTTGTATTTGGGTATACCACTATTATTTGTGTATGATTTACTGAGAAAATTGTAGGTTAAAAAGTAACTTTTAATAAATAAATCTAAAATAAAAATATAAAAAAGAAAAAAATATAATATGAACAGCAGGAGTAAATGGAGACTATACAGCGAGTAAAACTCTGTGACTACTTATACAAGCTGTAAAAGTGTATACATAATAACACTAATGCTGAAGCAATACTGTTTAGCTACAATATAACAGTGTATTCTCAAGTAATAGAAGTGATACTATATTATATATCACTAATAGCTGTAACAAGAGGGGGGAGATAAGACAACTGCTAAACCAGTGCTGTCAATAGTTAAAAGATATGGATAAGTAAATCCCTACATGATAGTACAACTAACGACATGGGTTAACTCCACATACAATAATTGATAATGTTCTATGGTGCTTAACCTCAGAAAGATCAAAGATAATGGTTCAGCTAAGACAGATTTCTGACAGACGGCGATTAGCCAGTTAAATATCACAAAAGCTGCCTAGATCATAGCAGCATTTTGATAATAAATTAAAGGTTGCTGTCAAGCAATAAAGTATAAAATAAGGGGTTGCTGACCAGGCTCCGTTTTTTCTGCAAGATACCTAGCAGTATATTCTAGTGTAACAACAGCTGCCTGCACTGAATGATGTTAACTTATGCTTGACCACAGTGGAGCACCAAGTAGTAGCTCACCTGTGAAGGACTGCTGACAGGCAGCAGTTAACCGGTTAAAAATCACACAAGTTGCCTAAATGCTAGCTGCATCTAAATAATAGGTCAAAGTATAAAGAAAAGGTTGCAAACAGTTTTTAAACGGGTTGCCTAGGTAGTAGAAAATATACCGGTTAAAAGTCACGCAAGTTGCCTAAGTGCTAGCAGCATCTAAATAATAGGTCAAAGTATAAAAAGAGGGTTTACAAACAGTTTTTAAACAGGTTGCCTAGGTAGTAGAAAATATACAGACAGTGACAGAGGAAGGGATATAGAATAAAGGCATATATAATAAAGATTCCTGAGTCTTGTGCCTTCGAGGGCACCCCTTAATAAAATGCCTGGTCTTATCAATCTCCCCCTATAAACATAATAAAGGAAAAAGAAAGAGAAATAAAGTATGTACAGAGTACACAAAATTAGTGTTAAGAGTCTCCAATATGCACTCCTGAGATGCTGGAGATGAATGAACTTGATGTCGGTAATTTAGCAATAGATAAGCAGAGTTAGGTGCCGACACCAATAATGTGTCAGTAAGTGTCCAGAGCCCCTGACGTGCATGTTTCGCCAGTGAAGCTTCTTTTTTATATCTTTCTTTTTTATATTTTTCTTTTTTATATTTTTCTTTTAGATTTATTTATTAAAAGTTACTTTTTAACCTACAATTTTCTCAGTAAATCATACACAGGTAGAATGGCATTTTTTTTTTTTTTTATTCTCTATGATATTCACCATTTAGGGGTTACCCCCCTTTTTTTTGTGCCCTCTACCTTGTGAAATCTAAATTTTGGCCCTAGGTTAATTCTTTTTGTTTTCCTCGTATAATAATACCACTATTATTTGTACTATATTTTTTGTTTTAATTAAATCCCAAGGGGGAAATAAAAAGCGTTAGATTTTTATAAATGGACACTTATACGGTCTATTTCGGTTGCTTTAAAAACTGACCGGGGTCTGACTGAGTACCTGGCCGAAATTATTTTATAATCACATAAGGTGTATTCCTTTTTGTGGAAATTTTATATTGTGCAAGTTAGAATCCTCCAACCTGTGTGTGGTCATTTTTATGTTCACAAATCGAGGAGACTTATCAAACTGCTGTGTTCTAAAAAGTGATGCAAAATGTAAAAGGGGAAGTGTCACCAATTGAAAGTACCTGCTGATTGCACTAGTTGCCACAGTGATTGCCCTAGCTTTAGAACAGAATATTAGATTTAAATGTCTTGATTAAAGGGACACTATAGGCACCCAGACCACTTACTCTCAGACGCATTATATTTTTAGGGTAACAGATTCTCTTTTTTGCTAATGAAATGGACAGAATGTTGGGGTGAACAGCTACAATATCAACATTAAGCAGCAGAACCACAGGGTAGGTAAACAGAGTCTTATGGTGGCTTTGTTGAATCTTTGTTGAATGGGCAGAATATCAGACAGAATCTTAAGCTCTCAAGTGTATAACTGAGTCATTTAACTATTTAGAAGGTTAAGTACTCTCAAGTTTAATATTTTCGTATCACACCCTATTATTTGCTAATTAGCTGAAACATTCTCTAACTGAATTTGTGCATTTATGGGAAAAGGAATGTCAACAATTTGCTTGCCTTAAAGGATACTTTATTACAAAGCATCCTCGTCATGTCTGGACATGTAGATCAGGAGTGGCCATTGTTGATTCTTAAAGCAAGCAATGCAGGCAGACAGATTACTGCAAAAACTCTTGGATATTATTTCATAACTTAGCGTTGCTCCTATGTATGACATTGATCCTACATTTCACAACATTATCGAGGGATATGAAATGTTGAAAATATTTCATATTCCTGTGCTGTTGTTTGTTCTGCAAGGCACATACATTCATAAGATTATTTCGTGAACAATATCTAAAGTACACAGGCTATGTAGATTGCAAACAGAATAGCTTCTTCTAGCCTGGGAAAATATAGTATTGTGAAATGTCTCATACTTAGCCATATCATGAAAACAATAGCCATAGCTAATTTTTAATGCCTTCACTGCCAACGATGTGTTTACTTGTTCTTGGTTTGAAATTACAATGCATACCTTGTTTCAACAACTCCAATGTGCTAAACTGTTAGTATGTATGGTCACTGCTTACCTTTCTCAGTTTTCTGAATGGGGAACTAGTGATAGACTAAGAATATCAGCAGACACTCCCATTTGTGCCTAGTGCAAGTCTTTCTTATTGAAGCATCAGGAGAATGAGCAAATGGGCACCATCTGCGTAACTTTGAAATTCAACCCTGAGGATTTAACCACTTTAGGTTGTATGGGTACCATAACAACTTCACTGGGAGTGCAGAGAAAGATGGAAGGAGGTCATGTGCAACCACCCCATCAAAGTTAAGCTTGGATTGTAATGTATCATGTGGTTAACTTTATACAGCTGGAAGGTGTAGGTGACATGTTATGTGAGAGGAACACTCCAAGCACCATAACCACTATAGCACATGTTAGACCAGTTAGATGTCTTACTTGGGGTCTGTCACGCACCACTTTCCACCTCCTCTTTCCAGCCTGGAAACCCAGAAGCTCTCAGCTAATGACCTAAGCCCTGCACCTCTAGGCTTAGTTTCTGTCTCTCTGAAAGCTTTGGTGCCTGGCAGACCCCAAATGGTTTGATTACTTATATTGGGGGGTACTCTTTGCACCAGAACCACTTCATAGCACTGTGGTGCTTATGATTCTTGGATTGTTGCTTTCAAAGGTTTTCTTAACTTAAAGAGATACACGAAGCACCAAAACTTACACTGTATTGATCATTCCCATGGACTGTCTCTTTTCAATTTTCTGCCATTTAAGATTGAAATAAAATGTTTTTGCAGCTGCAGCCATGCCCTGGCTGTGACTCACATAGCCTCCATGATAAAAACAGCACAGTGTGTTTACTTTAAACTTTCCTATCTGAACTTTACTCACACACAGGTTGCTGCTGCAGGCACCAGCAAGCAAATAAGAACAGGAGATAAAAACATCTAAAAAGTGTGTAGAGAGACGGTAATATGCAGGGAGGTGTGACTAGGGCACCATAAACAAAGTGATTTAACTCATAAAAAGCAGAGAATTGAAACTGCAGGGGCATGATCTATACACCAAAACCACTCCGTTTAACTAAAGTTGTTCTGGTGCTTAAAGTGTCCGTAAGTAAACGGTAATTCTCACAAATGTTTCTGTTTTTTAGATTAGGATTTATAGAGCAGAGACGTACCTCTTCAAGCTCTTGCTGTTTTTTCATACACAAGCTCAATCCATTTGAATGATTACTTGTTCTTACAGCCACACAGGTTTTCATTTTCTGATTAATATTATTAATCTCCCTTTCCAATGTATTAATCCTGAAAACAGAATATATTGCAAAAAGCAAGTCGTATTTAATGCAAGTAACCAAGTAAACGCACTGCAAATTCTTTTAGTTAAAAAAAAAACCCATAATATAACATTTATTTGAAAAGTAGGATGCACAAAACACAAACCTAGTAGCTGATTGCTAGAAGGAAACCACACAGTTTGTTCTATAAAATATGCTGTAGAGAGAATATGGAAGAAAAAAAATGGCTGCCACTTACAGTCTCTCTGCAGAAATGTAGATGGACACAATGAGACCTTGTCAGTGAAATTTTTTCTCTGCAGTGTGGACACCATGATTGAAGCAAAGGGAAAGGCAAATAGGAGTTTATGGGTCAAAATTCAGCGTTGCCTCACATTACAATGCAAATATTAGCAAGTGTATACCCACGTATTGGTAGGAAAAGGGTTAAACAACACACAAATAAAATCATGTTCTACGAGCAAATAATTATAGACAATCTGCTCAATAAAATAACACAGGTTTTTTTATGTAAGAACAATGATAAAGGTCTCATGGAATGATAGGGAGGAAAACATAGTGAAAATGAAGTGGAGCACCAGGAAAATCGACATGCATACAAACACAAACACACAATCACTTAACTTGCAATATATTCAATATATTGAATTAAAATCTTCAAGAAAAGGTAAACAATGTCATGTGTAAATGAAGGTAACTGTCACGGAATCTAAATCCAACTTATTACAGTGCGAGAGAATTAAGTTAATAATTGATATGAGGAATGGAGGTATAACGTTATTTATTTATGTAACAAACGCTCTTTACCTCAGACATTTGCCACAAACTCCTGGAGGAGTGTGGAGACTGACCTCCTGCCCACCGACTATGGTACAGGTCTGAGACCCTGTTTGGGAGTTACCCTCCCCAGCTGCCATTAGCAACTTTCCCTGGGTGCCCCTGGTTCGACACTTTCCCTTCATTCGAATGGAACCGAATGCTAGCTCCCTGGCGGCCGTTCATATGAACCAAACCTATGAATGGTCCTCAATGGTACTTAGCTGCGACCGCTATGGAACTAATTTCGGCATGGGGACTCTGTGGGTTCCCAGTCACCTCAGCGGTACTTAGCCGCGAATGTTATGGAACGGTTTTCGGCATGAGGGGACAGTGCGGTTCCTAGACAACTTGGTCCAGGGTTTAAACCACTACGACCCACAGGGGAACAAACGCTACCTGAGAGCCAGGCGGAGCACCCTGTATTGCGGCCACAGGAACTCCCAAAAGTTGACCGGCAAAAGCACCAAACGTCATAGAATTATTTTGGGCATAGGAACACATGTACGGCCGGTCAGAATTTAAACACAGTGGTGTTTCCGCTACACTGCATAGATCTGAGTGCTATTTGAAAAACGTGGGCGCTCTGATCAGGGCTTTTTGGGGATGTATTATTTGTGGGGTTATTGTATAATTGTATGATGTTTTAGTGTATTTTTATGCTTTATGTTTTTGTGTTTGCCTCTCTGTTAATGGGAGATAATTAGCTTACCAGTCTTTAACGCAATTATCTCCCAGGCACAGAGATCTCTGGGAAAGGCTTGTCTTGTATTGAATGGAGACCCCATTCTGGGGGGGTGTATATAAGCAGACACTTGGCCATAATAAAGCAGTTCCTTTTCACCCTTCACTCAGTTTGGGCTAGTGTTTGGGTGGATCAGCTATGCTCTCTGCAGCAGAGCTTGAAGCTGTACCCCGAACCCTGTTCCAGGGTGGGAAGCGATGGAGAGACCCCAGCCAAGGGGCCGTCAACGTATATGTTTTTATTCATGTGTCAGGACTGGGTTTATTGTATTCAGTAACATTTAGGCAGTTGAAAAAGAGGTAGAGGTAAATTTTAAAAAACAAGGTGGCTGTCCTATACTCTTCCTTCCACTGTCTGATGTCCTGGGATGTGGAAGAAAAATCTAAATCAGGTAGAGACCTAGTGAAAAGTCATCTGTCTTAGTCCATCAATGACTTCACCAAGGACCATCTCAGGGCTGAATCATTGTGATCTTCAATCTATTGTCTCTATACTACACAGCCATATGTGAGTGCCTAGTTCTCTATTCTGTCACGAGATAGATAGATAGATAGATAGATAGACAGATAGATAGATAGCCTGTTCTTTTCTTTTGTCCTTTCTTTAGTCAATAGACAGACAGATTCCACCATTCATAATCGAAACTGTGGATCAATTTATCAACAACGACAAGAAACAATATCTCATGCCTACTTACCTACTATTATTAACACAATCAGAATCAGTTGGTAATTTTGTTAGGAACCTCCAGTCCTTTTTATCATTTATTTCACTGGAATATGGAGTCATTGAGTTTCTGAAGTTGTCACTTTGTTTCAGGCTGTGCATTCTTGATTCCAAATTCTGATTAAATCAAAATATCAAATTATATGTAATGGTTTATAAATTCAAATCATGTTTAGCTTGAATTCATTGGATTGGCTTCAGTTCTGATGATCTCAGCCAAGGAGGTGGGAAGGGGGCAGAGATCAACACTTTGCTAGACAATCAGCATCTCCTCATAGAGATGCATTGAATTATTGTATGATTATGGGGAAAGTTCATTGTCTCCTCTGAATGTCTGACCCAGGAAGCACCTCTAGTGACCGTCTGAGTGACTGCAACTAGAGATGTCCTTAGGGAACAATGTAAACACTGCCTTTTCTCTGAAGGAAGCTGTCTAACGTAGGTCTATACCCCCCCACCGGACCAATACATTTACACCCAACAATGTGTGTTTGTCAAAATGCCTAAATAACAATAAGAAACAACAGCAATGGTATAACCGGTGGCATAATTGCAAAACTGTCTGTTCATAAATGGGAATATGGACAATTAAATAAACAAGGGAATCTGAAACGTTTCTTTATTTTCTTTAAACATTAAAAAAACAAACCTTGTAAACCTACCTGTTGCCTTTGTAGCAAGTTCTCAAGTCTTGATTGATTGCTCATAATATCATTTTCTTGGTCATGTAGACAGCTCCTTTGATGCTGTAGAGCATAAAGCGCATTTTCGAGACTATCTCCAAGAACTGCTCTCCTGTTCTCAGATCTGAATAACTCATTTTCCAAAGCACCTTCTAGTAAGCCACATCTCATAGGCCAATAGTCGGCTTTATACTGGGATCCATAAAATTCAGAACTTGATGCACTGCTGTTTAAACTAATGTAAACAGTTAAGCAATCAGATCATTAATTCACAATTAAATTTCAAATGATTATTTACCAGAATGAGAATTCAAACTGCATTCTAAGCTAATTTCAAATTTAAGACCAATATGGGGCAAATATATATTTTCTAAGTAAACTATGCTTTCAGTTCTGTTACTTTGGTCTTAGAACAGAAATTCACTTTGAACCCACCTTGAATTCTCACTTTAGTGAATTACCTTCCAACATAACTTTTTTAGACATTAAGTGGATTAGACAAATATTCACTAGCAGAAATAGAGGTTGAAATTGAAATTCTAAAATTCGAGCAAAAAACATGAACGCTTTTACAAGCCATACCAAGTAACCAATCTTGCTTTTATTAAATAATGGAAATGTGCTATCACCACAAAAATAAATGTGTAGATGGTGGGATAAAGTATAACATATACTTATCCTAATAGTAAACAGGACAGCCTCCCACTGATCACCTCCCAGATGGGGATCTTACTTCAATAGGAATAGAATCAACAAAACATGGGAATTGGCTGTATAATCTAAAAAGAGAACACAAAACAAAAAATAGTGTGATATTGTTATAAATTCTATGTGTGCGCTAGTGCAAAGATTATTAGCGCACATATATAATTTATAACAATATCACGCTATTTTTTGTTTTTGTTTTGTGTTCTCTTTTAGATTATACAGCCATTACCCATGTTTTGTTGTTTCTATTCCTTTTATTGAATAAATTGATTGGATTTTTAAAGGACCACTTTAGGCACCCAGACCACTTCAGCTTAATGAAGTGGTCTGGGTGCCAAGTCCCTCTAGGATTAACCCATTTTTTTATAAACATAGCAGTTTCAGAGAAACTGCTATGTTTATAAATGGGTTAATCCAGCCTCTAAAGCCTCTAGTGGCTGTCTCATTGACAGCCGCTAGAGGCGTTTGCGTGCTTCTCACTGTGAAAATCACAGTGAGAAGATGCCAGCGTCCATAGGAAAGCATTATGAATGCTTTCCTTTGAGACTGGCTGAATGCGCGTGCGGCTCCTGCCGCGCATGCGCATTCAGCCGAAGAGGAGGAGAGGAGAAGGAGAGCTCCCCGCCCGGCGCTGGAGAAAGGTAAGTGTTTAACCCCTTCCTCTCCCCAAAGCCCGGCGGGAGGGGGACCCTGAGGATGGGGGCACCCTCAGGGCACTGTAGTGCCAGGAAAACGAGTATGTTTTCCTGGCACTATAGTGGTCCTTTAATAAAGATGATTATTTTAAGTGACATTAAACATATTATTTGCAAGCTGGTGTAATTTGACGGTTAAAGGATAATCTCTAAGCCAATGAATTAGATGGCATAACAAGAGGTCAGAAATAAGCGGGTAAATAAAAAGGGAATATTGTGTATGCCCAAGGGTAGGGCATGATTTAGGGAGGTAGATAAGCTAATGTATATAAAACATAACACTCATTTTTGTTAAGAATTTTGGTTAATTAATGTATAATTAAATTACACTTTTGAAAAATAATTTGTAATCATATCTTCCATCATGGCTAAATAATTTCTAAGACCACCTTTTTGAGTGCCAGGCAAACATGTTTAGATGGATGTTTATGATAAGAATTGATACTACATGTATTTCGTATTTGGTAACATTACCTTGGGACTCCACTGTCTAGTTCTTCTTCGGAATACATGAAGCTATTATACAGAATTGGTGAGCTGCATCTAGACGTATGGAACATATTCTAAAAAGCATACAAGAGATGAAAAATAGAAAAAATATAATACATTAAAAATAATTATATATCTCCCAGGTTTATTGTTTATATATATTATTGCGTGTATTCTGATTAAAGTTAAAATGTTTTAGTCTTGAACCTTTCAGTAAAACTACACTGATCAGCCACAACATTAAAACCATCTGCCTTTTATCAGGTAGGTCCTCCTCGTGCTGCCCAAACAGCTCTGATGCGTCAAGGCATGGACTCCACAAGACCTCTGAACGTTTCCTGTGGTATCTGGCACCAAGATATTAGCTGCAAACCCTTTAAGTCCTGCAAGTTGCCAGGTAGGGCCTCAATAGATTGGATTTGTTGTTCCAGCATATCCCACACATGCGCAATTGGATTGAGATCAGACGAATTTAGAGGCCAAGGCAACACCTTGAACTCTTTGTATCGTCCTCAAACTATTCTTGAAAACTTTTTGCAGTGTAACAGGGTACATTCAGGGCCGGACTGGCCCACCGGGATACCAGGAAATTTCCCGGTGGGCCGTCGGAGACAGTTGGCTGACTTGCGGCCACAGGGGAAGCTGGCTCTTCTGGCGGCCGCAGGGGGAACTGGCTGTTCTGTCTCTGCGAACTTGCGCGCTACTTAATAAGTCCGGGGCCGGAATATGACGTCATATTCCGGCCCCGGTCTCATTAAGCTGCGCGCTGGGGAGTAGAGACAGCACAGCCAGCTCCCCCTGCAGCCGCCAGAAGAGCTCTCCTTGCGGCCGCCAGCACACCCATCTGTCTGCCCACAGGTAGCAACAATTATGTGTATCAGTCTGTGTCATGCTGTGTGTGTGTGTCTGTGTCACGGTATGTGTGTGTCTGACATGGTGTGTGTGTCTGTCTGTCTGTCTCATGGTGTGTGTGTCTGTCTCATGGTGTGTTTGTGTCTGTGTCACAGTGTGTGTGTCTGTCTGTGTCATGGTCTGTGTGTGTGTCTGTCTGTCTGTCTCATGATGTGTGTGTCTGTCTCATGGTGTGTGTGTGTGTCTGTGTCACAGTGTGTCTGTATCATGGTGTGTGTCTGTCTGTGTCATGGAGTGTGTATTTGTCTGTCTGTCATGGTGTGTGTCTGTCTGTAATGGTGTGTGTGTGTCTGTCATGGTATGTTTGTGTCTGTCATGGTATATGTGTGTCTGTCATGGTATGTGTGTGTCATGGTGTGTGTCTGTCATGATATATGTGTGTGTCATGGGGTGTGTGTGTGTGTGTGTCTGCCATGGTATATGTGTGTCTGTCGTGGTGTATGTGTGTGTCTCTGTGTGTCATGGTGTATGTGTATGTCTGTGTGTGTTTTTAAAAATTGTGTTTTTACTTACCTTTTTTTTTCCAACGTCTCCCCTCAACTGGCCCTGCCTCCAAGCTTGATGATCTCAGCCAATCCGCACTGACACAGGAAGAACCTCTAGTGACTGTCTGAGTGTCTGTCACTAGAGGTGTCACTAGGAAGCAATGTAAACACTGCCTTTTCTCTGAAAAGTCAGTGTTTACATTGAAAAGCCTGCAGGGATAGTCTATAGACACCAGAACCACTACATTAAGCTTTGTTTGTGTGTGTGTGTGTGTGTGTGTGTGTGTGCGACTGCTAGTGAGTGAGCTTGCTTGCATGTGTGTGTGCCTGCTAGTGAGTGAGCTTGTGTTTTTATGTCAATGAGCTTATGTATGTCAGTGAGATTGTTTGTCTATGAGGCTGTGTATCAATGAGCTTGTGTGTGTCAGTGAGATTGTCTGTGTCTGCATGTGAGTATGCTTACTGTATAATTAAACGTTTTACTCTGAAAGGACCAATATTTTATATTAGAAAAAGAAATATATATATATATATATATAGAGAGAGACATGTATAAGTATAGTGGCACTCACCCTTTCATGTTGTCTACATATAGAGAAAAAATGCCCTGGTGCAATCCCACGCTGAGTATGGATAACAAATGAAAAAGAGATGCACTCTAAGGTCTTTAGAAGAAATCACTGGTCTTTAATATCCAACAAAGCACATAAATTCGATTGACATTTCTACCTCTTCAGGTCTTCCTCAAGATCTTGAGGAAGACCTGAAGAGGTCGAAACGTCGATCGAATTTATGTAACTTTGTTGGATATTAAAGACCAGTGATTTCTTCTAAAGACCTTAGAGTGCATCTCTTTTTCATTTGTTACATATATATTACTCAATCATCTAGGGTGGCAACACATAGCCTTACATATTACATGCGATAATATATGGCACAATGACTTATGGGGTTGGCATAGATTTTTTTTTTCAGGGCTGCTTTGTATCCCCAGTCCGGCTGTGGGTACATTATCCTCCTGAAAGAGGCCACTGCCAGCAGGGAACACCATTGCCATGAAGTGGTGGAGGTGGTTTGCAAGAATCTCTAGGTAGGTAATTCTGATGTTCATGTCCCCCTTGAAGGCGCTTTCGGTGGTGGACTGGAATCATCATGGGCACTCTGACCGGTCTGCGGCTATTCAGCCCAATACGCAGCAAACTGCAACGCACTGTTATTCTGACACCTCTCTATCATGGGCAGCATTACATTTTTATGCAATTCGACCTAAGTAGCTAAGTAGCTCTTCTGTGTGATCGGACCAGATGGACTAGCCTTCACTCCCCAAGTGCACCAGTTTTTCTTCATTTTACCACTTTTTGGTAGGTACTAATCACTGCAAACCGGGAACACCACATAAGACTTGTTGTTTTGGAGATGCTCTGACCCAGTCATCTGGCCATCACTACTTGACTCTTGTCAAAGTCACTCCGATATTTTCACTTGCCCATTTTTCCTGCCTCCAACACATGAAATTCAAGAACTGACTGTACACTTGCTGCCTAATAAATCCCATCCATTGGCAGGTGCAATAATATGACAATAACAAATAATATAAAAATAATATAACAATATAATCAATGTTATCCACTTCACCTGTGAGTTGTTTTAATGTTGTGGACGATCAGTGTATGTACTTACTGAATCTTTTTTCTCCTCAGCCTTTTCTTTTCATCAATGTCCAATAAATGTACATATAGAGATACTGAAGTCAATGAACGTCCACTAGAATGCTTTTATGTTGTACATCAGCAGTGTCAAACTGTAACCCCAAGATTTTATTGAACCACAACTGTCTGAAAGATCCACCAGTTAGAATTCTGTCTACGTTTATGAGAGACAGGGGTGTTGCTAGATTTCAGGAACACCCGTGTCTTGATACCAAACGAAAACTCAATGATCCTCACACTAACAGAGAGGTGGCAATATATCATGACAAATCCTGCCTTTCTATGATATGCCCCCTCCTCCCACCCAAGGACAGCAAGCTGCTGATTCATTCTGGGATCTCAATCAATGTATAAGCAAAAAGAAGCACATGCTGCACTACCAGCTATTCAATACCACCACACTACATTACTAGTAGAGGAGTGGGCAGCAAACTTCTGTTTTCCAGCTCCTCTTCCCAAATGTCATCTGGGGGACACAACACATTGTCGCTAAGTAGGCTGACAGAGCACTATACTATTGATAATTATTTTTATAATAGAAGGCTGCTTCGAGAAGCAGTTGTCTGACTTTACATTAAAAATAAAAAGCACTAAAATCCCACCACCCCCTCCTCCAACTGTAGAGTTCTGGTGCTTCAAAGCCCCCTTGAAGAGACAGCATTCACAGTGTCTTCTATAAGATCTGCCTCATCAGAGGTGCTTAAAAGGTAGATCCCCAGATGTAGAACTACAACGCCATGATGCTTTGCATGCATTTAGAATGACAACGCATCATGGAAGGTGTAGTTTTAAAACATCTGGGGATCTACCTTTTTGGTACCCCTGTGCTACATCTATGTTGCTAGCGATACATTTATGGTTACCTCGTTGCTACCTTTCAATTCTATCGTGCTAATCATTCTGTGTTAGATCGAATAACTTCTGTTCCCTTTTAACTTTGCTGCATATTTTAATATTATTGATCTACAATATTTTTTTTTATTTTGACTCCTATTTTTTAGGATAGCAATAAAAGTTATATTTTAATCATGTATTTCCAGGAAAAGTTCTCGTATTATTTTTATTTGATTCACTTCCTATCAGAAGACATTGTCCACGTTTATGCATTAACTAAACAAGATTACTCAATCAATCTCAATGTTTGAAAGGTCACTAACTAGATTTTTAATTATTGCACTTAATGCAAATCCTTTAACTTCAACCATAGATAGTATAAATCCAGGAAACATTAACACTTGATTCAGTAATGTCTCTCATTGTCTGCAGATTAACTCTGGCAGTATCTTCTCTCTTTGTTTCTGTGCTATAACGTACACAGCAACTAAGATCACACAAACAAACAAACAAAAAATAATGAACTATTTAAATAACATGCAGACTAAAGCCTGTGTTTGCACATGTCTTTCTGATACATTATTAGCTATTTCTTAACATGAAGTATTTTATCTGTTTGTAATTTGATACATTAAAATAATGAATGTTTTAGGAGTAGAAGCAGCCTAAAAACAGAAAACAAAAAGGGAGTTATTTGAAATCATTAGCCATCAAAAGCCGTCTTCATACCATAAACAAATCACAAACATATACAATACTTTCATAATGTCTCTATAAATATATATTTCCCTATATAACTATTATCAAATTGGAGAAGTTGCTCTCAACAGATCATTCACAAAACATTGAATTGGAATGAATTGAAAATTTAAATATATGATGTACTTAAAAGGTGTGTACATTTTGGAATTCGGTTAAGGGGCCGCTATAGCGTTAGGAGTACAAAACTGTATTCCAAATGCTATAGCAGGGGTGCTCAAAAGGTAGATCCTCAGATGTTTTCAAACTACAACTTTCATGATGCCTTGTCATTTTAAAGGCATGCTAAGACATGCAGTGCATCATGGGAGTTCTACAACATCTTGGGATCTACCTTTTGGGCACCCCTGCGCTATAGTGTCCCTGTGCTTCCGCAAGCCCCAGACGGTGCTTAAAAGGTTAAGAAACCCCTTTTGCACTTACTTATTTCCAGCACCAAGGTCCCTCGGTGCTGGCTGTCTCCTCCTCCAGTGACATCATGACGATGGGGGAACTTAATTTGCATGCGCGGTGAGCATTGCATGCGCATTAGACCTTACCCATAGGAAAGCTTTAAATCAGTGTTTTCTGATGTGCATTTTAAAGATTCTAGACATCCTCATGTTAAGCATGAGGGCGTCCAACGTTGTTTCACAGAGTTAATCTCAGTCAAAAAGTTAGAATGCAGTAATGCCTCGTTTCCACTTAGCGGAACAGTTCGGGTCGATACAGTTTGGAAGGTTTAGAATGGTCCAGCCTATTCAGGTGAGCGTTTCCACTGCAAGTCGGACCGCCAGGGGCCATGCAAGGTTTAGGAAAAATGCATAGCGTGTCATTTCCTGTCTGCCAATCAATGGATTGTAAAGTGTGACGCTAGTAGCTCCGCCCCAACCGTACCGTTCCATTTCCTATGGCCCTACATCTGAAGGAGGACCATGAATGGTGCGGTATGGTTCGGTTGTATGGGCCACTTTCATAATGGAAACAGTCAAAATAGCGTACCATACCAAACCGATCCACTCAGTGGAAACAGGAAGTGTCTCTAGTAGCAGTTCTCTGAAATTGCAGTTTTTTCCCTTGCAGAGTTAAGGAGACAGGGAGACTTAACTCAGACTATTTAAATGAGATGAAGCCGTCTGGGTGTCTATAGTGTCCCTTTAATTATGAATAAAACTCTGACTGTTATTTTTACTAATGTTAGAATTCAAAGTGAATTTCAGTTATTCTGACATTACAGGGTTACTCCAACAACCATGACCACGTCTGCTTTTAGAAGTGGTCATGGTAGCATGAATCTGTTTGTGCAGCGTTTGTTTTGTGCAGCAATGGTATTTGCAGTTTTGTGCCAGGGGCTAGTAACACCTCATTAGAAAGCCAAGAACTCTGTTCCCGAATGCCTGATGTCTATTCTGTGCAAAAATGTCAGTCGTCGCGCTAGCAAAAGATGTCATGAACTTCTCGCCGAGCTTCCCTTTGTATATGCTGCATGCAAGGAAACCTTCAGCGTGCATTCTCACTCTCCCTGCACTACCGCCTCACTATACTTTCAATGTTCACTTCTTTTTTTTTATATAAAAGAAAGCTTCACTCTGCCCTCCCTCCCCTCATTGGTTCCACGTGCAGGTATGCACCCTGAACATGAAAGCAGTCCAAACAGTTCATCTCTATGAGAAGCTTTTGATTGGACGACGAGCAGTGACTTGGACAAGTTTGTTGAAACATGCGCAGGGGGCTTTGCTCAGCACTCAATTCCAGGTGTTTGTACTTTATTGATAGATTTATAAGTGGAGGACATAGTGAATAATGCCCAGTAGGGCATTGTAAACTATATCAAACATTTGTACAAGGGGTTAAATGGGTTAATCCAGCCTATAAAGCCTCTAGTGGCTGTTTCATTGACAGCCGCTAGAGGCGTTTGCATGCTTCGCAATGTGAAAATCACAGTGAGAAGACGCCAGCGTCTATAGGAAAGCATTGTAAATGCTTTCCTATGAGACCGGCTTAATGCACGCGCAGCTCCTGCCACGCATGCGCATTCAGCCGAAGAGGAGGATCGGAGGCGGAGAGGAGGAGGAGAGCTCCCGGCCCGGCGCTGGAAAAAACGTAAGTTTAACCCCTTTCCTTGCCATCCAGCCCGGCGGGAGTGGGACCATGGGGTGGGGGATGGGAGGGGGGGTGGGGGGAGTGCACCCTCATGGCACTACAGTGCCAGGAAAAGGAGTATGTTTTCCTGGCACTATAGTGGTCCTTTAACTTCTATTTTTCTATTTACACCTTGGTAAATCAGGAATATTTTAATTTGGGATAAATATATTTGTTTCCTATAAGATGAATTGAGAGTTTGCAGGCATCAGCTGAGATTTTTCCTTGCACTTTGATGAATCAGGAATAATTTTTAGACAAATACCGACAAGGAGTAGCACAAAAACTAGGTGTCACTTAGCATTTATCATTTCTTATCTACAGAAGATGTTAACATTTTGGCAGTCACTATTTACCAATCATTAACAGTTTTGTGGCAACAGCTGAGAACCTGAGAATGCAATGTTAGCATTTTAACAATTATTGACATTTCTTTAGCTGTTTGAAACAAAAATAGTAACAAGTCAATAGTTAGGAACACTAAAAAAAATGGTTCTAAGTGCTTTTCTGGGAAGCTCCCACCCTCAGGGCCGCCATCAAGGGGTGACAACCATCATGGTTGTCAGGGGGTGACAACCATGATGATTGTCATGGGCCCGGCAGCCCTGGGGGCCCGGCTGTCCAGGCCCCACATGGAGCGGCGAAACTGCCACAGGAGCATCTGCACCAGGGCCCATCAGGTGGCCCGAGCATTTAGGGCCACCCGATGGGCCCTATATCTTCAGGGGCCCGGTCAGCACTGCGGCCGTGTAATAATGTGTATGTATGCCATTATGTATGTATGTCAGTATGTATTTATGTGTATGTGTGTCAGTTTGTCAGTATGTATGTATGTATGTGTGTTTGTCAGTATGTGAGTATGTATGTACGTCAGTGTGTGTGTCTGTATGTCAGTATGTGTGTATCTGTGTATGTGTCTATATGTGTGTATGTCTGTTTCAGTATTTGTGTCTGTTAGTATTTGTGTCTGTTAGTATGTGTGTATCTTCCTGTGTGTGTGTCTGTGTCCGTGTGTGTGTATTCCTGAGGGCGGGATTTGGAGGTGGGGCTTGGAGGGGGCGGGATTTGGAGGTGGGGCTTGGAGGCGGGCACCCAGGGGCCCAGACCTTGAGCTATGTTAGGGGCCCCACAATTTCTGATGGTGGCCCTGCCCACCCTACCTCACTAGAATGCTCTCCCCAGCTATTCCCACCTCCTATAACCTCTGATCCAGTACTAGCACAATATTTAGCATACCGCAATACAAAAATAAAGTGACTCGATCCTCCTTTTCCCACAGAGCACCGCAATTATAGAATAACCTCAGGGACACAGTCAAATCTTCATTCAAACTAAAATATTTTAAGAGATCTATGGAAGTATACTTCAGCACAGAATGCACCTGTCATGGTTGATTACATTTATTACCTGTTATGTATTACATTTATATATGTGTGTATGTTTATATATATTTATAGTTTGTATATTGTATAATATTGTATCCTACTGTAACAATGCAATGTTTTGTGGACCCAGGACACACTTGAAAACGAGAGAAATCTCAATGTATCCATCCTGGTAAAATATTTTATAAATAAATAAATAAATATACGTTGTATTGTTATTTTAAAAAAGAGAGAGAGCGCGAGAGAGACACACAAAAACATATATCACAAATAAGTGACACAATGTTTTTTGGAATATACTCCCAACTTTGTATGTTAAAGGATTACTCCACTTCAGTGATTTGAATTAGTTATGGTGCCTGTAATCTGTATATGTGTCATTTCATTGTGAAATGCTGCATATAGGAGTTTTACCTTACTACTGCTACAGGTGTAACTCCACTTTCGGCAAGATCATTGGAGTGTTATTAGCCAGCCCGGAAGTTGCATTCATTAGCTGAAAGCGGGTCAGTTGATGCTGTCGTCACTGGCTAATGGAAGATAGTTGGTGCCTGGTGCCCACTGCAAAACACATTACTGAGAAACGGGCCCAGGGTACTCCTAGCATCATAACAAGTACAGGCTGTAATGGTTTTTATAAAGCTTGTAGTAGCCTTTTAAGGATATAAAAATGTCCATTTATATATAATCCATACACTCAGTGAATCCATTTATAATGGTTATTAAATAGACACTCCAAGCACCATAACCACTACAGTCAACTGCAGTTGTTATGGTGCCAGGAGTACACTGGTGCCCTCTGGGAGTAAATTTTCAAACAATTTAAGAACTGATTGACTGATTGTAAAGCTGTTCAGGAAAGCTTTAAATTTAAGAATAAAGTGTTGCTTTAAATAAATATGTTGTTAATGAGAACTGATTTTAACAGTACTGAGAATAGCCTTCAGTTCTTGTGCATAAACCAGTGTTGGATTTTGAATTCTTTTTGTTTTACTCTTTGTAACCTTGAGCATGTTATAATCTTTTTTCTATACCTCAGGCACTAAAAACCACAGAGCAAAGTTTTCAAGGGAGTGATTCATTGAACGTAACATGGTCTTGGGCTCTAGATACATTTTAAACATCACAGAAAATTACTGCAGCTAATTACAACCCAGCAAGATACCATGTAGAAACCAGTTTGGTGGGTTTCAATGCTGGGATTTGTGTGACATTCACTAAACTGTGATCTATGCTGACTTCATCCACGTGGGTTTATTTTGTTCCAGTTTTCTGCCTATCAGAACTGACTGTTTAGTGAATTAGCCCCACTGATACTAATCAATACTAATTAGTTTTCATTTCTGTTTTTTTTTTTTTTTTTATAGTTATGACCAGGTCCAAATTACTGTGCAGAAAATAAAACCTTAATATAAAATATAATCTTAATTATCAAAATCTATTACAATTCTATGCACTGAAGTATATGTAATACTAATGTAACTAATGTAAATATACAAATTTTAAAACCCTAGCCAGTCACATACCAGCAAAACCAAAAATGTGTAACTTGCTGTAGGTTATAAACATCAACATGTAAGTTTTACTATCGTCTTCTTTTTTTAAAATAACTCTCTTTTCCCTTTGAATGATTGATAGTAACACAGTAATTTTAAAAGTGGTTTATAATAGACTCGGGCACAAATTCCTTTCAACTGTGACGAACGAATCAAATTCCTGTTAATCTACACCCGAACGAATGGATCCATCCGAGATTTATGTGACAGATCGTCTAAATAGCTAGAATTCTAAAATTACAAATGAGAAAATAACACAATGACAAATGGATTTGAAAATGACCAGGAAAATGATTTGTTGAGATGCGAAGACTAAGGTGTTTACAAACACAAGCTAAAAACAACATTTGGGCCAAATTATCAAAGCTGTTGCTATAGATGGGATGGATAATTTTTCCAAACCCAAAATATTTTGCCTAAATATTCAGATTTCAATTCACTACAATACAAAGTTTAGCCTAATAAAGCCTGAAGAACATCAAAATTAAACGAGCAAAACAATGAACTAAAGAGTTACTGAATGTGAGCTGCAGGAAAGATACATGCTACCCTGAGGTAGTAAAGAACAAGTGGAGAACAAGTTTTTCCACTTTCAGGTGGCTCGGAATTCTGAGAGAATTGACAGAAATCAAGGATCTGAAACATTCTAAAAACTGCCTGGCTTTTTTAAATCTGTGATCTATACCAGGGCTAGGCAACCATTGGTACTCGAGCTGTGGTGGACTGCATCTCCCATGATATACTTAAAACTACAATGCTGGCAAACATCGGGGAGATGTAGTCCACAACATCTGGAGTGCCGAAGGTCAGAGTTATAAAACCCTATTTTTGATCATTAATCTTTCCCTATATTGCATCCTAATGCCCTGCTTTTCTACGAGCTCCAAATTGTTGGTATGTTCGCATGTATCACAGAACGTCAATAAAATAATACATTCGATTTCTCTAAGCTTTTCAACCAACTATTAATTAAGTTTTGACTGACGATCAGGAGCCCAGGAAACAGATTTGGACTATCATTGCTCCGGGCTAAACATTGCTTTTTTATAATATCTTAAATGCATTTTTCTTAAAAGTACACAATATATTCTAAAATACACACATACTAGTACACTAAACAAAACAGGTAAAAAATTGATTCTCTTCTCATTATTATTATTAATTATTTTACATTTATATATTGTGAAATGGATTTCTGTAGCGCTTTACAATATTATAAAAAGGGAAAATTAAACAATAAATTAGACAATTACAAAATGTTAAAGGAAAAAATAGGTTGAGGACCCTGCTCAAACAAGCTTCAGTTCTCATGAACATATATTGCAAAAAATAAATAAATAAATAAACAAAACATTTTAAAAATTCAAGTGTACTTTTAACTTACCATGCAGGAGATATACAAATTCTATAATTCTCTGGTCTCCATCAATTGTAGAACATATATTTCTTTCCTACAAAAAATGTGTGTGGTTCCTTGTAGCAGAAATCAAAGTTAATGTTTACTAGTCCCATTTTATTTCTGTGGCATGTTATAAAAACATGTCTCTTGTCTCCAATAGGAACACCACACCCATTGACAGAAGATGAAAGGATGTCCATTGAAGCCTTACAATGGCAATGGTAAACATTGGGCTGAAGAAATATGTATAGTAACAGAGCTGTAAGAAACTTTTGTAGCTGCTGTGAAATAATCTTAGTTTATGTGCCCTTTTTTATTTTTGATACAGAACTTTTCAAATAAGGACTGATTTATTAAGACGTCATCGACATAGTATAATATGCTGACGCGTCAATTTACAAGATAGTTTAACCTTGGCCAGACTGCAGGAGACTAATGAGTAAACCATTTAATAGCAATGCAGGAAACTCTGCCCTTAGGCTCCAGGCATGTGATTGAAGTGGTTATAGTACCTACAGTGTCCCTATACTCTTTCACCACAGTAATCGTGTACACACAATTTTAAAGGTATGCTCCCAAACCCTGTAATCGTGCACACAATTTAACTAATTGCATCTGTGATTCGTTTATTGCAAACTAATTTTTTTTCAATTGGTGCCCATTTCATGGTGGGCAGTATGCTCCTGCGGCAGAAAGAGCCGGTGCTATTATTAGAAGGATAGCTATAAGAAGAGCACTGCCACTGCATGGTCAGTGAGGAGATTGACTACAATGGAGCTGTAATAATTTCCCTAGGGTTGTCTTAAAAATGTTGCTTGACCCAAGAGAAAGGCCAGCTAAGATCTAATGGCTATCACTTGGACGCTCACTAGAGCGACTTCCTGGATAAGGTCCTGCAATCTTTGCTGAACCTACTGTAGTGGCTATTGAACCAGTGGTTACAACCACTTTAGTGAGGATTGTGCCAGAAGTGTCCTGGCATACACCATTGTAAGGTAACGTTTTTGAAAGGTTTGACTAATTTCTAAGGAGCCTACGAGTGCTGCACCCCACCTCCAGTGTTATCATGGAAGAGCTGGAAGTTCATAAGTAGGAATTCATATTAGCTCTATGAAACTAAGCCTTGCAACGCAGATCTTAGTGCATTGGCTGAGAGTGTCAGGTGATTACAGGATGTAGGTTATGAGAGCTAACAGACGTTCCTGCATATTGCTTAGAAACTTAAACCTCTAGAGCAATGACAGTGGAGGCGGCGAGAGGCGCCTGGCGTACCCAAGGTAAGAAGTCAAACTATTAAAAAAATGTTTGACTCCTTATAATAGGGTGATGCCAGAGAACTCCTGGCACCACAGCTATATGGTGGATGGAGTGTTCCTTAAAATCAGATAACACATTGTATAATGAACTTTAATATGCATGAATATAGAGATATCTGGGTGAAAGAGCATCCAAACAAATCGAAATTAAAAATTAATTATCAGTGTCAATATTCAAAGAGTTACTCCAACCACTGTAGTGGTTATGATAGGAGTACCCTGGTGCTTTTCCCCAGTAAAAAGGGACAAACTATTTTACGATTTGCCCCCTGACCCAGTACCCACCAGGCAACATGCCACTCATTCATTGTCTGAGAGCATCCGCTAATCACTCTCATTTTGTACCTAGTAATATAGAATAAATTTACATTTGTCTGACCGGAACTACAGGATAGCTAATGACACCCAAATGATGCTTCCACAGGTAGAGTTACACCTCTGACAGCAAAAGGATTAAACTCAGTATCTGTTGCATTTCATAATAAAATGCAGCAACTACAGAACAGGTACCAAGATCACTTCAAAACACTGAAGTGGTTATAGTGCTTGGAGTAACCCTTTAAATCTATACAACATTTACTTGCATTTTTGGATTTGGCATGCCACCTAGTGGTAAAAGTATATAAATAAGCTTTGTCTAACTAATAAGCATTAAAGGGACTCTCTGCTGCAAAAATACAAAATGTTTTATCACTGTTTAGTAATTATAGGCCAAATGAAAACTAATTTAATTATACATTCTTCATTTTGGGATATATCTAAAAACAGCTTGTAAAGGCTCCAGTTTTCTTGTTGGAAGCCTTTGCAAGCCCTCCCCTTCTAACCCCACCCAGGCGTTCTGTGACTGTCCAATCACAGACTTCCCAATGCAGCTTAATGAGAAGTCTTTGCAAGGCAGGTGCTCTAGGCAATTGCTGTTTCTTGAGTTTAGCTCCACTGAGCTACACAAACCAGGAAGCAACAGAACCGGCTGTCTGCTTGAAAGCCGGGGGCATAACACGATTTATTTATAAAAGTTCCAATTTCTACCTGTAAAAAATAGGACATACCCTTCCAACATGAAGCATTTCAGCAAGCTAATGAGCTTTTGGGATGCATAGTGTCCCTTTAACCCCTTTAAGACACATGACATGTGTGACATGTCATGATTCCCTTTTATTCCAGAAGTTTGGTCCTTAAGAGGTTAAGGCAATGTATTGACACACAAAATAAGAGAAGTAGGGTAGATAGTACAATACATGGAATTTTTGCAACAGATGGTTTAAGCCGTGCTTCACTGGAGGAAAATGGAGCAGAAATTTTGAAAGTGATCTTTGAAGGGACGTCTAAAGGAGACTTAACCACTACAGGTCAGTGTAGTTATATTTGTATACAGAAAATTTAGTGTCCTTGCTGATTGACCTCTAAAACAAATAATAACAGTGCAATATTGTCTAAAAATCACATAACGCAAGTTATCAGTTGCACTCACAGGTAAACTTGATTTAAACGCCTTAAGTTTGCCACCCTCGATTGTAGTAGGGGGCTGAGTTTTTAACTTGGACTAATCTCCAGAAAGGTCCTTTTTTTTTTTTTTTTCTTTTTTTTTACCAAAAACGATTAACCAGAGAATAAGAGAGGCTGTGCTTTATTTGTTATTTGTTTCATGCATTATATGGGTCCCTGAGAAAGTTCTCAAGGAGAAGAAATGCATAGAACGACCATATCTTTTTAATAATTGTTAATCATTATTTTTTTATATATTAAATATCCCTTTTTTTATGGAAGAATTCTCTGGTTAATCTCTGCAACAGATAACTTGTGTTATGTGATTATTAGACAATATTGCACTGTTATTATTTGTTTTATGGGTCAATCAGCAAGAACCCTAAATTTTCTGTATACACATATCTGTTGAGAGCGTTACCATCTGGGAGGTAACTTTAGGAGGCTGTGTGTTGTATTATTTCATTTCACTGGTGTCAGGTGAAATTATCACATTTTGTACCAAAGTAGTTATATTGCCTAGACAGAAGTGCCTCTATTTTTGCACCTGGCATAAACCTGGAGGATGGTGACCTAAGCCTCTAGGGCAGTGGTTTCCGAACCAGTCCTCAAGACACGGCTACCAGTCCAGGATTTAGGAATTACCCAGTTGTGTGAAGGTGTTTTTTTTTTCTTTTTAAAAACACCTTAGACACAACTGGTTAATCCCTCAATAATGGTGGATTGGTAGGCGTGCCTTGAGGACTGGTTTGGAAACCACTGGCCTAGAGGCTTAGGTCACCATCCTCCAGGTTTATGTTGGGTGCAAAAATAGAGGCACTTCTGTCTTCAGAACTAAGTCTTTGAGCTATACCCATTCATACCAGCAATGTGACGCTGTAATAGGCTGAAAGGCGTCAGCTGACATTATAAGCCAATCACAGCCACACACTATGTGCAGGCTAACAGTTCCTTGTTAGCCCAAGCAACACAGAGGAAATAGGCTCCTTTTTTTTTTTGTTTATTTTACCTTTCTTTACAATTGTGGTTAGGTGTGTGTTCTTTAACATCACAAATATTATTCTATGTTGTGGCAGGATGTTAATTGTTTTGGCATTTGTCTGTCAATGCTTCTTTTTGTTACACAATTGACATATCCGACTCTCTTGCGTACTTCAATAAACGGATACAAAAATAAACAGATACAATTAATAGCTTGCCAAACTATTCCAAATGAGACATATGCACAGACAACCAAACAAAATAAATAAATACAATTTGGATATTGCAGTTGGGTGTATTTTTGTTGGGCTATGTTTTAAGTTTCAAAAAAATATGAGAGACCTAGAAGTGTATTGTATTTCTGCAGTCCTGAGACACAGTTGCAGACATTTGAGAATTGCTTGTACTTTACCATATAATTGAACAGTATTAGATAAAAGCAGAAAAACACTAATGCTATATTTGGCATTTTTCCTGTCAGACTTGTCAGAAATATTGATTTTTGTTGTTGTTTTGAAGTAAGTTTATATTAACCCCTTCAGGACAAAGTCAATAGTACACGTTCTAATCAAAACAAAATGTAAACAAAAACTGGAATTTGCGCTACGTCTGTTCACCCGTAGTTCACCTCTTTCAAATTAAGTGCACCCACACTTATTATATATCATTTTGTTCAGGAGAAACAGGACTTTAACTTCTCAGGAACTATTCATATATGAAAAAAAAAAAACTGTGAGAAATTAAGATTTAAAAAAAAAAAATTGTAGTTCTGCCTGACATTTTAGCTGTAAATGTCATGATACTGTTAGCTTTTACTGCAATATGCACATATTTGTATTCAGCAAAGTCTCACGAGTAAAAATGTACCCCCTATTAACAGATTTTACAGTGTCTTGGAAAGTTACAGGGTCAAATATAGCACATTCTATTTTTCATTTTTTTTCACATTAAAATTTGCCAGATTAGTAATGTTACCTTTGAGACCATGTGGTAGCCCAGGAATGAGAATTACCTCCATGATGGCATACCATTTGCAAAAGTACACATCCCAAGGTATTGCAAGTGGGGTATGTCCAGTCTTTTTTAGTAGCCACTTGTGTTACAAACACTGGCCAAAGTTAGCGTTTGTTTTTGTATGAAAAAATCTAAAAAGTTATATTTGGCAAGTGTTTGAGACTAAGTGGCTACTAAAAATGACTGGACATACCTCATTTGCAATACCTTGGGTTGTCTACTTTTTCAAATGGTATGCAATCATGTTTGAGAGCGATCGCATGGCCCCCGGGGGCCTGATTTGGGCTGTCAGGCAGTTCTCCCGAAGGGGAGCGCCGGGAAGGTAAGTATCCCAGTGGCTCCAGGGCTCAAAGCCGTTACGGCGTTCATTGCCGCCACAACGGCTTTAAAGCCCATTTAATGCAGGGCGGCATAGAACGCCGTAACGGTGTTAAAGACCAATAAAGGCACCCAGACTACATCTCAGTTAAGTGGTCTGGGTGCAGTGAGCCTGTCGTTTTAACCATTTAATGTAAAACACTGACATTTTGTATAAAGTCAGCAATGCCAATCCTATGCTGAATGTGTCAATCATAGGAAAGTGTTAGAAGGCTATTGAACATGTACAGCAAGACACAACGCTGGCCATTAACTTTGAAAAAAAGGAGTGACAAATTGGCATTAAGGGCCCAAACTTGAATATTAAAATATTAGATGATGTGTACCATCTAATACTTTACCATTAAATGGCAAACCAACCTGACATGAATCCACAACAGGTATTTAAATAAATGTGAAAAATATATATATATTTTTATTTTTTTTTAAATAATTTTTTATTGAAGTGTGAACAGTATGCGATTTAGGCACGCAGGCCCACGTTGAAACCAGAAAATTTTTACATTTTGCAAACGTGTTTTATAGCATTGCAAGTACCATGTAAAGCCTCATAAAACATGGTGTTTCATTGCTTGGTCGTGTCATTGAACATCATTCATTTTCGCTATGCCTACTTTGCGTTGGTATCCTGTGGGTCCACATTATTGAAGCGAATGAAATACAAGGGCAGGCACGCAGATAAATTTTTGTGTTGCATGAACATTATGTCTCATTCGCTGTTAAACAATATATTGCAAAGATAAGGTGTGGTGTATTGTAGTGGCCCCCTCATATTGTGTTATCCCTCTCGTTATGCATTGCGTGTCCCCAGTGATGTTAGTAATATATGATGCAATGGGCCTGTGGAAGGTTATCCCGTGTTCTCTTGCGTTCAAACACTCCCATACCATTGTGGGTGTGCTTCCCAGTGTCTGTGATAGCCATCCGGACATTCGGCCTTGTTTCACGTCTGGTCTGTATGATGCTAGGGTTCCTCGTCTCGAGTAAGGGAGAGGTAGGGGGCGTGTGTGTAAGTGTGGTGATATGCTTGTGCAGGGTGGGCAGGTAGAGTCTTCCGATGGGTTCTGTATTATTTTGGTAAGTGGATGTTATATTCCCGCCTGTTGGCATGAATAGCGAGGAGTTAACTGTACTCTGTCTCCCTCAGTGGTATGAGATGAGCGTCGTGGAGGATCCAAGGTGACCAGCGTTCTTCCGTAATTCATTGTCATTTTTGGCGTACTTTCGTAGTGTAGATGGATTCAATCTTATTATCGTCTGTTGTCGATCAACGAATGTTGGGTCGCTATGGTAGTCCACGTGTCTCTACTAGGGCTCGAGTGGCTAAAAAGTTTTAGAGACCCTTTCTGTGTTGTGGTCCGTGCCCATACCCCATCTTCCGTATCCTACAGGGCAGTGATAGGTCCCTGTATCTACCCAGGGAGGTGTGCGTGAGCTTCTCCGCATGTGTCTTACGGTCTCTTCAATACAAATTATTTTCAAGTCTGGGTTAATTGAGCTATAGTCTGGTCTGGTGTCGGTCAGTTTTCTGCCTGCATAGGGAAGTAATTGTAAATCGTAGCAGCATATGTGGGGATGATGGGAGGGTTGCCCCACCGTCCGCCCCCTCAGCCCCCGCCCGAGCGCCCTGTAGTGTCCATTTATATTCCTGCTTTAAAGGCGAACCATGGTGCCCAAGTCTCCTCGTATCTTGTCCCCCTCCCCGCCAGGTCCGCCTGTAGCGCTTCAGCGGCCCTGATGTCTTCGACTCTGTGGATCCATTCCTCCCATGTGGGGATGTCGGTTTTCTTCCAGTATACCGGTATGAGAGATTTGGCAGCATTTAATAGGTGGCGCAGTATGGATTTTTTTATATGAGGAGATCGATTGTGTGGAGATGTGTAGCAAGGTCAGTTCCACTGACCATTCGGTGTCGTTCCCTAGGATTTGCCGCACATCTAGTCAAATCTGATCCCAGTACGGGGTGATAACACTGCACTCCCACCAGATGTACACCATTGTTCCTCTGCCCTCTTGGCATCTGCAGCATATCGGTGGTGTTGTAGGGAAAATCCTGTGTAACAGTACTGGCGTTTTATACCACATGGATATCAATTTGTAATTAACCTCTTGATAGTGGGAGCTAGAGGAGCTTTTGGGTTACCACAGTAAGGCTTTTTCTCATTGAGCCTGCGTGAAGGATTTATCAAGGAGTCTCTCCCGTTGCCGTTGAAAGGTTTTGTTATCTGAGGTGGTGCCGACCACTATGTGCTGATAAAGCGTAGATATCGACTTTTCGAGGGAGGATCCCCGGAAGCAGAGGTCCACGAACCATGTTAGGTCTCTTTACAGACGATCTTTATTTGGGAGTGAGTTGTAATAATGTTTTAGCTGCATGTATCGGAGTACCAGCATAGGAGTCCGCGGTCTATCTTCCAGCAGTGTATCTAGAGTTCTTATGGTGCCCTCCCGAATGACTCTGCAGATTGGGATGTAGCCTTCTCCACCCAGGAAAGTCCACGCATCTGTGGGGGGTCTGCCCCTGATACAGGGGTTGTGTGTTATCGGGAGCAGGGGCAGGGGGTGGGAGAAACCTCTGAGCGTTTCCCACTTTGGAGTGTCTGTGCCACTGGGTCCCCTACTGCTTTGGGTCGATCATCTTTTCCATATCATGGATTTTAATCCTGTTGTCTCTCCTTCCCGATCCTAGGTCACCCATTGTTTAGGTTCTTCCAATTCGTGCCATTCGAGAATTCGTTGTAGCGTTGCGGCTTGATAATTTTTAAAGTCTGGTAATGCTCGGCCCCCCCTATATCGAGGCAGGCATTGCAAGTCATGAAGCAATCTGGATCTTTCCCCTCTCCATACATACTTGGTAGCTGCCGATTTCAAAGTTGCAAAGAACGTCGCTGATATTGCCAATGGTCTGGAATAAGAAGAGAACTCTTGGAAGCACATTCATCTTAAGTACCGCTATGTGGCCGTGCCATGTGATCTGTGGGTAAGCCCATTTTCCCAGGTCTGTCTCTATCTTCTGCAATAAGGTAGCGAAGTTACGCTGATACACCTCCAGCGGGTCAGTGGTCACCCAGATGCCAAGGTATTTCATCGCACTGGTACACCAGTGAAATGGGAAGAGTGTGTCAAGGTCCGTATACTCGTTCGTCAGCATAGTGACATTCAGCGCCTCGCATTTCGCAAGGTTGAGCTTGAATCCTGATATTCGGCCGAACCTTTTGATTTCTGAGAGCAGGCAGGGTAGTGTGATCTATGGTTGGGAGACAAAGAAGAGAAGATCGTCTGCGTATGTGGCCACTTTGTGTTCTGTTCCTTGCCATGTGTATCCATGGATGTCGTGGTGTTCACGTATTGCCTGTAGTAGGGGCTCCAGGGATAGGGCGAATAGGAGCGGCGACAGGGGGCAACCCTGTCTGGTGCCATTAGCGATTCCAAAGCTAGTGGTCAGGGCCACGTGGCGTGCTGTACAGGGCGGAAATTCACTTAAGGACTCTCTGCCCTAGGCCCATATCTTGGAGCATTTGAATCATATATGCCCAGTTAACCCGGTCGAACACCTTCTCTGCATCCGTGGATAGCAGTAGAAGATGTTCCTGGTACTTCTGGGCATGGTGTTGAAAGGAGAATAGGCACAGTGTACTGTCCCTTGCTTCCCGGCCCGGGATAAAGCTGGTTTGGTCTACGTGAACTAGGCTTGGTAACACACGCTGAAGTATGGTCGCTAGGACCTTTGTAAAGAGTTTTGTATCCACATTTAATAGGGAGATCAGGCGGTAACTGCTGCAATGTTCCGGGTACTTCCCGGGTTTGAGCAGGGGCTCCATACCAAATTGTCCCCCCTCTGCCACCGCGTTGATCGCTTTTGTCAGCCATGGTATAAGCTTTGCGGAGAAGTGCTTATAATATCCTGTGGCCGTTTTCATGGTCTTCAAAGCCGCAGCCAAATCCTCCGTGCAAATTAGTTCGTCCAGCATGATCGCTGCATCCAGGTTCACACGTTTCCGCACAGTGTCTTGTAGGTAGTCTTGTATACGCGTCGAAGTTTCCTTTCCCTGGATCGGTTCATCACAGTGGTGAAGGTTGTATAGAGTGTTGTAGTAGTTTCCCCGGCAATGTCTTCTGGGTATAAGGACGTTTTTCCCGATGACAATCGTAGTTTCCGTACCTGTGTACAGGGGGTATCTCCTTTCAAGAGACGGTCAAGGAACTTTCCTCCCTTGTTCGCATGAGTATAGAAAAAGTTTTTGGAGCTTTGTAGTGTGCAGTAGTGTCTCTGCGTGAGGAGGGTCTTCATTCGCCGTGTGGCCTCCAACAGTTCCCCATATATTTCAACGAGGTGAGATCATTTATGATGGAGCTCCAGCCTCGAGATGGTGCCACAGAGTTCTGTCATCTCGTAGCTTTCTTCTTGTGGGTAGCAATGCCGATCAGTATGCTGCGTATGACGCTCTTATTTGCTTCCCAAACTGTGATCGGAGAGGTGTCTTCAGTCCTGTTTTCCCGGAAAAGTTCCAACGCTTGGGAGACCTCCCTTCTTACTTAGGGGTCCTGAAGTAGGGATTAATTTAGTCGCCAGGTCCACGTCGCCGGTTTAAACATGGGTGATTCAAGTTCCATGTGTCCGACCACTTGGCAGGTTCTATGGAAGCGGATCGTGGGCGACAGAGACCCTCCTGTCGAATGAGCAGGTATTCAATCCGGGAATAGCGGTTATAGAGCCCCGAGTAGTGCGTATAGTCTCTGCCGGTGGGGTGAATCGTTCTCCAGCAATCAACCAGTCCCATCTCCCCCAGCGATTTGCGAATGGCATGAATGTGGAGTTGTGAGAGGCAGCTGTGACCCGTAGGTGAATCCACTAGTGGGTCCAGTGGGGAATTAAAATCCCCCCCCATGATCAGTGTGTCACATATTCATCCGCTTATAGAAATGTGGTTAATGACATTTACTGTCCACACAGGAAAAGTTGTGCCGAGCAGCAACCTAATCCACAGAAGGGTTAATGCTGAGCAGCAATTATGCAAATGAAACCTGGTAACTGACTTTGGGGTCAAAGGCCGGTTACAGCCTATCAGAACTAAAGGAGGGGTATTTAGGCCCAGTTCTCAGCCTGCTCAGTGCCCTGTCGTGGTTTCCCTTGTGGTTGTCTGAGAGCGCGTTCCTGTTTATAGTTTTCTACCTGGTTTTTGACTTTGGCTTTGTTTATTGACTTCTCTATATTCTGGTATCCTGACTCCTGGCTTTCCTCATCGCTGTGTCCCTTTCTGTGTTCCCTGACCTCGGCTAGTATTTTTGACTATTCTTTGTACGTTAAATCCGGCCATTCTAAGGACCGGTAATACGTTACTTATTTGTCATCCGTGCTGTACAGTTCTACGTGCTGGATCAAACAGTAATCCTGACACAGTGCTCCCTCCGAGAAGCCCTGCAGCTCAGATAGTGTCCCCCGAAGGAACTGCTTGCTTTGAGTTGGGTACATATATGGTTACTAATGTGTATATTCTATCGGCAATGACGCCTTTCAGGAAGAGAAATCGTCCTTGTGTGTCCACCATTCTGTCTAATTCCTGGAATCCCAGGTCAGCGGCGAGAACTATAGCGACACCTGCCCGACGTGCCTCGGGGTGATGGTTGCAGTAGCTGACAGAGTAGTGACTGCTCCGGAGTCTGGGAGCTGAGCCCTCCCTGAAATTCATCTCCTGCAGCATTGCTATCGCTATATGTTTTTTCCGTAGTACCCTCAATAGGTGTGTGCGGCATTCGAGTATGTTTAGGCCTCTGTCGTTAAGCGTCATAACCGACAGGGGAGCGTGTCGGTATGCCATGGTTCCCCTCGTGGCAGAGTCCCTCCCCGTAACTGGGGTATGCGCAAGGGGTACGCCCACGGAAGGCGGGGTGCCGGGCAAGGCGGGGCAACCCGTGAGAGTGCTCTGTCAGGGGTTATGTACAGTCACGTTTGAAGTCCGCACTAAGCCACGTGGAACAGGACACCTGGGGCCTCCCTCCATCACTGCCTGCGTCCGCGGTGTAGTAATTATGTTGCTCACCGTCCACTATGTCCAGTCAGAAGACTCGTTGCCCAGGTGTTTGTGAGGGGGAGAATGTAGGGAGTTGTGTATGTGTGAACGTGTTTAGATAGATAGGTAAAACTAGGGGTAGGTGGTTCCCCCTTTGTGGGTAATTCCCCAGCATGGTGAAAGAGAGATGAGGAACCACGATACCCCATCAGGAGAGGAGGGGCACTGGTGGCACAGCAGGAGTGGCCAGGTGTCGCCCCGATGACCAGACCGGTGCGTGAACGTACCTGTGGCTCCGCCGAGAGACGTGCGCAAGTGTGGATAGGAAACTGTTGTCTATGTCTAAACCAGGGTCAGGACAGAGATTGTATATTGTGTTAGGTTGGTTGCAGCCAGTCCCCCTCCAACCGGATCCCCATCCCAGTGTGTTCCATAGTACAGACAACCGTGTAGCTTGTGTAATCTTGTATAAACGTTTAATGATACAATAGCAGAACATCATAACATAGTAAACAGTAATAACATGCGGCTAGTCCCCCCAACCCCCTCCCCAATGCGACCCCGCTCTCGTTCCACTAGCCCCCTCCTCGGGCCCAAGCCCCCATTAATGTCCCCGCCTCTTTCTTTCCCAGCTAACTGTGTCAGAGTGATATAATATATCACGCTATGGAGGGCGGCTGAGTCGACTATCCCCCCATCCCATTATCCCAGGCCATTCCCCTTCCTCCTAGTAATTAATGGGTTTGGCACACGAACATGAGTGTGATACATTATGGCTCCCTTTGACTGAACTAGATCTGCCATCACCATGAACTGTCTCCCCATTTCTGCGTTCCCCTCTATTCCATGTATCTTTTAAACCAATCCGTGATTTTATTTATGTTTTTTAAATTATGTGCGTGTGTATTGGAGTCTGCAGGTCTATTCCTCCCCCCCCAATCTCCACCTTGTCCACCCCCCCGCCCATAGTGCACACCCTACCACGTTCCCTTGTACATCCACTCTTTGGCCGTGGGGGACCCATCCACCCGGCAACCTTCGATCCCCCTACGTCCTCCACTCGACCCCCTTTGAGGTTTTTTTTCATGCAAAATAATAGTCAAGTTTAAATTATACAAATAAATAAATACTATTTGATACAGCTTATACAACACTTATGGATTCAACATACAAATATTGTTTTATTTTGCTACTTTGATTTTAAATAAAGTTTCATGTCAAAAGTTTTGTCAACCTTGGGCTTTACGATAAGACAAACTGGTCCTTACTTTGTTATATTTTGACTGTGTTGGAATTTCAATCTAACACAATCAACGTGAGTATTTTATCAAGATTTTATCTTGATAAAATACTCAAGTTTTTAGTGAGATGATGGGGCTGCACTAAAAGCCATGCTATCATGACAAAAGGATACCTAAAACGTAACCAATGTTTATAGTACAGTAGAAAATATCATAGCAGCAAATAACAGGGGGCTTTGATAAAAATAAAAGCATACTTCCATTTATTAAATAAAACATGGACACTTTAAATGGTTATAAATAACTGTAGCTAATTTATTTTGGAAGAATTTAAAAAAAAATACTGTCAACAGTAAACATAAAAAACACAATGTTACAAAATGTTACTAAAAGAACAAAGGGTGGTACACTGTTCTTCACCTTTACAAATACTTTACATTTTCAGAAATGTTAAAAATAAGAAACCAACTGAAGGAGTCAAATAAGTAAGATTTGTGCATACCCAAACGACAAGTGTTTAAACATAGAACATTTTGACTAATACACAGACTTTCCTTTTTCTTTCAGCATAATTAGTATGTTAAGGTTGTTCTGTCAGGTAAATGTTTGCCTTAACATTTTATAGAAACAATGCTATTATAGTACACACGTGTGATATCATAAGATGGTGTGTACTACAAAAGACCATGACCCCCATTTTTTTTTCACAAAAGTTTGTTCCTGACCAGGGGCAGTTCTATGATGTAAAATTTGAGGGTTCATGCACAAAAAGTGCATATATAAACAGCTGTATAACCCCAGAAAAACACATACATACACAATTTCAGACAAACACACAAACTCCCAAAAACTCAGACACACCTTCTCAAACATACATAGACACACACATACTAGATACACAGAGGCATCCACACTCCCAGATATACACATTGCCAGGTACAAACACACATACTCCCAGGTTTGCTAAATCCACAAAGACAGACATACTCCAAGTCAAAAGCACACACAAATACATTGTCAAAGACAGAGAGACATACAAACACATGCACTTCACACTGCTTTTACAGGAAGAAGTACCAGTTTTGTTTTAGCTTCACCTTTCCCACGGGAGGGTATCTTTCTTGGTGTCTAGTGGACAATTACTGTAAGCGAGGTCCTTTCTATGCTGGGTCATCATTAGAATGCCAGAAGCAAAATATACGATATCACACCCTCCTAGACTGTCACGTAATGGGAACTGCGAAGATTTATAGCCATTGTGTTCATGACATTTATTACCCTAATTGGTGTCAGCTACAGTCCACAGGTTGGAATCAGTGGCAGTATCTAGACAGCCGTGGCTCGCAAGTTAAAGGTTGAGGTGCTGTATAAAGCACTGATGGCAGGACCTTCGCTGATTGTGACTTCTGCTAAAATCACGCATGTATGTGCCAAACACAAAACTTTTTAAATAAAGCTAAAGAAAAACAAAACAACTTAACAGTTTATCCACAAACATTAAGAACATAACAACAATGTCAACTGCAACAAATGTAACATTTATATCGAGGTATGATCTGTTTAAATGACCCCACTCTGGGCCCTAAATGGCAAAACGCTTCACATGGCCATTGGAAAGGTACACGTGGCAATTAAAAACAGAAAATATGTAAAACATTTTTAGATATACTGGAAATTAGTGCACCAATACGATTAAGCACGTTGATTAATAAAATAAAGAAATGTTAATCTATCAAAGCGGCTTGAGAAAATATATGTTTAAAAAGATACAAAAATATCAAAATCTGCTTATAAAAAAGAAATACTGCCTTAAAATTCAAAATGCAAGTATTAATATTAGCACACACAAGCTATCTACCAAATGTGAAAACTATTATTTAGCTTTTCTGGCAACTAAAACTAACATACTACAGAGTTTACTATATTCAGTGCAATATCTAAAGGAAGTGCTGGCTAAAAAAATGAATGCCAAACTAGCAAAGTTGTAAAAAACTAGGAAGTCGTTTTTTTTCTTTTTATCTGGTGAATAAAATGTTTCTACTTTATATCACACAGCTATTTGTCGCCTTCAAAAAATTCTTCTTGTGGTTTTGTCTTCCTGTACTTTCAGGATTTGTGTTTGCAGGGTTTTTTTTCCGAAATTGGAATCTACAAATAATAAAAATATAAAGTTCATGAAAAAGCATCAAGTCAATGTCATTGGATTTGCAATGCTTCAATTCAAGTAAAAAAAATACAAAAGTTTACATAATAAGCATAACAATAACCAACAGAAGCTACAGAAAAACAAAAGTATTGATTACAAAATGTAATATACTATTTTTTTAATGCTTTTTTTCTTGTAACTTTCTTGCTAACTTAGGTCTGTAAGACATTGTAACGTGTGTGCCAAGTTCTGGCATTGTCAAGTAACTCAAGGTAGCTCAGCAGAATTGTAAAAAAGGTGAGGAGTATGGTCATTAATAGGTTACTATAGAACTTTGAATGACACTGTTACTTGTTTCAGGGTTAGAGAAGAGAAGTAAACCAGGTAGCTCTCGGAATGAGTCTGGAAAGCATACCTGGTATTATCTCTAGTAGACAGTCAGATGATTTAACTGTGAATCAAGCCCTTCTTACCAGGAATAACTTCACCTCAGATATTTACCAACAAAATCTCCAGAATCATAGCTGGCCCCCGATGAGACTAGAAGCAGCACAGTAGATTAAATAAGATTGACTTACAATATTTTCAAGGATTGATGGCAGTAAGGCATATGGAACACTTGTTTAACACACTTGACAGTGCAGGAACAGGTGATAGATAGAGTGATTAGATGAATGTATGAAGAACTATATATTTAGCCTGCCTCACATACTCTTACCCTCCAGGCCTTGAAGTTCCATGGCAACCAAGACAATTTTGGCACTGTAACTGCAACCTTCTCCAATCTGCAATTCAGCTATGGTTAAAATATTCTAGCCAGAAAAGAATGGTGCTAATAGGAAGTGTGGTAACACTGCAAGCCTCAGCTAAACTGCCTTGGGTATGAGGAGCAAAGACCAACTCCACTTTTCAGGATGTGTACATCGTGGATACTTCTCTTAAGGGACCACTCTACTGAGATACCTATAGTGGCTCTTCTATGATACGGCTGCATTCTCCCATAACTCACTGGGAGCCTTTGTGCGTACACCTGCCTGCAGCATATTACTGGTCCTTAGTGATGACTGTGACGAAAGCACCTTCGTCACTGGAATTGGAGAGGCCTGCTTGCCAGCCTCTTGCCCCAAGACTGTGGGCCCTGCAAAAAGACTGCCTAAAAAGTGACTTCCATGGGAAAATGTGCCTCTTCCCCTCCCCCTTTTTCCTTGCTATTGTTTAACGCCATGGTGATCCAACTGTATTAGTGAGATCTGAGCACTTTTCTGACATATTGAGCGCTCAGATCCAAGCTATCTGGAGATATGTTGGACATATAGGTTAAACATTGTATTATAAGAGTTATGTATTTTTATGTGGTTTTTGTAACAGTTTTTAACTTAGAGATATTTCCTGTACCTGGAGATAATTAAGTTACCACAGCCACTTAAGCCAATTATCTCCAGGATAGAGGAGAAGATAGACCGGCCGCACAGCCTAAATCTGGGGAACTGTTTTGGGCATGAAAGACATACTTGCGGTCGGTCAAATGTGACTTCCATAAAGCTTTTGAATACCTGCTCTGATCTGGGTGATTTTTGGATATATTGTTCACCCAGATCAGGGCTATCCAGGGATGTAGGATTTATGGGGATATGTTGTTGTTTTGGGGTGTTTCTGGACTTTCGGTAAAACTGGATATTTTCTGCCTGTGGTAATTGAGTTAGTCCATTGTGTTTGGTAATTGTATCACAGGCAGAGAGGATGGTTTGTGTACATTAGCTGGGACTGTCTAACTGTACAATACTGTGTTGATTGGTTGTTGTGACTTTGTGTCCTGTGCTCCACAAGGTCTACGTGGGTGGTAACCTTGTGGGGAAAACTGTATATAAGAAATGCTTTTGTGCTCAATAAATGAGATCATCTTGTACCTTCATGAAGTTTCGGCTCATGTTTGGGGGATTGGAGAATTACCTACATTCTGGGGATTGCTATAATCATTATACTCCCCAGAGTAAGCTCCTGTAAGAGGTCTACCTACTGGAAGCTGTACCCTGGTCTTGGGCCCAGAGTAGGAGGAAGACAGCGAGACCCCAACCAAGCTGCGGTGGTTCGTGTGGTTTGCGCTGGTTATGGTGTCCAGTGGAGTGCTTGGAGCCCTCGGGAAGCACTAGGAGCATCCGTCAAACGGAGGTACCCAGTCAGGGTGCCAGGCGATCAATTACAGTGACTAAGCTTAATAAATAATCAGAAAGGTGACAATCACCTGTAACTTGATAAATGATAGTCAAAGTGCCAACAAGCCAAAGGGATTACAGAGAGAAGAATAATCAGGAAGAGTCGAAATCAAAATAAGAAAGATCAGAAAACAGTAAAAAACACACTCCTGTGTAAAGAAAACCCAAACAGCTGTGAATTGAAGTTTAGAAGCATATATGTACACACTTACAGAAGGAAATACTGCCCGAGGAGGCATAGGATGAAAAGAGTGCCAAGACAGTGAATAAAAGCACATAAAAATTAAGCATAGTACAGGTCGAGGTCCGTAGCCAAAGGTCTGGAAGGTGAATATCAGCAGGATAGGTGAAGCAGTTTGAAAGCAATTTGGTGTTTTATAACATGTTGGACTTCCTACACTTTATTTGAACTTTATCAAGTGTATTTTTTGGGCAGAGACCAAATGTAATGGAATTAAAGAACTTCATCTCAGTGAAGTGGACTGGGTACAGTGGTCCTTTAATTTTTTTTTTTTTTTTTTTTAAATTGCAATGTCTTTACAGGGATTCTCCAGTGCCAGGAAAACATATCAGTTTTCCTGGCACTGCAGGACCCTCTAGTACCCCTCTACCTCCCACCCCCCATCCCAAGTTGCTGAATGGGTTAAAACCCCTTCAGTGACTTACCGGAGTCCAGCACGCGCATTAGACCTCCCCATAGGAAAGCATTATACAATGCGTTCCTATGGAGATTTCGGCGACGCTGGAGGTCCTCACATAGCGTGAGGACCTCCAGCGTCGTTTTAAACCACTTTTCGTGTTCTATGAACACAGAAGTCTCCTCTAGTGGCTGTCTAGTAGACAGCCACTAGAGGAGGACATAACCCTGCAAGGTTAATATTGCAGTTTATGAAAACTGCAATAATTACACTTGCAGGGTTAAGGGTAGAGTGAGTTGGCACCCAGACCACTCCAATGGGCCGAAGTGGTCTGGGTGCCTGGAGTGTCCCTTTAAGTACACCTCTACTGGTCACCAGAGGCGTTTCTGACTGAATAAAACAGACAAGTGAGGCGAAAGCTCCCATATGGGAAAGTTTGAATGATCTCTGCGCATGCACATCAGTTCCCCAATACTCCTCGTGGTGAGCATTGGATTGGACAAATGCAGAGGACTTACCTTCTCTGTGAAGTCCTGGTAGCAGAGGTAAGCAGCACTCCCCTGCAGTGCTAAATGTATGTAAAAAATGTCTTGCTAAGCACAGAGACACTAAAGCATCAGGAATATTGGTTTGTATTTCTAACGCTTTAGTGTTCCTTTACCACATTCAGGGTTAATTTTCTGATATTGCCACTAAACTGCTAATCATTTTAAAATTGATCTTTAAATTTTACAAAGTGGAAGACAATTTGCAGATTACAGACAGTGAAAAATCCTCAAAACACAAAACCTCAAAAGCAAAAACTGAGTAGACAGTCAAGATAATAAATGAATAAAGTAGGTGGCATTGGTGATGCAAACATTTGGCATATTGCAAAAGAAACCATTTTGAACAATAAAAAAAACAAAAAAAACACATGTTGAGGAAAATGAGGCACAAAGAAATTTAAAGAGGTATCTGCCATGACAAATAAAACGTAATCCTAAATTATAGAGAATCAAATTTCATCTATACATCATGCTAGCAGAATTGCCAACAAATATCTAGATTTCTGTAACATCTGAGGTTTAAAAACAGCCCTTTCCCTCTCCTCCTAGTCAGTGTTTGTATGTTGGCTGTGCTCTGCATGTCTGTTATCAGGAAACCCTTCTCTGGGCGTCTCTCTTGCTTGAATTCTGCCTAGGGGAAAGCAATGCCTGCAAGGGAAAGTAGGGAGGAGGGGCAGGCGCTTTGTGAGAGCAGCATGGCAAGAGGAGAGAAATAGCCAGAATGATTTATTGAAAAAGCTTTGGACAGGCAATCTAAGAATGGAGAGATAAAACAAAGCTAATATAAAGTGTTTGGGACTTTTAACCTGATATAGGAAGCAAGTCTGTGCTTCCAAACAGGGGTATGCAGGAGAGGTGTGTCTTACAGAAAGTGTGACACCCATTGAAAACATGAAATATAAATAAATCAAAATATGAGCTTTTAATAGTGAAAAAACTGCAAACCTATATCTGTCATGGCAGGTTCACTTGAAAGTCAATTCAATAGACATTGTTTTCATGATGTATATTTAGAATACCTATTTTTGAAGTTGTCCCCCTCCTCCTGACACGATCAATGACCTAAAAAATAAAACATTACAATTACAGCAAATTGTCTTCAATTCGGTTGTTGAGAATCCTTAGATGTTCAATCTAATCATTATCAAAACAGCAAACCAACTGGATAGCAGCCAAATGTTACTGCTAATACAGATAAAACTATTGAATATTTGTTTTGCCCACAGCTGAATGGATTTCATGTGGCAAACGTTCAGATGAAATATACAACAACCAAAAGCCATTTATCTGCTGCTTACTAGGAACGTTTTCTGGAATTTGTAGTGAAAAAAAACTGATACCTAAACTGCAAAATGGATCCAAGATCCCCTATACTACCCACAAAGCTCAACTAGTCATGAATTAAAGGGATGAAGTTAGCATTTTGAAGAGGGAAACAGTTATCGGAGTATCCCAATAACTTCCTTCTATGGAATGCGTCATCTCTTTGAGAAGCCTAAGAATATTTCGCAAACGTGTTAACTTCAAACGTGCAAACCTTTTAGCTTAAATTGCTTTAGATTCGTGGGTCTTACACAAAAAAAAGAAAATAAGGTAGTGGATTAACCCCTTAAGGACCAAACTTCTGGAATAAAAGGCAATCGTGACATGTCACACATGTCATGTGTCCTTAAGGGGTTAAATAAATAATTTGTTAATTCCAGGCTTTGAGTGACCAATTAGCAGAGGTTGACTCTGCAACAACAATTCTCTTTAGGGACCATATAAAGCAAAATACAGGGTATTATTTGGCTCAACCTTACTAAATTCATTATTATCCTAACTGAATAATATTTTAAATTGATCTCAGTTGTCCCAATCTAAATAGTTCCTGAAGCAGGTGAAATCATTAAATACAAACAAATTCCTGAACTAGTCTTATATAGAGGCATGTGTTGTTAAAAATAAATATTACAATTTTAGACGCTTTAATACCCAGGAAGGACACTCTGGTGAGGGATGGGAGGGTCTATTAAAGGAACACTCTACAGCCCAAATACAAAATAAATCAAAATCACTGTTTAGTAGGTATAATCCCAATAATATCATGCATACATTTTTATGCATTTTTTCATTGTGGGTATATCTAAAAATAGATTGCAAAACCTGCAGATCTTGTCCTGCAATTGCAAGCCCTCCACTTCTAACACTGCCCTGACTTTCTGTGGCTGTCCAATCACAGACTGTCGATGATAAGTCTTTGCAAGGTTGATGCACTGGGCAATTGCTGCCTCTTGAGTTTAGCTCCACTGAGTAACAGGAATGGATGTCTGATCGACAGTTTTGATGTATAGATCATGCCATTGCAGTCTCGCTGCTCAATTCTCTGCTATTGGGAGTTAAATCACTATGTTTATGCAGCTCTAGCCACACCTCCATGCATGTGACTTACACAGCCTTCCTAAACACTTCCTGTAAAGAGTCATCTAATGTTTATACTTCCTCTATTGCAAAATTCTGTTAAATTTAGAATTTCTTATTTCCTGCTCTGCTAATTGCTTGCTAGACCCTGCAGGAGCATCCTGTATGTAATTAAAGTTCAATTTAGAGAGAAGGAGATACAACCTATTGAAAATGAAACAATTTTGTTTAGATGCAGGCTGTGTCAGTCACATCTAGTAGAGGTGTGGCTAGGCTGCATATACAGAAACAAAAGTGATTTAACTTCTAAACGGCAGAGATTTGAGCAGTGAGACTTCAGAGGCATGATCTATACACCAAAACTGCTTCATTAAGCTAAAGATGTTTTGGTGACTATAGTGTCCCTTTAAAGCGACCACCCAATGCACCAGAAAAAACGTAATCTAAATGATGTTGTTATGGAGCCAGGAGACCCCCGGCAGCACTCTCACCTCAAGGGGTTGAACCATTTAAGAACGGTGTTACCCCAAAGTTGCCTCCAGCGGCGATGTCCACTCTTGCCCTGGCGGCATTCCAGCTTCTGACTTTTCAGATTCAGAAAGCGTGGAGTGCCACCTGTCAGGGGTGCTGCTAATTGGTTGAGAGCGGTAAGCTGACACTCTCAGTCAATCAGTGACTCCCCATTCACTAAACTGGATTGAGAAAGATATGCTTCTTTCAGAAGTCAAATGCTGCCAGGTTAGGAGTGGACTTTACCACTGGAGGCAACTTTGGAGTAAAACCGTTCGAGAAAAGTTTAACCTCTGGAAGTAAGAGTGCCTCCAGGGGCCTTCTGGAACCATAAAAACTTAATTTACATTAAGCTGTTTTGGTGCCTGGAACGTCCCTTTAAAAGTCCACAAAACATTTAGATTTTGCAATACATTTTCCTTGCTATTCTGAGACTACATGACAGAATATGGTACACAATATTACAAGTATTATCTTGTGGAAAACAAATAAAACAATATGAGATCTGATCAATACAACTAAGAAAGTTCAGACATGAGCTGAACAAAATTATTAAGGGAAAAATAAGACATTCTTCCAAGGAAGGTTTTTAAAATGTCAGATTAATGTGGCACAAAAGAGGCGTAATGCAGAAAAATAATAATGTTGTTATCAGTGAGGAAAATTCTACCACTGCTTGCTCAATAATGTAAAAACACCTTTATTGCAAACTTCAATAAAAATCCGACATACAGTGATTAATCTTTTTTTGGTTTGTTTACCTATTCTTCTTTACACTTTTAACTACATGGTCAGCAGACATTATCCAAAAACTGAATTTTAAATGGTGGCTCTAAATTATTCATTGATTGTAAAACTATATGAGTCTCATCTCACTGTAAATTATCTGTTTAAGATTGAAGTCATAGAATATATTTTAAAAAATTAAAATGCAAAATGCTGTGACCATTTGATTGCATCAACTAATTCAAGGAAATGGTGTTGATGGCTCCTGGCAGCTGAAGGGCCAGGAACAGAAGAAGTCTGGATAGAAAAGGATGGTAGCAACCGTGAAGGACAGGTTAAGGTAAATAGAACTCATCTTTGCCTAGCCCCCTCCTCCCCTTCCCCATGGCCCCTAACAATGATGTCACCATTGAGGTCTTTGCAAATTATACAAAGTCCCCAGATGATGACAGTGCTGCTTTACTATTTTCTGAATAAACTTTTAAAATTATTTATTATTTTGAAAATATTTTAATAATTATTTTTTATATATTGATATAAATTTTAATGTTTCAAAAATCATTATAAAGGTTTAGATAAAAATACTAAATCAGTTAAATAAGCTCATCCAAAAATATTAATAAATAACCCTGTCAATGTGCAGGTCTAAACAGGGTCGCCAAACTTTCTAATTTAAAGGATCACTATAGGGTCAGGAACACAAACATGTATTCCTGACCCTATCGTGTTAAAACCACCATCTAGCCCCCTGGGTCCCTCATGCCTCCATAAATATAGCAAAATCTTACTGTATTCAAGCCTGATGCTGTAGATCTGCATGCTGTTTGCCTCAGAAAAACAAGCAGTCCGCTGACATCATCAGAAGTGGTAGCCTGATCCAATCACAATGATTCCCCATAGGATTGGCTGAGACTGACAAAGAGGCAGATCAGGGGCAGAGCCAGCATGATTCAAACACAGCCCTGGCCAATCAGCATCTCCTCATAGAGATGAATTGAATCAATTAATCTCTATGAGGAAAGTTCAGTGTCTGCATGCAGAGGGAGGAGACACTGAATGTTTGGATGCATTTTAGGCAGCCATGACCCAGGAAAGATCTCTAACAGCTATCTGAGGAGTGGCCAGTGAAGTTATCACTTGGCTGTAATGTAAACACTGCATTTTCTGATTCTACTCACCAGAACAAATTTAATCAGCTGTAGTTGTTCTGGTGACTATAGTGTCCCCTCAAAATTATTTTCTGTCAGGACAGATTTTTTTCAATGTTCACACCCTGTATATATATATATATATATATATATATGCAGGATGATCTTATAATGACCATCTTTAACAGCACAACCCACAGAGAGATTGCACACAATGTAGACTTATCATTGTCAGTCAAGAGAATAACCTATGAATGTGCATGAAGCCCATGGGTAAGAATAAGAAGTCCAAAGGTCTGATGGTGTCATCAATAAACCTGTCAGCGGGTCAAATATCAAGCAGGATGTTGGAGCAATGGGAACAACCCTTATCAGTGAAAAAATATCCTTTGATTAAAAAATATTTTTCCTCAACGGAAAATGGCATAATTTGTGGAGTTACCTTCTTTGATACATGTCAATGCATCTTATTTTGCAAGAAATGATTAAATATCCAAGAAATACATTTTTGCACTTACCCCATGACCATGCCCCCCTTGTTGAAGGATTATAGGAAAACTGGGAGGGCAGAGCATTGTAAGCGTAGGTCATTCCTCCACTGAATGGGACAGATGTTGGAATCATGGAAGACTGGATCTGGTTAGCAAAATTGGAATAAGACTGACTTGCAGCATAAGAATTCTGCATAGAGAACGATGGAGGTGCACCATATGGAATGTTCTGTTGCATACTGTAAGATCTTTGATAAGACTGTGTCATTACACTTGCGTTACCGCCATTCTGACACCAGAAGTACAGAGAATAATACCAAGGATAGGAATTAGTTGAAAGCTGGTTATGTGATCCGCTCATTGGCACCAAGGCCTGACTTCTCCAATCATCACAACTGCCCTGTTGAATTTGCTGTGGATAAAATGCATCTTCTTCCATCTCTTGGCCTTCTTGAATCGAATTATCAAGATCCATATTATCACTTTCTTTGGAATCTGGTGAATTATTTTGATTGTTTGTGATTTTCTGGCTTTCCACACCATACTCTTCCTTCCTAAAAATAAATGTTACAATGATGATGAACAAACACTATACAAGCTCGAAGACCTGAATTAATACATTTTCAATTGCCTTTTGCATGAGCCAACGTAAAGCTACTGAACGCTGGTAGTAATAGAACATGGCTCAACAAAGCAGGTCGCTATAGCAGAGTCTCAGACTTCACAAACTTCCTCATTATCAAAACATGCGGACTAGAGGAGGAAACTGGGAATTTGTGAGCATATAATTATGTGTACGACAGTCGCTGATGTGATTTGACTGTGATTGTCTATCATTAGATATCTGTAAGATAAAGATATGTCTGAGAGTACAGGTAACATAGTTTGTAGTAATGGCTATAATATGTGAAGAGGATAAGAATGCTATAAATAAAGAACAAAGAGAAATTTAGTGAATATAGATTAAAAAAAATAATGAAAAAAGCATAGGATATTCCTGAATGTAAAAGCAACAGTGCTGGATAAAGAGAATAAAAATGACTGTTTATATCGGAGATATATGTAACAGAAGATTCTCTACCTTGGCATGACTGCCCTATGGAACTGTCCTCCCATGTCATCGAACACCAGTTAAACACATACTATACGGTCTGTGGAGGAGTTTGGAGGCTTGGCTCCTTCCTAGAGACTATGGAACTTCTGTGTCAGCAACAGACTATGTGGACATATACGGGGTTAAGACAGTGTGCAATACTAAAAGATTAAGTGGGCATAGAAGGAGTTAATACTTTGTAAATGTTACGTTCTAAACTCTGCTTTTGTTTTGTTTGTAAGTTTAATTTAATCAGTGCAGCCCCTCACTTTCATTGAGTTAGTGCTGCGGAGATCAGTTACGTTTTATCAGCCCCTTGTGTTTCCTAATATAAACATGCCCCAATCAATACAATATATATTGTTCTTCTCTGCACTATGTGTTGTCTGGTGGCAGGGAGAGAAGCTAAAGAGCTCTTCTAGACTCCATCAAGTGGCTGGCTCAGAATTGTGGAAGAAGAAATGAACTGGCAGAAAATCTCCTTGAGGAACAGGGCAGAAGGTTCAGTTCTGGTCCTAAGGCCTGAGACCGGTCTATACTGTTCTTGTTACAGTATGTATATGTCATGCTTATCAGAATCAAATGTATGAGAAGAAGGTGGTCCAGGTACTCCAAAGCGCAATACAGCACATTTATTCAGAAAAAAAGTGAATCCAGCAACATTTTGACCCTACAATGGGTCTTTGTCAAGCTTGGCAAAGACACATTGTGGCATCAAAACGTTGCTAGATTCACTTAGTTTCAAATAAATGTGTCTTATTAAGCTTTAAAGTGCCTGGACCTTTTTCTTCTCAATTGGATTCAACTATTCGGGGTTTGTGCTAGCCCCAGGGCTGGTTGCACACTTTGTTTGCTCATATTAGTGAGTGCAGTTCCTCATCTCTCATGTGTGAGAAAGACTGGCTAATTAGAAGCATATGTGCAGCTTATGTGGCATGATGTTCGTTAATAGATGTGTGTTTGAGAGTATGAGTAGTGCAAGGCATGTGTTGAGGGAAATGAAGTTCATCTTCCAAATGCAGTTGTGATGAGTAACTCTTCATTAAGCTAAATGCAGCATTACCTCCATTGTTATGAGTTTACTGACAGCGCCATTCACAGTTTTTCAAACAGGACTGCATGAGATTTTCTCATTTAAGATTTTAGTTACTGCATTCCCCTGCCTTTCTCCACTGTTTTGCTGAATTCCTGCACTGTTCCTCCTCTAATCAGTGAAACTTTTCTACTCGAGCACAGAAACTTGGGCCTGTAAGAAAAAAATGTCTTCGAAAGATGGAGTCAGGAGATGTCTTGGCAGAAGGAAAATACCTGCCTAGAAAACCAATTAGGCTGAGGGGACAAAACCTGCCAGTCCAGTGGGTATAATGTGTCAAAATGGAAAACAACATTAAATACCAGGAAATGAGAGAGCACATGGCACTCTGATGAACAGATTACTGTGCAGAGGAGAGGAAGGACCAACTAAAGCCTATGGAAATGGAGCATTACCAGCTTCAGTAACCTGAAATCTAGCATCCTCAAAGAGAAGCAGAGTTCCTACCTAGAGGTGTGGAGGAAAAAGATATCATACAATGCTTGTAGAATTTTTCACAGACCGAGTGGATATTGAGGGATGCCACCAGGGTTTTGAATGACGTGTTTTACATAGCACCGTAAACATGGACTGGGTTATGATTTTAGCCAGCAAATTGGCCTGGTGGTTTAAGCAATTCAAGCTGTACCAGATCTTCTCTCTATGGATTATATTATTAATAAATGTGTTTACTAGCCCAATATGCTAACAACCAGGAGTCTTGATGGTAGAAGTTTAGAAACTGTCAGAGAAAGAAAAACAACTTTAATGCTGTGTGGCCCAATCAATTACATCTGGCTGTTTCTAATTCGTGGCAAGTGACAATTGTGGAAGAAATATTATAATTGGTTATGCTGGAGTAATTAAATCAATATACATTCCTAGAGGTTGAATACTGAGTAATGAACTGGTATCCTCTCAAAGTAAGGGATGTTGCCATGCTTGCTAAAGAATACCAAGATACTAGCCAAAGCAAGTGACCTGCTATTCCAGAGTACTTGAATTTCCATATTGCCAATGGCACATTAAAACTAACCTCTCCTCCGAGGCTACTAAGAATGCGCAGTTACGCTCATCAGAAACATTTGGAGTAGCTGTCCATCAGATGTATGTCCCACAGGCAGTGGACTTTCCCACAGTTAGGAAGAGAGAGTTCCCAATGCTTAGAAGGTCTGATGCCATAATTATATCAAATTAAAAACCATAGTAACATAGCTGAAAACAGACATGCGTCCATCAAGCTCAGCCTTTAATACATTTGTTTTTGCTGTTGATCCAATAGAGATGATTTTGTCCATGTTGCATGAGCTAAATCTTATACAAGGAGCAAGAGAGGTTAACTAGGCCTGACATCAACAATTTGCATTTGGAAACAGACATTTTGCCTGAAGACTGAGAGTGTAGGGCCTACCTTGACTCTGATTAAACCATGATGGGGTCAGCCCTGACACTGGACATGGAGTACACTGGCTGTCCAGGTAGTAGGAGGGGATCATCTTGATTAGGGTACTATCAGCTGGAAAATTGAAATGGGCCTCATGGGAAATGGTTCGGCACACTTTACCTGGGCCAGCAACATGGGAATGTATGGAAACTATCATGGTTTATAAGTGTCTCCCAAAAGGCAAAGTGAGGACCCGAGAGACAGCAAAGTCTCATCTCCCAAAAAGCAGAATGAGATCTCATGAGATGATGTAGTCAGCAACCCTCTCCAGTGACAGACTGGGATCCAGAGAGAGAGTGATGTTGGTTCCTTTCCCAAGAAATAGATTCTGGTTTGTGGACTTGTGTAAGGAAACAAGACTAAAAGGATTGTAGCAGCGACTAACATTTTGAGACTCAACTGCCGACTTAAGGAATGGTTTCCAATGTTACTAAATAGCAGTCATAAACTGTCAATATTAATCCCTTAAGGATATGGGCAATTGTCCAAGTTCTGAACCAAAACAGAACATAGAATGTCGCTGTGGCTTTAATCAACCATAATTTAAGTGTTTCACTTTAAGTGCCTCCATATATATTACATATTGCATTTCAAAGGACAGAGAGGGCTTTCTATTAAAATTGTATATATATGCCTAACACAACAAAAAGTGTGAATAAAATGTTAAACGTGGCAAATAAATTTACATGTCAAAGTGCAACTACATAAAAAGAATTTAAAACAGCTTCATGTTTCAGTCCTGATTGTTAAATTATTTCTTTGTCTGGGATATAGATACATTTTTGGAAGTTAACTCTAGCCCTATACCAACCCCTCCCTAATTCTATATGAATCCTAACCCTATGCTTACACTAACTCTGCCCTAACCTTTAACCTACATTTTCCCTAACACTAAATTAGCATTAATCTTAACCTACCATAAACCCTTACCTTATCCTAACACAAACCTTAATTTTAACCTGAATCCTAAATAAACCATCTGCTGATAATAGTACTGATATATGCAGATTGGCTCCCTAGTTAAAATAGTAAAGAGTAGTATGTTGCCACCATCTACTGGTTTTGTTTCAGCCTTACAGGCAGGCTCATTACACTGTGACTGGTGCAGGGCACCTGGCAAAGCCCAGCACAGAGGTATGGATGGGGCCTGGCTGGGAAACCATGTCAGGTACTATGAGCACCTGCCAGCCTAGAATCACCACAGCTGAGCGCAACGGCTCTCAACGAAATTAAAGGACTATATCACATTGAGTGCTGCATATGGCTCACCGTCAGTCTGAAGACAATAAATGTGACCCCAGTTGATACAAGGGAGCACCAGGTATCAACTGATAGCTGGGTTTCCGTGATGTGAGCAGGGGTTTAACTCTACTCACTCTAAAATGTTAGGACGTTCCACGCCGTCCTAACAGTGTTAAAGCCTACTCTGTGTAGGACAGCATGGAACGTATTAACGTTGTGAAGGGTTTACAGTTTTATCAAGTGCTTGTCACTGTATGCAGTCTGTATTTTTAAAAAAACATGGCAACCAGTATTTCTTTATTTACATATATCATTTATTGGATTTACTATCAATGAATCAGTGACACGGATTAATTGATGCACTCTGGACAAATATAAGAGAAAGGGAGAATTTGTATCCCCATTTGAGATTTTTTTTTTTCCCCAGTATTTACAAAATATAGGCAGCTATTAGCAGCCACTAATTGCTGACAGGTTTACCACTTTTTCATTAATTTTCACACGCATTTTGAAAGCATCACCATAGCAACCAGAACTGGATGGTAAAAATGACTCACCCATTAGACGCATTTATAGAATGTCTTGTCTACCTTATCTCTGTGACTTAAGGACTTCGTTGCTTGAGTCTCCTTACCACATGCTGCCAGCTCGGAAGCCTCGTATCTACACGCTTGCTCTTAGACAAGACCTGTTTGTTTTTTCATCTGTCTATATGACTACAGGCTATTGCATGTAGTCCATTTTGGACTTTGCTATGAGAAGAATATTACCCTTTTGTGCACACCCTGCATATTTTTGGATTTTTTTATTCATTTTTCAATTTGAACAATACTTTGTTATAAGGCTACTAATAATAACAGTTTTTTTGCCAATTCCGTAAAGATGTCTCCTTGAGGACATTGTGTATATCTATATTAAAGTTAACATTAGACATAATTTCCTTGGAAGGCTATGCTCTATGCAGCACCTACAACTAACAGTATGTTAAAAATATTTCCCAGTTATATGTCCACAAGCCTTTGTATTAAGATATTTACATTATTATGCTCTGCACTGTTGATTGTATGAAACCTATAGCTGGCTTATTAACCCATTATTTATATTATGGTAGTATCCTTTTTTCTATATTTTTTACAGCATGTAAAAAAAAAACTCTACCATTTCAGAATTTTGTGTGCGGATTCCTACTTTATTTTTTTTTATATCTGCGACTCAATATAAATAGAAATACGTAAAAAAATGGCTCACCCAGAATATGAGCACTTCACCCTGTGATTAACCTTAGCAGGAGACAGCAAAAGTGTATAGAATGTGTATTGAACCATGATTTTTTTTTTCTATGCAAGGTTATCTGTGTTATGATCCTGTGGGTTCTAGTTTGTTACTTCCTTGACTTTAAAGGTGAATATATATTATGTGAATTGTTCATTTCAAAGACATAAGCACTTTACTTACATAAGGAATAATTTTGTGTCTAGCCTTTTCATTTTATTGCTGTTTGATATGGTTTAATACGCTTTGATACATGGTTTATGGTTTAACTGGAATTCTATATAGCTAATATTCTTTCCCACATGATATATAGCAGATAATAGTTTCCATTATATGTTATGGAGGCCATTAAGAATTTTGTGATCTGGTACCAAGTTAGTCTACCATTGGGCAAGAGAGCAGGGAATATAATTGTAAATCCTTCCGACAGTGCCAGTGTGCCTCTAATTGCATTACTGTGAGAATGTTGTCGGGAAATCCCTTGAAGGATAACTATAGGCACCCAGATCACATCAGCTCAATGAAGTGGTCTGGCTGCCAGGTCCCTCTAGTTTTAACCCTGCAGCTGAAAACATAGCAGTTTCAGAGAAACTGCTATGTTTCACTGAGGGTTAATCCAGCCTCTATTGGCTCTCACTGACAGGCGCTAGAGGCGCTTCCGCGATTCTCACTGTGAAAATCACAGTGAGAAGACACTGGACGTCCATCGGAAAGCATTGAGTAATGCTTTACTATGGGCGGTTTGAATGCACACGCGGTTCTTGCCGTGCATGCGCATTCAGATCTAACGTTGGCCGGGGTGAAGAGTTCCCCAGCACAGAGGGAGCTCTTCAAGCATTAAAGGGGTTTCGTTGTGAGGTAATTGGTCCTCACAAGGAAAAACAACCAAAAAAAACACTTTAGTTTAATGGAACAGTTTTGATCAGATCTTACAGCACAGTGTTTTGATATTAGAACAGCTATGATGATTGGACTTTGATCACACAGAGGACGCTGCTGCAGGCTCTAGTGGGCAATTAATAGAGCATGATACATCTTCAAAATTAAACACAATATGTGATAAGGAAAGATAAAAAATGTAAGCTGTTTTTCCACAAAGTGTAGTTAGCCTGTGTGCTGTCTATACACTAAAACTAATGTTTTAAACTAAAGTTGTTCTGGCTGAATAATGGTAGATTAGATATGATAGACAGATAGAGAGAGAGACAGAGACATTATTGTTATCCCGTGCCCAGTGGCATAACAACCACGGTCGCAAAGGTCGCGACTACGACCGGGCCCATCACTCCAGGGTGCCCATGGTTCCAGGGTGCCCATGGTTCCCGGGTGTCTGGCAGGAGGGGAGAACTGTGCTGCTCCCCTCCTGCCTGTGTGTAGTGTGGCCCAACGGTCTGAAAGGAAGTGCTCACTAAGTCTGACCGGGAACCGCAGAGAGCCAGGTACGAGAGAGGAGAGGTGAGAGAGGAAGGAATGAAAGGGACACATGGAGGGGAGAGCGAGAGGAAAGGGACACATGGAGGGGAGGGGGAAGAGAAGGAGGAAGGGGACACATGGAGGGCAATTTTCACACCGGGCCCGGTGGTTTGTAGTTACACCTCTACCCTAGCCGTTTTATCTTATCCTCTGTGTTGGTGCCTTTTTCCACCTCTGCCCTTTCATTGTCTGTATCTAAATAATGTTTTAAAAATTGTTTTATTGTTTCTGAGCAGTAAATTGTAGATTAACAGAAAAACATAACATGAGCTACTTTTCGAACAAAGGTAGTTTATAAACAATGTTAATTTATAAAGACATCTTCATTTTATTGGAAGTGTGGTATATTTTATTATTCAGCCATCTATGTGTGCTTTCATTTAAGATTTGGTGGTCCTGCCATCCCTGACATAGTTATTCTAAAAATACCTGGGGCTGATTGTCGGTGCTTTTTCTTCTTCTGTTTCAGAACTGCTTGTTGAGGACTCCAAAACCTAAAATAAAGTACATAGTCAATTTAGAAAAAAATATTTACAAAAGATCACAAGGGTTTATTACTGTCGTGCATACGGTAATATGTCATCCATTGTCTCTGGGTCTTTGATATCAACTGTATGGTAATTATAGTTAGTTATGCAACAAAAATATCCTATGAATAACTCTTTATTAATGTAATGTGCCCCAATACATAAGAAAAAAGTTACCTGCGCTCTTCGCAAATCCCTATGCATATTTAAACAAATGGAGGTTATTTAGTTTCTCCAATGGCCATGAGACCATGACCCACCTGCCCCGTCAAGGCATCATCTTGCTTCCTTGAGCTTCTGGCAAAGATATCTCTAATGAGACCGAAAGGGATATTTTTTATATACACCCCTAATAAGGGATATCTTGCCAGAAGTTCAAGGAAGCAAGATGAAAGGTTAGTGTAGGGCCCACCTGAGAGGTTTGCCTTGACGTGGCAGGTGGGCTAAAGTCTATCATGGTCATTGGAGAAACTAAATAACCTCCATTTGTTTAAATATGCATAGGGATTTGGGATGAGCGCAGGTAACTTTTTTCTTTGGTTTTTACTGTGTGTATTGGGGCTGATGTGTACTATGGTCATTGCTGCCGCCCAGGAGTGATGGGAGTTTGAGCTCAGGATTTGTTTTTTTGTATTCACTTTCACCTCCTGTGATGTCACACATTACATTCCTCCGGTAGGGAGCAGGGAGTGCCTATTGTGTTTATCTGGAAGACAGCCACTAGAGGTGGGCTTAACCCTGCAATGCAAACATTGCAGTTTCTCACAAGCTGCAATGTTTTACACTGCAGAGTTAAACAGACAGGGGCACTGCACCCAGAATACTTCAGTGAGATGAAGTGGTCTGGGTGCCTATGGTGACCCTTTAAACCAGGTTGTGGCAACAGGGGACCCAAGCAACCTCACAGTTACAGCAAGATGTAGTAGTTAGCTATGTTAAAGTATACATAATCTACATTATTCTCACTCTTAACAATGCACCCTATTCTCAAAATCTTTAAGCGCCTTAAAGAGACACTACACACATAAAACACTTCGGCCTGCTAAAGTGCAGGTTTCAGTAGATATTAGCACTTTCATAAATTAGACGTCTTACTTCCTCCTTTGTTGTCAACATAAAACCAGTCCTGTTACTTCATGGTTTGGTTAGCTCAGTGGAGCTAAACTCAAGAGACAGCAATTGCCCAGAGCACCTGCCTTGAAAAGACTACTCGTGGAGCTGCATTGGGAAGTCTGTGATTGACAAAAAGTCTGGGCGGGGTTAGAAGGGGAGGGTTTGCAAAGGCTTCAGACAAGATACCTGCAGCTTTTACAAACTGTTTTTAGACATACCTCCAATGAAAAAAGGCATTAGTAAATGTGTGCATTGTGTCACCAGGCATATATCTACTAAATAGTGATGATTTATTTATTGTATTTGGGCAATGGAGTGTCCCTTTAATGCATAGCCTACGCTGTTCTATGAAGATATATTACCCTCCTGACAATTACCTTCAACTTTCCTCACTCAGACAGAGGTAAAAATATAGACTAGCATCACACTCTCCTTGTTTGCAAATCTTCCTTCTGGTAAATGTGACTGGAAAATGCATCTTATCCTGTGAAGCAAAAACCTGCTGCATTGGCCATGCATTTAGTCTCAATTGTTCATAAATAGGACACTTTGAGACACATATCAAACACTTACATATCTTTAACAAATCTGAGTATATCAATACTAGATATGAGTGTTTAATAGAAGAAATTTTAATCAAATAAAGTAATGCCTTACCTTTTGCTTTTTCAGGCTTAGGTTAAGTTCTTGATTATTTTTGCTTAAAGCTGAGAGACTCATTTCTCTTTTTCTAGGAGACAGGCTGAAATCCATTTTGTTTATTTTGGTCTTTTCTTTCTCGTGAATTTCAACGTCCTTACTGAAAGTTCCTGTTTCCATCTGGCAAATTATTAAGTCAAACGCTGTATTGTCAGGTTTCAGAAATGCATCTTTCATTATCTCAATTGTTTTCATTACTTTCATTGTGTGAGCCATTTTCCCTAAATCTTTCTTAGGAGCAGACATTAGAAGGCCAAGCAAATCAGAAAACTGGTTGTAATTGTAATCCAGCTCAGAGGAAGTATTTCCATAATGTATCGAGGCAACAAACGGAGAAAAGTGAACGTAAGTACTAATTTCGGACTCGGTCTCCAGAACAAAGTTTTTCAACTCCGATAACTCGGAAAGTTCTCTCGTCATTATTTGAAGAGCATATGTATAATTGACAGAATCTGAAAAGTCACAAATTATTTCCAGCTCTGATTTAATCTCTGATATTGTGCGGTCTATGACATCTAGAGCTTTACATTTGATGTCTCCTTGTAGGTAAGAAATTATTCTATGCTGACTGTTGAGCAGGTCAGAGAAAAGCGAGCTGTCATAATACAACAAACCCCTATGCCTTTTTTGCTTTTTTTGTGACGACACTAAAGAAATCAGGAAATGTAACGTTTCAAATGTCATCCCAACTTCAATGTAGGTCTCAACAGCTTCAGGTTTCAAAAGAATTGTAAGCTTATCATGTCTTTCTGCTACCTTCAAAAGATTACGTCTTGTGATTATAATCTGATTGGCATCACACTCTTGCAAAATCTGAAAATATTTTATGAGGGTGTCCAAATGCTCCTTACAGTCTTGTATCATCTCTTTTAGTACCTGAGGTTCTGCACATCGAGCTTGGTCAATTATTTTACCAACATAATGCACTGTGTGTGGAGGATGAAAGACAGTATCTTTGTCCAGAGTATTCTCTTCACCTAGTTCATCTCTTTCTTGGACCATTAGCACTTCATCAGTTGGTGTACCATAAATCTCATATAATTTTGATAATGCACAGTGATTTACAGTAAACATGAACTCCTTTGTAACACTGGGTGATTTTTTTAGTCCTGCATAGCTAGATTGTTGACTCAGAACACATGTTTTTGCTGCATCAAAGAGTAAGTGCTCAATACCAAAAATTGATAATTGCATAGGTATAAACTCTGAAGACTTAATGAAATCAATTTTTGCAGAGATAATTTCTAGGAGGCATAAAGCGTGTTCTTGCTTTCCCGGATCACACTTTTGGAGAACAGCAAAGTTCTTTATGAGCTCTAAAGTGCTTTTTTGAAGTTTTTCCAAATTATCTATTGTGTCTCCAATGTGCACTCCACAAGTTAATGGAACAGAAAGAGAAAATTCTGAATGATCTGAGCAATTGTTCAGAACTGCTTCACACTCCTCAATTTCTCTTCTGTATTTCAGGAAAACATAATATGAGCTATTACTCTCATGTATGCTCTGAAGGACCTCACAAAGTTGGTCGTGATGACTCTGCAATGTGCCTAATGCACCACATTTCAATTTTTCTTGAAATGTTCTATACAAATGCGACTGCTGTTGATAACCAGATTCTCCAGCAATTAGCTCAGTATAAAGTGAACTATCATACCAAAGTAGACTTCTAAATGTTGGCTCTCTCTGTAAATAATGCATACGATTTTCTATAAACTGTGTGGTTTCCATCATCATTTGCATTTCAATAAACGACTCTATAGCACAGGGTCGCAGGACATGCTTGAAAGAAACTTCTATGTTCTTGTTAGCCAATAATTTGCGGTCAACAATTACTTCAGACAATGAACATTTCTGATCTTTCACAAAAGCTTCTACAAATATAGGAAACATTTTCTTACACGTTAATTTGTATTGCTGCAAAGATCCTAAGGAATGAGTTTTATCTGCATCTCTTAAAAGCCTAGACATTTGTTTAATTAGTGAACTTGACTTATATTTCACTTTAGGAAGTGTATATTGCATTTTAGCTATATTTTCATCTTCTGTTTTAAGCAAATCCTTGCCAAGCACGTCATTTGAATTTAATGTCGTTACTTTGCTTACAGGCAAATGGTCATTTTGCAATAAATCAGTTGTGTTATTTGGTATGAGCAATGTTTCATCATTCTGAACACAGATCTTGCTCTGTGTGTTTTCATTGGTCCCTTCAGAAACAGAATGCGCTACGGTATTTTCTTTATTGGATTGCCTGCAGTCAAAAATGTGAGTGGAGTCCTCCGGTAATTCTGGGGAACTTTTGTTTGCATTATAGCTAGATGCCAAACATTTCATAATTGGAGTAGATGATGTTGATGATGTAAGGGTAGAGGTTTTAGATTGTTGAGGAATCTGATTTGATATTCCATTTTTCGTTTGTGTTGTTACTTTTAAGCAATGTCTATCATCTAAAGTTGGTTTCTTTGGTTTGATTTCAGAATTAATATCACTCGCCTGGTTAGCTATCTTTTGGACTTCCAGGTCAACCTGCATTGCTTTAATATGACTTTCTGGAACATCATTTACTGCAATGTCTTTATTCTTACAGGGATTAGTGTTGCTTGCTGCTATTATAATGGGAGGCTTTGTTAAATTTCGCCTTTGGACAAGCTGTAAAGACTTATGAACTCTCTTGTGAGCTTTCCTTAAGTGCAGTATAGCTCTGTCTAATTTTTTGGAAATACGCTTACTCTTACATGACGTAGCTTCATCAGAAAGCATGTTTAAAACACTCTTTATATTTTCTTCTGACTGGGAGAACTTCTTAATTCTTCCAACTGATCCTTTAATAACCAATCTAGGTAGCCTTTTGCTACCAAATTTTTTCATCTTTAGCACTGAGTGTCTCTGCTTGTGTTCTAGAATGATATGAGCCTCTTTACTCTTAATCTTTATGCTGGTCGAAGTAGTAAATTCTTTCTCTAAAGATTTAACATCTTTGCGTTCAGACGGACTAGTTCTTTCTGCAGTGGCCGAATTATTGCAAGATTGAGCTATATTCAATTCATCAGATCCTCCATTTAACTTTGTTGAATATTCTTTCAGATCTTGAGTAACCAAGTTTCTTGTGGTTTGAGAAACCTGCTCTGAAGGTTCTTCTCTATAATTGTCAATATCATTACTCATCTTTTTCAGAGAACTTTGCAGTTCGACTGATGAAGTTAGAGTTCCATACACAGTGTTTCTAACAGTAATTTTCATGTCCGGGAAGATTCTCATTCCACCCGGTTCTTTTTCTTTTTTTGCTTTGTAAACATAGGGTTGAAGGCTAGTTTTTGGCAATTTAGAATGTTCAGTTACCTGTCCTGTTACCGGATACTCTTTTCCAAAAAGGCCAAACCAGTCTATCCGGCTCTCTAACTGCTGAATATAGCTTAATTCATCAGATAACATGCCACCATATGCATCACTTGGTACTTTTATCTCCTTGTTTATTCCAGATCCAGTGTTTTGGATTACCTTATTTTTATCACCAAATATGCCAGTACCACAGCCTTTTGAGGAGAGATCAACCATGACTGAGTCCTTGGATTCCACAGACTGCAATGAGAGGCCTTTTGTTGTATAGGTTGTATTAGCTTTGTCATTTTTAGGTAGTGGGACTGATAAGGGATTTTCAGATGAAAACTTATTATTTACATCACAATCTACATTTTCACTTTTATTAACAATTCTAGATTTTTCCTCTACCTTTTGCATTTCAGTTAACATAGCTCCTTGACATACTTCACCTTTGTCTTCCAATGTGACATTATTGTTATTAGTACAACAGGTTGTTACAGATTTACTTTTGTCATTTGCCAAGGTTTTGTCTTGTATTTTGATATCAGAAATCTTAGGGAGCCTTTGAACAGACTCTGCTGGAACTAATGGTGTACGGTCAATACATTGCTGATGTGAAAGGTATAACCTATCTTTCGTTTCATTCTTTTTAGCTTCATTTCTAGCATTTGGCAATTTCAACATTTCATTAGTTTCCGGCTGGATACAAGTAATCTGTTTTTTTATGAAAGGTACCTTTTTATCCAACATTCTCACTGAGCTCTTTGATGTCTTGCAATCCAATTCTTTAGTGGAGACGGTAATTTCTTTTAAAGTGTTTTTTAACCCCCCTATTTTATCTGTATTAGCTGTTTGTGAAGATACATTCTGTCTATCTGTTTGGGAACAATCACATTTTTCCTTTACGGGACACTTCGAAACTATGTTCACTTTATGCGAAAGTTCCTTGTTGATGAGAGGTAATCTGCTATCAGATTTGCATGAATCCGTTTTTGCCACTAGAGTATTTATTTTACTACTGTCTGGACCATCCCTGTCTACTGGAACCTTTTTAGCTAAATCATTTTCGGTTACTATTGTTTTCTGCTTGCTAAATAAGGAAGGCTCATTTCTCTTGTGATGTTGAGGCATATCTTTGTTTATTTTAGATTTACTGCTATCGGTAGATTGGCCATGCCTAGAAACTAATGAAGAAGTTCTAATATGCTTGTTTAAATCCTCTGTACTTTTGCTACTCCCCAAACATGATTTCTTCTGGTAATGGATTCTGGGTGAATTATTTTTATCCACGCAGTCATTTTGTGTTAATGTTTGACTTGTTTCGCCAGGCACACTTTTGCTTGTTTCTGTTTTTGTAGCATATTGACATTTTTGTTGACTGTCACATTCTCGTTCATGTTTTTGAGAAGCACCTTCACACAAAGAGGTAGAGGCAAAAGTTTGGATTATTTCTTTAGAATCAGGCATGACCACTCTCCGAGAAGTACTTATTGGTAGCTGTTCTTCCTTTTCAATTTCTGTTTGTCTTGCAACTTTCTGGGGGGATCTGGTACAAATCTTGGGGGTATTTGATACAAAGGTTTGCGAGGAGCTGTTCAAGCTTTCTTTGAGACATTTTTTCTGCAGGCTTTCCGTTTTACTTCTCCTCTCTCTATTACACGATTCCACAGAAAAGGAAACATTTTTTTCCTTTCTCTTTAGTGTTTCATCAGACATTCGCACCTCCTCAAAACTTAAGTAAATTGATTTTGTTTTAGGACTGTCCTCTAGGTTAGAAAGAATGTCGGGTTTTAACTGACTAACAGGATATGGCTCCTCAGCTTTTGAAATATCTTGTTCCATTCTTTTTGATAGTCGCGGGTCCTTAATAGATTTTGAAGTGATCACCATGCTTGAAACCATTAGACTTTCTAATTCAGCTGTTTCTCTACTAAAAGGACCAGTTGCTTCAATTTCTTCAAGTGTACTATGCTGATGAGATGCACTATGGTCATCAATAGCTCCAGTTTTGTGACATAGGTTGGGTGTTACTATGTTTTGCTGTTCATTGTTCTTAGCAAAAGTAAGTCCCTCTTCTAGTGTGCATTGCACAGTTGTAATTTCCTTAGTCCATGCTGGAACTTCTACTACTGGTGCACGTACTTGTATATTTTCATAAATAATAGTAGCGCCTTTCCCTTTACCTATTCTCTTTGCAACAGTACAGTTCATTAACTTTTCTTTACCTGTGAAAATAATAGAAATTACGTGTTTATGACAGTCTTTCAAATAAACAATACAAACAATACAGGGTGCGTATAAAGCAAATGCATAACGTAAAAGTGTGTATTACATATTTCACTACATATGTAAACTATTTTGCAAAACAATTATAGCCTTACCATAGCATGTGCATATTGTTTAACAAAAGGGGCAAAAGCACACATTGGCCTAGATTTATTATTTTTGAATAAGCTTTTCGAATGGTTTCATATTTTTGGATAAACATTTTAAATGAATTAATATTTTGAAAATATTTTTATACATTGATTTTATTTACATAGGACATGTTTTTTGATATTTTAATACTTTTGTTTTTTTTTTAAATTGTATCCAAAACTATTTAATTATTTGAAAAGATTATCCAAAACATAAAATCAAGGTCATTGTTTTCTAAAAGTGACATATAGTTTATAGTTTGGTTCCTTCATTGAGATGTAAAAAGTTCTGTGACCATTCAGGTTTCTTAGCATATTACACAGATTGGCGTGCGATGGCCCATATGTACAGCAGAGGTAGGTTATACTTATTACCCAAAGCTATCCTCCACTGTCGCCGCCATATTTGTTCTTCAGCTGCTAAAGCTTCATCTGCCACAAGCCCACATCAGTGCTGGTCTATTGTGCATGTACAAAAGTACAACACTGATGTCTTTGGAGGATCCTGTGAGACTGGAATGAGCAAGACAATGCCTGATTCACACAGCCATCACTAACGACAACTGGGAGAACTGACCAAATCTAACGACAGAAGCACCACTTTTGGTCAATTTAAGATTTTATGACATAAAAAAAGTAGCCCCTACTTTGTCGTATGCTATCTTTTAACAGTGTTGGAATTTCAATGAAATTCCAACACAAGTTTTTAAGATTTTATCTTTGTGAAATGCTCAAAATAATTTTTGTGTGACATAGTTTCAATAAATATGTATGTTGCCTTTGCAGAATTAAAGAGACATATATCTGTTTCTGGTGACACTAAAACATGAAGGCATCAAATGTCATTTATCTGAAAATATGCATGCTACTATTATTCTTGGAATATATGCATTCTATTTTTGTAATTCAAATTTAACAAATACAAAATAATAGCAAACAAGAATGGAGTGAACATAAAAATGAATAAAGTGTGCTGCTACAGATTATATCGATTTTAGCAGAAAGTTACAAAGAATGTCTTCTCAAAGTTACAAGTCAACTAACATTTGGGTTATCGGTAAACTGGGGACTAAAGAGTTAGAAGGAAGGACGTAGCAAAACTGAGAAGGGAAAAAATTTAGCTAAAAGATGGGGTAGGTCCTGGAAGAAGAATTGCAATCAAGGGTACCGTGAACCCTGGGGGGATTGCCCTGGATACATTTATGCCAGTCAGTTTGGAAGGTAATGGGATCATGTGTATCTGTTTATAGGTTACTATGCTGGAGAACAGGAAAACCACCTGTAGGAGATGACACTGCAGTTTCTTCTTGTAGAATTATGTTGTTCCCATCAGGCACTGCAATGTATTTAAATGTTCTGAGGCAAGTAAGCTAAAGACCTCCAGTAATGAAGCCATTGAGGTAGTTTTGTCTCTTAGGAGGAGATGTCTGATCCACCATGTGAAGCAACTATAAACAAGTCTGTTAAGAAACACATGGTAGTAGAATTGACACAGAAACCTAGTATTCAGTGGGGAGAACACTAGGTTCTCCACACTTCTAGGTTTCTGTCACAATCTCAAAATGCTTGGATAGGATGTCAGGAGGAGGAGACGCCATCCAGACAACCCAGAAATATGAAAAAAGTTTTAAATACATTTTACCAGAACTGGGTAAGTAGGGTTATTCTGATGACGCTATGGACAAAAAAAGGAAATCATAACAGCATAATTTGCTAATGTGACTATACGTCCCTGACCCTGAAGGTGGACCAGTTCAGGCCTAGTTTTGCCCTTGAGATTCTTTGTATTAGCCCACACTTTTTCTGCTAGCATACGCTGGGTCTCTCCTCGCTGGCAATTCAGTTGGAAACAATACGGTCCTGGTCAGACCTTATATCACATGCGGGAACTTACACTACTTTATCTGGCGAACCTCTATCCTGAGCGGTAAGCTCCAGTACTTGAGTTACTAATCCACCAGCAAAGCAGAATACATGCAGAGTTGATCCAGGTATAACAGGATATTCTATGTAACTAAAAACAACTAGCGATTCTCCTATAAGCGATCTTATTATAGCAGGCCGTAGATAGTAAATAAACTTGAAGAGACAAACAAGCTCTTGATGTAAAATTGACCTCCAATGAACAGGTTTATTGTATGAGCACACAGCTTTTTCCTGCAGTTAAGCCGATGACATAGCTCAGTGGGCTAATGCATCATCAATAGAATCTGTTCAACCCTTGGGTTGTAGGTTCATAATCCTGGCAGGCTTGACTCAGCGTTTCATCCTTCTGAAGTAAATAAAATGAGTACCATTAAATTGGGTAATAGTAACAACCCCTTGATGTTGGGCTTAGGTAACATCCCCATCACATACTTGAAAACCAGAGTAATTTGAATGTACCTTTCCTGGTTAAATACTTTGTAATATAGGGAGGAGTATGGTACAGTAATTACAGAGCAAGCTCTTGCAATGCCATGAGACTCCTTGACCATCTTATTGTAAGCTTACTAGAATAGGCACATTTTTGGTTTATAGGCTGTGTAGTATGCATGCTGTGTATTATGCATGCTATGTGTCCTGACGTGATGAATGTATATTTATATATTCTATTTAATAAGGATGCATATTGTATATGGATTTTATAAACTTTTATATATTTTCTTTCTCTTGTTCGATAATATATAAATTTCCCGGACTTTGTTTACATATTTGTGGCACACATGCGCATTGATAATAAGCACTCAAATGAACTGTGTGAACATATGACCGGAAAAAACTGAAATACGTCATTCAATAGAGACGTGGAGTAACCGCTAACCCGGAAATGTTCTTCACGGAAGTGACGTATCCGGATACGTTGAAACATACAGAGGAGAGAGAAGACGCGCCTTTTTTCAAAATATTTAAGCAAGAACTGTAAGTCAAATACATTGAGAAGCGCTTTGATAAAGACAGTGGTCGAAACGCGTTAGTGCGGTTGTTCACAGGAGATCTTTTACTTTTGCTGTTTTATATATCTTTTAAATCGAATTTAATTAAAGTGTGTTCCTGCAACCACTCTTATATTTGGTGTCTACCACCTGTTAAGGGAAAGTGCCAACATTCGGTGGTACATCTAACCATCAATTTCCAGCATCTGATCTCAGCAACCATCTTTGTATACCCATAAGTCGCTTATAGTCTGAGCCTGCTTTAAACGGCTCAGTACCACGTGAGTGGGATAATATTTCTTTTATTTTTTACAATTACTTATACAGGTTATACTATGATCTCTTATTCTTTGTGTTTTTAGGTTGTTGTATGGTAACTAGCATGTGTGTGTTACCTATAGACTGTAAGCTCGTTTGAGCAGGGTCCTCTTCAACCTATCGTTTCTGTAAGTTTTCTTGTAATTGTCCTATTTATAGTTAAATCCCCCCCTCTCATAATATTGTAAAGCGCTACGGAATCTGTTGGCGCTATATAAATGGCAATAATAATATTAATAATTATACACTATTTTGTATGCTCTCACCTCACTGTCTATTCACAGAATAGGCACATTGTTGACTCAGTCCCACCTCCCACTGTGCTGGCTAAACATCTTACAATGGCTTGCTAACAATTAGGTACATTTTCTAGTCCTATCAGACATCCTGGCAGCTATCTGAGTAACTGAACACGTTACACATGCACTATTATTATCATTGGTATTTATATAGTGCCAACTTATTCCACCGCACTTTACAATAATTAGCATAGCTGTTCCATTTCCCTCCTGCAATCCTACATGTTACAGTAAGGTAGAACACAGGTCTACAATGTAACACTGTCCTGAGATCATCATACATTCGCCCTGGTTCTGCGAGTCTGGGTAGTGGCATTATGAACTACACACACTCTAGTTCTTCTTCACCTGCGTGCATTCCATCACTAGCGATAGTAACAAAATGGTGCTGTGAGTTCTCGAATGGAGAAAGGGAAATAGGGCAAATAGGCCATTTGTTACAGCTAAGCTCATCTTGGACCAATCTGTAAAGAGAATTGCAAACTATTGGTAATTTAAATTAGAAGAGCTTCCATAAGTGTGATTCCACATCTTGAAGTAGACGGAGCTGGTACTCCAGCTTACAGGACTTCATTTTGAATCTAATTAGGGATCCAAAGTCCACCCGGGTGGCATATGAATTTGGGTGAGAGGAAAGGTTAGAGGAAGCACCACACTGTCAGCAAGCAACATTATTTTATACTCCTTTTTTCACCCTGTCATCTCTACACAGTGAGATATTGTAGAATATTTCATATTCTATATGTTCCTATTCAAATACATATTAATGTGTGGCTGTCTAATGGGTTAAAAAGAACAGATGGTGTTTGCTGTTCTGTACGATGAGGACTCTGGAATGTTCTGTATAGGGAGATTGGGGGTAAGGTCCTTATTTGGGGAGTTTTCTTATGTGGCCAGAGTCTAAATTAAAAGTTATGACGATGACGTAATTTTGCCTATAAAAGACTGAGGTCAAAAGACCACGCTCTCTCTTCCTCCTACGATCCGCTCTCCTCTCCTGGTGTGTTCCTGACTTGCTGATATTAAAACTACTACTTAAGATCTCTCACTCTCTGTAACGTCGTTTAGAAATACCACCTGTTAAGTATATTATTGTTTGCTTTTGAAGTAGAATAAATGCATATTTTTTATAAAGAATGTCAGATTGCATATTAGTACTTTTTGGTTTATATAGATGTATATTAACCTGACGGGCCATTAACCAAAGAAGAAATATCTATATATAAAAGACTTATTCAACTGAGAAAACACAGACCAGTTATTACAGATATTAAGAAAAGTATTTTCTATAAATATGGAAAAGTTGTTCAGCCCCACTTCAATTTGCCATTTCTATATTTTGACTTTTTTTCAGTGCATATCCCTGAGAATCTCGAAGGCTGTCCTTACTATGTACTCCTCGGAGGTGAGCAATGACAGGTCTACATCCAGGCACGGACTCCTATCACTGTATCAGTACACAGCTGCATGTAACAAATCCTATTAATGGAGGGAGATATAATGGAGTGCTGAAGGTTGAATACCCCTAGTATGAAGGATGAAATAATAGTAGTTGCATTAAAAAATTGTGACTGAGGTAGTAGCTTGATGGAAGTAATACTGGTATGTGAAAGAAAGTATGCATGGAAAAGGAATGTATAAATGTAGGTATGGTTTAAGGCAGGGGTAGGAAACCTTTGGCACTCCAGATGTTTTGGACTACACCTCCCATGATGCTTTGCCTGCATAATGGTTGTAAGAGCATTATGGGAGATGTAATTCACAACATATGGAGTGTTGACGGTTACCTAACCCTTGCGTCTAGGTCCCCCTTGTGCTGCCAAAACAGCTCTGATGTGTCAAGGCATGGACTCCACAAGACCTCTGAGTGTATCCTGTGGTATCTAACACCAAGACCATAGCAGCAGATACTTTAAGGCCTCCAAGTTGCTAGGTGGGGCCTCCATGGGTCAGATTTGTTGTTCCAGCAAATTCCCACAGATGTTCAATTGTATTGAAATATTGGGAATTTCGAGGCCAAATGTTGTGTTCTCAAAATATTACTGAACAATTTTTGCAGTGATGCAGTGTGCATTATCCTGCACACAGCATAACTGTGACGTTCGTGTCAGCACCAACGAAATGAAACCACATGTAGACCTGTAAACGGCTTTGTCACCTGTCAAAAGCACCGACCGCAACTACTCACACCCCGAACTAGGGACTTTATTGATCACATCCACGGAAAGGGACCACACTTCGGCTAACGAACTATGATGCTATCTACTTCAGACACCGAACTGCAACTATCCTCAAACGAAGGCCTTAGACCCCAGGGACTCATACGTTTAGTCTGCGTGCTCGGTCCACTCACGGATCTCTGTATCTCAGGAGCCCAGAAAGGGGGGAGGAATGGGGGGAAGGAAAGTCACACATATCCACGCACAGGGCATACCAAGTATAAACGGTCTAAGAGGCGGGGGCGGCGTCGAGAGAAGTACGTCCCACCTCTGAGCGAGGGCAGGGGATGAGTAACAATACCCAAGCCACCATGATACTAACAACTCAGGGCCAGGGTGGACCCATGGCCTGCTGAGTTTAATTATTAACTTGAAAAGTTTTATTGGTTAGACAGTTATCGCATATATGTTGTTTACTTTTACACTACAAATGTACCATGCTCCTACTTACTAGCACAAATACTTCATGCTTGCTCTGGCGAGGATACCTGCAACTTAACCATATCCACCAGAGCCATAAGGGGGAAACAATTTTGAGAGGGGACCTATTTGAGAGCGGACCCTGCTCGCGAGACCCCGATTCACTCGGAGGCTCTTGGCATCCTTCCACTTTCCAACGGGACAGAGCATCTCAATCCACAGGTGGGTTCGGGCATAGCTGCTTCCCGACGCTCCTATTCCAACATCACGCCAAGTGACGGTTCTAATGTTTTCTTCTTAACTCTCTTTCTGCACTCCCCCATCCCCTCTAAGTTCCTCATCCCCCCGACTGTTGACTACTGACGACTCAGCGACACTCACAAACGACAATCATGTGCCTGACATCAGCCAACCTCACAATAGACTCTATTAATGCTAGAGGACTAAACAAACCAGAAAAAAGGTTGAGTGCCCTGCGAGACTTTCATTCCTCCAGGGCGTCTATCAATTTTCTCCAAGAGACACACTTTAAGGAAGGGGCAAGACCCAAACTCCATAACCACCAATATCCCACTGGATATTTCAGCGACTATCACGGGTGCAAAGCCAGAGGCACAGCAATCCTAATATGTAGGAGGGTACCCTTCTTGTAGAATGAGGTTCTGACAGGGATGGTAGGTTCCGTTTCCTAAAAGGCAAGATCGCGGGAAGGACGTACACCTTCGCTAACATTTACACACCAAATAGATTTCTATATAGATTTCTTTCCCGTACACTCCACAAACTACAAAAATTCAGAGGGGGTCTTAATCCTGGGGGGAGACTTTAACTTGACACTAAACCCAAAATGGGATTACTCCTCAGGCACATCCCAGGTCCTGGCCCACTACATATCCATGACCAAATCTCTCCTAGCTAAGGCCCAGCTCATTGACTGCTGGAGAGCAAACCACCCAGACGAATGAGATTGCATGTTTTTCGCCCACCTGCATAACTACTACACGCGCATTGATTATTTCTTCATGTCACATTACCATCTCTCTTTAGTCCTACAAGCTGAACAAGACACTGCTACGTGGTCCGACCACGCTCCAGTGACATCACGCTTTCATCTCCCCTCTAAAGACAGACGGTGACCAAGTGGCGCCTTAACGACTACATGCTCTCTCTGACGGAAGTAAAATCAGACATCAGGACAGTTTTGCAGGAAACTTCACAAATAACACACCAGACCATACCTCCCCGACGATACTCTGGGAAGCACACAGACTACCGACTAAGATACAGGACCAATACGGACCAGAGGAAACGCACACCCTAAGATCACTGCATATGCAGATGATTTACTCTTCTACATCACAAACCCGGAAGTGTCACTCCCTAACATCCTAAAGGCTTCAGGGACTTTGGAACACTGTTTAACCTAAAGATTAATTTAAGATTAAGTCGTTCATTCTGAATGTCAGTGTACAAAAGGGTAGGGCAGACATGATCCGCCAGAATTACAACTTTCAATGGGCAGACCATAAAATCAGATATCTAGGCTCGCAGCATTTTGAACGGAAATGCAGGAGTGGTCCTACCCGCACATCTCTTGGTTGGGCAGGATACAGGTGGCCAAGATGAACTTCCTCCCGCGCCTACTGTATTTATTTCAAGCCATCCCCATATCTCTTCCACGCTCCTTTTTCCCCTCCCTGCGCTTAGTACTGGGTAATTATGTGTGGAATGGAAAGAGACCCACGCTAAAATATGCCTTACTTATGCAACCCAAAGATAAAGGAGGTCTGGCAATGCCAGACTTCTCCCTATATTACACGGCCTGCCATCTCCTACGGGTGACGGAGTGGTCCAAGCAAAAAGTACGCAAGCTGTGGAAACAGGCAGAGGAGACAGAGGTAGGCACACCCAGGAAGGCACTGTCATGGGGCCTCACACTGTTCAAAACCTTATGCCTAAACTCAGACCCTGTGACACATGGTGTCTCCCTCCTATACTCCATGCTACAAACACAAATCCCGATCGAAAAAACAAGATTTATTGGCAAATGTGAGTCCATCCTCCACCACACTTATACTGATGCGGAGTGGGAAAAGATGTGCTACCTCACACATTACTGCTCCAGCTTTAGCAAAACACAAGAGACAGCGTACACGCACCCCCTCAAAAAAATTGCCAATTCTGTTATGTTGCAGTTATTTTCCGACTGCCCACCCCTCTTCGAACCTGCAGCAATGCTGCTACACCACACCAAGATCCCTAGATCCCTTTATAAAAAAATATCTCATGATCCGGATGCTGAACATAGCCAAAATGGTGATCCCACAATATTGGAAACAGACAGTGACCCCACCACTGACCTCATGGTTCTCCCAGATGGAGGAGCTACGGTCTGTGGAGGACCTCCACACTAGCGCAGCCGATACACACCAATCATACATAACTACATGGAAACACTGGCTACTGACGACAGCCTGTGCAGACTTCCCAGACAAACTGAGATACTGAGTGAATTCAGAATTGACTTTCATGGGAGATGACCGGATGAGTTTACAATGACACCGACAATGACCAAGATGCGATACCACCCACCACCTCATGGTCATCGTCCCCCTCTCTCTCCATCATCTTTCCCCCCCTTCTATTTGTGTTCTTACAACTCTAGGTTGTTAAAATACCTGAGCCATAAGGACCCGCTATGGGACTCCCCTCTCTGCTATTTGAATAACAAGGGAGAATACCACGATTTATGTCCTGGGAAACTACTCATTACGGCCATACTGAACATGCAAACAGATACGAGACCTTCCAGTCCTTCGTTCTTTGGGGCCTGCAAGCCCAAGCACAACAGATGTATACATAAATTTAAGTAATTTTTCCCTATTTATCTTACATGGGACCTGATGTGAATGCTACTGCTGGACTTGCCTTTCTGACTTCAAGTTCCCACCAAACGTCAACCTTCTGTCAGTCCTGAAGAACAGTCCCCATAAGTTTTAGGATTCAATTTAAAACCCTAAATCTTACTTCTAAAACTCTATGTAACAGTATAAACAAGTAAGTCCAATCTGACATATCTACACCTGTCCTATATTCACACTTGCACCTCCAACACTCAATTACAGGACTTCTCTGGGGGTGCGCCACTCTTATGGAATTTCCCTCTCCAGTCTAATTTTTTTCAGCTCATTTTAGAAAACTTAAAGAACACTTCAAGTGTACTGCAGTGGATTTGATGTCAAGAGTGCCCTGGTTAACTCCCATACCCCCAATGTAACTAGTGAAACCATTTTCTAACAGTTTCATTACTGGGTGTCTGCAGTGTGCTGTTTTTTGCATCTTCCATTCTGTTGCTGAGAAATGGCACCACCTACTAGGAAGTTCTGTTAGCTCTCCGGACTTAAACCCTGAAGCGCAGAGCAAGATCAGTGGCTGAGGGCATCAGTTGACTGCGCTCTGCCAACAAGCTAAGTCCTGCATTGGCAGGCTTAGCTCAGAGCTCAGAGCTTCTGGCTCACATTGAGGCAGAAAGCAGCACCTGGTAAACACCAGGTAAGAAATCAAACTGTTAGCAAATGGTTTGACTACTTACATTGGGGTAACATGATCAATATAATCTAGGCACACAAAGTAGAGGGTGATCAAGGCTCTTTATTAAAATATCAAAAACATCATAAAATAAGCACGTTGTACTGGTTATGGTGTTTGGAGGTTTCCTTTAAAAAGGCATATCAAATAATTACCTTATTTCCCCATCCCTTTTGTCTTCACTATTCACGATTTCTTCTTTTCATCTAAACAAGTCTTTACAAATTTATATTTTCACTAAAACCAGCAATTAATTTTTACCTTGAACAAAATTTATTTTTCAATTACCTTGTGTACTCTGACCTGATTTCCTTTATACTGTTAGCAGTTTTGAGCACAGTCCCTTACCATTTTAATTTCCAAAAAGCCAAAGCTGCCTTGTTGCCACTGGTATAGTGCTGAGGAGTATGCTGGTACTTTATATTAAAAAAAAATAATGATAACTCTGGTCCTATCGTTTAAGATAAGGTAGACTACTAAATTAGTCAATAACTAATAAGTTGTAAATTAAAGTTAAATATCTTATGTTAAAGAGTGACTCCAAGCATCTTAACCACAACAGTCCACTGTAGTGTTTATAATACCAGGAGTACCCTGGCATGGCTATCCAGGAACAACAAATTGCCACCTTACCTGGATCCTCGCCAGGCTTCTATGCTCCCTGGTGGTAGAGTGCTACATGCCATTTACCTCCTGAAAGCATCAGTTGACCGACATTCCATGCAACAAAAGTTGCACTGAATTGACATAAGCCAACTCTGACTGGTTGATGACAACTCAATCATACTGCTGGAGATGGAGTTAAAGTGAAACACTGCATATACAGATTTCAGGCAGCATGACCACTACAAATCACTGAAGTGGGAATGGTGCTTGCAGTAACCCTTCAAGGCACTCAGACGGAGAATATAGGATTAAACATCTATCAACATCCTGAAGGAAAAAAGTATATAAAGACTCAGAATAATTTAAAATGTAAATTTCTCTCATTTCTAAAAGGCTCTTACAGTGCATAAACAAACATCATCTTATAGGTACTTGCCTTGCTTTCATTTAATAACTCCATACCACTTTAAATTAACAAAAGCTTACCAGCAGTAAATGGCTTGTTGTAGAATTTTATTGGTGTAGTTGATGTGACAGTAGCTGGCTTCTGACCCACAAACCTTGCTGATAATATTGCATACGGCAAACAATGCCTAGGTTTTTCAACAGCTTTAACATTCGTATCATACTCATACACGTAAACCTGAAAGATTGAAAATGAATGTAATCTGAGATATTGTGTTTAATATCAGTGAAATAAATACAAATAATATAATGATACTCAAAAACAAGGGATGTTAGAAATGGCATTATACAGTTAATATTTGTGACAGCTTGCTTTGTTATACATTAAAGGACCACTATAGGCACCCAGACCACTTCAGCTCAATGAAGTGGTCTGGGTGCCAGGTCCCTCTAGTTTTAACCCTGCAGCTGAAAACATAGCAGTTTCAGATAAACTGCTATGTTTCACTGATGGTTAATCCAGCATCTAGTGGCTGTCTCACTGACAGCCGCTAGAGGCGCTTCCGCTATTCTCAATGTGAAAATCACAGTGAGAAGACGCTGGCGGTTTGAATGCGGACATCGGCAGGAGGAGGAGAGTTCCCCAGCGCCAAGGGAGCCCGGCACTGGAAAAGGTAAGTGGTTGAAAAGGTTTTAACCCCCACAGCCCAGCATGAGAGGGGCCCTGAGGGTGGGGGAGGGACATAATGACCCTAGAGCGCCAGGAAAACAAGTTTGTTTTCCTGGCACTATAGTGGTTCTTTAATAATATCTTTTCGCTGCTGATTCAACTTTCCAATTATGCTGCAAAAAAGGAAAAACTTCCTAAAGGAACCCTATAGCATTAGGAAAACAAAACAGTATTTTTAATGCTACAGTCTGCCCCTGTCCCTATTACTTTAGGCTCCCAACACCCCCGCTCTCATGAAAGGGTTAATAACCATTTTAACACTCATCTTAATTTCAGCATAGAAGTCCCTTGGCACTGGATTGCTCTCCTACTTAAGCAACGACATATCAATGAAGGAACCCAATGGCGCATGCGCACTAGAGCTTCTCTATAGAATCAATGCTTTTCTAAGGGGATTTTGAAGATGCTGGGAATCCTCATGCAAAGCGGAGATGGAGAAGATCTTTAGGTCCAGTACATCATAAACTTCGGACATAGGTGTAGAGTATCGGTGGTCGGCACCGAAGACCTTGACTGTTACCAGGAAAGGTTCCATATTGAGACTGTCCTCTTTGACTGAGGCCACATTTCTTCAGGCATTGGGGCTTCCTTTTAAGCCTCGTACATCAGTAACACATACCTGGGACCCAAAAAGAGTAACTCTTTTATTCCAAGGAGAGGGATCAGAAACATCGACCCAAGTTACTTCACAGTTTATAGCCTTTTTTGGATTATTACTTTTTAATGTTTAGCTAATAATTCTTTATTCAGGCATCCTGGTGTCCTTAATATTTTACCTAGCATATGCAGATATTCTCATAAACAGCAGGAGGGCTTTGTCCTCCTATGTTCTATCAATCTGGGTTGCATTATCATGCAATAGCCACTCAGGAGCACTTGGAGACGAAATACAATTCTAGCATTGAACCAAATTCTTCGGCACAGTTAATATGATCTTTACACTGGGACTTACTAACATTAAAGTTGATGTATTCTGGTCCAAAATATATCAATACCAAAGAAACTCAGTGCTTACTATTTCCTACTAGGCTATAGCCACAGATTTGTGTTACTTTTAATTTGTTTTTTTAGGATAGGGAATATCTCCATATAGCTGTTTTAACACAATTAGGTTTGCGTATTGTAACACATTTATACTGTATTTTGCTTTATTACGATTATTCCATAACCAGTCATTTTGTTATTACAATTAAATAGGTAGGCACAATTGTTATTAGCAATTGTTAACAGTCAATTAAAATATTGTCTCATATATATGTCGTGCATACACCTCAATAAACAATAAAAAAAATAAACACTTTTACTTTTTTCCAATACAGTGCGTTTTAATGGTGAATTTCCTGGATCACAGTGTGATCTACTACTTCAGAGACCCCAGATTTGTATCCTGCTACATTTCCCAAGCAAAAAAGTATTCCACATGTATACCTTTCCCAGGTGTTTGGGGGACTTATAGGTAACATAACAGACATGTCCTAACACATGCCTCAGTGCTTACTTACTATCTGGTGAAGTGACACTATTTGTGTCACCATACTGATCAGCATCGAACTAGCCTCAGGTAACTCTAACGTTAGCGAACACTAACACAAGCTAACACGAACTATAACCAAACCTAACACTATCCTTATGTCAATCCCATACCTGCCAATCTTCTCTACCCACTTTCCAGTATCAATGAAAAACCTTTTGTCTGCTGTATATTCCTGCTAATAAACAGATTACAAGAAATTGGTTTGTACATAACTAAATTGCATACTATTGCCCAGTTTGTTATTTCTAATTGTCCCTAAGTTCCTTTCATTTAATGTTATCCGTAACTCGATTTGATGTCATTGTTGATTGTTGCTGGGGGGATACTTACTATAAAATGCATTACTTTGCCTTTATCTGTATTAAATCTCATCTGCAACTTGACTGCCCAGTCCCCCAATTTTTCAAATCCTTTGTGAGCATGTAGCATCTGCAAAATGTTTTTAAAAATGGTGCCTGATGGCTCCACTGGTTTTCCTTTCAAAACTTTAGAGCAGAACTGTTTCATAAATCTCCCCCTATTTGTCTCTCCTGACAATAACATCATCATTAAACCACTGGAAGACAGAGACTCAGCCTTCTCTTTTTTCCAAACGGGGACAAATTGTAGTTGAACCTAAGATACTTGGTGGAACTAACTAGGATGCAGCAATTTTTCAGACTCTAGATGGACCAAGTTATTACGACGTTGTTCTACAGTTCCATCCAAAAGATGATGTCATTATTCCTTGATGGGTAATAGTTATCTATCAAGAACACCAGCCTTACAGACATCCTTGCGGCTGGTCCCCTACCTTCAGGACCAGTGATGAACTCGCATTGTGCTTCCCAAGGACAGTTCACCATCAGGACAGGACTCAATGAAATCAGGACTGTCCCACCTAAAGCAGGATTGCTCGGAACCCTGCTGTTTTTCAGTTTTTGCCAAGGTTAATATGGAATTGGGCATATCAATATGCAAGCTTGCAATAAAATTCCAGTTAGTTGAACACCTTTCCGCAACTCAAAAAATTCAACAGTAGGATACAGTTATGAAAACCAATAATAGATTCGTCTTTTTTGTTTTTGGTAAAATGTTCTGATGGTCTCACACTGCAGTGAATATAACTCCTCAAACAAGTAAAACTGACTCTCATTGGGAGTATTTTTTATTTCTTATGCATATTATATATCAAAACACAATTTTATAGACTCAAGCTGTGAGTAAAAAAAAAAAAAACATCATACAGGTCCACTTACAGATAAACAAAAGCCTATTTCCTTCACTCTGTAAAGTTCTTTAAAAAAATGAATTTTAGCTCACGAGGGATAATATATTTTAAATGTTGCAGTCCGACCTATGACACAATATTTTAAAATATACATACTAGTGAATTAGCGATCTGTTCTTCCAAGGGATCATGTAGTGATGGTGCTTTTTTTGACATGTGACTGTCAAAATTTGGGGTTGGATCCAGAGGTGCTTTCATCTTTGAAGGCGTATTTGCATTTACCTTTTTTACTTTACCAATTAGTACCTAAGGCAAAAATAAAAATGCATTATAATTGTATGAAAAAAAAAGCACACAGGTTTTACAAAACATGGCAGATTACAACCACAACCAATATCTTTGGATAAGATTTTAAAGGAACAGTATAACATTAGGATTACAAACATGTATTGGCAGAGTTTTCAATGCTACGCTTGCAAAAACATGCTATAGACACCAGAACCACTAAATTGAGCTGTAGTGGTTCTTGTGACTATAGTGTACCTTTAAAATTAATTTTAACCCTAAAAATAATAAAATAAATATTAAAAAAAAAATCAAAATATGAAATGATTTTAAAAGTTTATCCAAAAATAGTAATTTAAAAATTCTTATCCAAAACTATTGAATTGAGGCTGGTTTATTCATTAAGGCCTCGATTTAATATTGCTGCATACACTTTTCAAATGATTTAATATTTCTGGATAAACTATTAAAATGATTTAGCGTTACGAAAAATATTTAAATTTTTTAATATTTTTGCTATATTTTTTATACATGATATATATATATATATATTTTATATCTTCATATGAATAAAATCATTTAAAAAGTGTATCCGAAAACTTTAATCATTTGAATAGCGTATCTAACAATATTAAATTGAGGCTTAAATTGGGAAGTGACCATGGAAGTTAAACTTTTGGAACAAAATGGCTAAACTGGTAAACCTTTTCTAGTTCAGGCATATAATTTGAAACGCTTTGATCAATTTCCAGTTTAGTAAATAACCATGATAGGGGCTTTATTCAGTGTGGGAAAATAATAGCACTGACAGGGATTCTACTCTCAGGACTAGTCACTGAATCAGAAGGAGGCAACCTTTAATACAGATGTTTTGGACTACAACTCTCCTGATGCTTTGCCAGCATTATGGCTGTTAGAGCATTTGGGAGATGTAGGTCACAACATATGGAGTGCTAACAGTTGCATACTCTCGCTCTAACTTATGAATTGATGAGAGAGTTTCAAATCGTAAACCAAAATAGCTGAACTGTAAAACCTCCAACTCAGGTTCCAGTAAAAATGTACAATTCGCCACCCGGTTGTTTGCACTATGCTGGACGGAGACTCAAAACTCAAATTGGCCCCACCTATTTTATTATCGATTCATGTTTATTTTTTGCTTGTTCGGTTTCATTATAATTATTATCATTACTTAACTTACCTCTGCTGCGATGGTAGAAAATGTGCATACCTCCACCCTACATTCTGGGGTTAAATAGCGGCTCTACGTGTACTTATAAATGCAACCTACCTCATTTATCACTTAACTAGATGTGCTTTTCCTGCCAAGTTCTAGTAGGAATTGCTTAATTTGGCCCCTATGGTGTGTGATACACTCACTTGCACCAGTAATACCTCTTACCCACTACACCCATAGTTGACAAAACTGATAGCCTCATTCCAATTTACCTTGACCTACCGAAAAGCCTTGACGACCTTAGCCATATTATTATGATACCGAAAGAAAATATGGAGTGGGTCATAGGAAATAAGGAAGCCACCTAGCACCCCATCTCCATCCCCTCTGGAACTGGCCAGTTTAATGTAAGGAGTTACTTCATGTTCTGGTTGGCTGTTATTCTTAGTTATATAATTCCCCTTTCTCTCTTTTTTATTATTAAAACAAAGAGAGGCTGTTATATTTAGGAGTTTTACGCTCTCGTCTGTGATGTAACTGTGCCTTATTTGTGCGTTCAAACTTCTATTTTTTTTAATCTGTACTGTACACTTGATTAGCTCAATAAAAGAAAGAATGTCAAAAAATTAAAAATTTACAATTTCTGATATACATACTTAAGAAAGTGCAAGTACTGTTACTTAAAAATATTTACAATATCATTAACTGCTATACATCTAAAAAAAGTTTCCCCAAATTTTTTTATAAAATACGAATGAAACAAATTATGTATGCGCTTAGTAGAAATACTCCAAATGTTTATTAAAATCTTTTATGAAAACCATATGTGACCTGCTTAGATGTGAGCATCTGTATATATTTAAAGCTAGAAAAGAGGACAGAACAGATGTAGAGACACCTAAGGGTTAAGTAAGTCAATCAATTCCAAAGGTTCCCTACACATGTAAAGCAACCCATTAGAAAAAATATATTTAAAACATAACTTTTAATAGAATGCCATCTAAAATCTAAAATTGATTTTAGATGGCATTCTATTAAAAGTTATGTTTTAAATATATTTTTTCTAATGGGTTGCTTTACATGTGTAGGGAACCTTTGGAATTGATTGACTTACTTAACCCTTAGGTGTCTCTACATCTGTTCTGTCCTCTTTTCTAGCTTTGCATTAGTTACTAGGGGTTACCCCCCTTACTTCATTAGCAACCCGATATTATACCCTGGTCCCTATTTCTTTTTTCAATTTCTATATCTGTATATATTTGTATCATAACGATTTATTAAAAGTGAACTAATCCCAATGCTAACTGTGGGGTAAAGATGAAAACCAGACAGCTGTAATAGCTTTCTGTTAAAATATTCTAGAAACATATACACAGTGTCTTTAGAAGAGATATTGTGTTCCAAATTTCAATACCACAGATAGCCAAGAACAGAGAACGGAAACAGGTAGGAACCAGCACAGACCTAAGCCATCGACACCCAATCAAGGGTGGGGCATCTCCCATCTGGAAGAAAATCAACTTGTCACATTAGACACAAATTATGTTTTCGTTCTTAACATGGTGAGAGATTAAGTGTCATAACATATACGATCATATAATCATGCAGAGCAGGACACGAGGCCAACCCAAATTAGGGAGGGTAGGTATGATGTCTAAACAACAACAACTGCCTGGAGCCCTTCCTGTCAAAAGCTGCATCAATGTACATAAAATTAAAACAGTACAACTTGGAAAAAGTGCAGGGAAAACTAAGTGGCAGCACAGTAGATCTGGTCTACAGACACATCATGGCAAAA